TAGATCACCTTAAAAATGATTGCTAAGAATTGTATCCACAAGCAAAATTACTTACGAATCTTTATTGTTTGTAGGGAAAAAGTTATAAGTTCATTTTATACTGTAATTGCAATAATGGCAGAGCTGTTAAAAATACAAGTTATTTTGCAATATGAATGATCAATGAATGAAGTCCCCGGGCCTTTCAAGTCAAATTCACTGGAGTGTATCTTCATGCAATATCCATTGAATGAGTGAAAATACATGTTTCTTGTTCAAAAAATAAATGTAAGGAAGTCCAGTGCTTTATTCGGTAGGCGCTTTACATGTATGTGAAATCAACTGTGAAATGTTAACTACAAAATGATTCCACATGCAAAATTGATGTTTATTCAACTGGCACAAAACAAAGATATGAAGGTCAAGGGCTTTCCAAATAAACTGTGTATTGGATAAATAGAGAAATATCAACCTTGAAGTGCAACTAAGTTGTATGAAAATTTAGCCCAGGATTATAATCAAATGATATCCCTCCAGTATATAAAAATATAGTTTTAACAATCGCAAAATTAGATCTTTAGAAAAGGGTTTTTGTCAGGGGAAGGCTGTTGTCAAGGGGATACCACTAAAGATTAACTGGGAGTATGTGCATTCCACAAAGATTCCCCTCAAGAGTGAAATACTGACCTATTCTATTTTCTAATATTATATTATAGGTCCCATTATAACAAAGAATTAATTAAATCAGAGACATGTGTGTTTTATATGTCTCTGATTAAACCCTTGATTCTTTCTATTGATTGTTGTTCTCTCTCATCAAAATACAATTTTCAATATGCTATTTTGATGATGTCTGATAGAAAGGTTTTGAAACCCCAGGGACATAATATAGTAAATTAACACATGCAAAATGCAACTAAATTACTCTACTGTATACATAACAAGTTATTTTATAACAAGCAGTTAAAAACAAGTGACAATCGTCATAAAATTGATCATTGTATGTTTCACTTTTAAATCAAAAATACTATTCTTATAAGACCATTTCTTATTTATCCACAAGAGGCAATGATATGGAGATTTGTCCTATGCCAAGTAGAGTTTTAGGGAGATAAGTTAATAATATATATCCCATATCCTGATTTTGAGGTTTTCATATCTAGAACCTTCATATCTCCCGCTTCATGGCATATCTTCACGCTTTGTTTAAAAAGAAATTTGAAAAAAAGTTAAAATAAAATTTGAAAAAATGAAAAATTTATGCAGTTATGTATGGTGGGTTTGGATATGGGGTTTATCCTTCGTGAGATATGCACATGTACCTTCGGTCCATACAGTCCCTCAGGTACATGACATATCTCCCTCTGGATAAACTCCTTATCCAAAACCTCGCAGTATATAACCTATATACTAGTATATCAAGCTCGTTTAGAGAACTTTTCAAGTGACTTCGGGCCAAAGTTGTCAAATGTAAACCCCATGAATGGAATCTTTTGAAAATTGGCAAAAGCTGGCTACTGGCCTGTAAATTGGATGACTTTAATAAACCTCACCCATCAAAAGTTGTCACAATGAGCTAAACTCTAAGTTTTATGTCTCAAACTTATCCAAACGGTAGAAAAATAATTCCTGTTCACTCTAAGTAGCACAATAAATGAATCCAAAGCTTCATACCTGTAAATGATGGATAAATTCCTACCAAATCGAATGAATGTTTTCATGTATCGCCATTCTTATGATCCAAGGAGGATTAGCTCCCAGAAATAAACATCAGTTAACCTTATTTACCCATAACTGGTTTCAAAATGGCAGAATTGCATTTTGAAAGCTGTCACATATCATGTTGCATTCTGGGAGCCAATCCTCCTTGCGTAATCGGGCTCCAAAATCACCTCAACATTTGAAGAGTCAGCATTAACATGTGAAAATCACTTCAATTTTTTTAGTTCCCAATTGTCATTATGGACACAAATTCCACTATATTTGTACATTCCAGGACAGAGAAAATAGAGCACTCAATTTACTGAGGTAAGAATTTATTACACGTGCGACAGAATGTGTTAGTCATTATTTATGTTCCCAACTTTACATCAGCACTGAACATGAACTTCTGGAGATTCCATGAATTTCTATCGTGACTGCAACTTTGGTTCCTTAGGAGGAAACCTTAAAACATGTGATAATGGAACTCTTGATCACACAAAGAGAGTGAATACTTTCAGGTTCCAAAGCCTTATAGTGCGACCACATTGATACCAATGGTGAAGGAAATGTTTGGGATTAGAGAGACCCAGTTCAGTATCTCAGCTTTAAAGACTGATGAGTCTGTAGGAGGCGAATAGCTGGAACACAAGGCTGTAATGAAAATTAGCCTCCGGTGTGCCTGATGTTCACTCGTGCTGTCTTCCCAACCCTACTCCACAGTTGCATGGCCTCGTCCTATACTCATCTATTATAAATATGTTGCATCTTAGGCATTTTATTTCAATTATATATCTGAAAACTCAAATACATCAACAAGTTCATGATTCTCAACAAATATCTGACACTGTTGAGCTGAGCTGGTGAAAAAACCCTGTTTGTTTTTGAACTTCCAAACACTGAAGATGGTACACAACATTATATGGTTAATTTCAATAAATATCAAGTTAATATAGAACTTACCTATCTGTTTTTTGTGACTTTATTAATCCACACGTAACCCATATCGGGGAAAATCCAACTTTTTGACGGAGATTTGTAACAGCTCAACTTTTTTTATGAATGGAAGCTAGTCACGTGACTAAGTCACATGACCAACCAACCAAAAATGCATTACTACAAACCACGATTTCCGTAGTATTTCGCCTCTGAATAATAATATCTAGGTATTTTACAGAAAGATATATATACTTAGGATACAACAGCGGCTTAAAATATCTGTCAAATCTCCATGTAATGGTGTTATCACTAAAAGAAAAAATACAATACAAAAATTCAAACTTTAAATTTTACACTGAACGAAGCATATGATTCAAAGTGCCTGAACTGCCCGGGGATCTTAAGAGTGGCCCTGCCCCTAAGTCTTATATTGTCAGATGTTAACATCCTGCGCTAAAATATAAAGCTGAGTTCTGCTAATTCACAACTGGTATCAAGAAGGGGTTAGAAGACAAATTACCCTTTCACCTTAGATTACAAAATAAACTGGAATCATTTGCCGGACACTTGCTATTTTTTCAAATTTTGATTTACGCATTCATGGCTCTTGGAGAACATGTCAGTGTTTGTTCATGTCCTTCAAATTGATTATATGATGTATCGACTGATCTATATGTAATCCTAAGCAGTGAATATTAATCATTTGATATAAATTATAATTTCTTATGGGAGCTATTCACCCAGGCTAATCACTTCTTCTGGCCCTCGTTGGCAAAACAAGTAAATTACTTGAAGTAATACAATAGACCGAGATGACATCTATAAATAAGACTTTAAAGCAGAAATATGTATCCTGTACCTGTAATGGGGATTTGAAATATTTAATTGTTTTGTATATCCTCAGTTCTCATTACTAAATCAATAAAACATATAAGTGTTTTTTCATTTTATATATAATTTATTATCATCATATGTCTTGCGTAACAAAAGCAATGGCATTCTATATAAATATATTGTAGAGAATAGACCAGATTTAGACTCTTGAAAAATTACAATTTATTCTCCCTTAAATCTTGCTGGTCCTTCATTAACCTTATTAACAGTTGTTGTGTATATCACTTTTGAATACTTTTAGTAATGCATACGCTTAGCACCTTGATTCTTGAAACATCTGTAGTTTCTAAACAAAAAAAAATATCTAAATAGTCATGAATAGTCCTTGCTCTTTCTCACATAGGTAAAGACTAAAATAATCATATTATTAATACAGTTAAACCTTTGTAACTGGAAAAACAACATGACTCATCAACAGAACAATAATCACAGTAAGATGGAGAATAAATCCCCTTAATCACAGTTAATCAAACAGCTGCATGATATTGAAAGTTTCGGGGCTTCTATAATAAAATCACAGATTATAAAGTCTAAGCATGTCTAACCTATTAATCACATACATGCAGTGTTAATAATAATTATATCCTCACTTAAATTTACTATTTTCACTTAAAAGTATGTTTTGCTAAAACTTATTAAACTATAAAATGTCATGATAAAATTTCATGATATCTTTAACAGTACCTTTTTAACTAATACATAATCTATGATCCCATTTGGCAATAGAAAATAAAAAACAAAATATTTCATTTTAATACAGTTAAATCTGTGTTTGTGAACACCTATTTTAACTTAACACATAATGTGAATACTATTTTGGGCTCATTTGAAACTCCTTTGACTCATCAGCATCTAATGATAATTTGTATTCAAGTATTCAAATAGTGTTCACTTAAGACAGGTTTTACTGTATTGGTATATGTATATCACATTGTTAATCACCTAATATTTTTAACAATGGAAAAATATTGGTATTTTGGAATGTAAAATATAAAATTCGGTATCTGTAAAATGACATGTACTGCATTCAATTCCATCTGTACTAAATATATATCAGGCCACTTAAAAAAACAGTTGGGAATACATGTACAATGTATATATAATTTTCATTTGCATGCAAAGGAATGCATTATTTGGCTATAATAAATACATGTATGACACAACTCAACTTGATGCTGTTTCAGCCTATCATCCAGTTGAAGCTTTTTCTTCAACAACTATAGATATTTCATTAATTAAAAAAAAAAAGTGTAATATTGGTTTCATTTGATGAGGACATGATGGAATGATTATACTCAGGAAGTCACAAAATTGCAACTCTCACATGGGCGTAGCCAGAAAGGGGGGGGGGGTGTGATGGACATCACAAAAAAAGAAAAAAAAGCAATTTTTTTTCGAAAAAAAAAACATTAACAAAATATAGTTTGAAATGCTTAGAATACACCATAATGCAAATATTTAAAAATTTTGTAGAACCCCCGAAGTTTCCTTTTGGGACTTGCTTTGCTCGCAGTGATGCAAACCCAAAAAGTTGCACCCCCCTTGACAATTGCTGGTTACGCCCCTGTCTCATGTCTCAAGTCTTCTATAGTTAAAAATTGGTGTAATTGACTAGTAACATAAAGCAACCCTGATTAAATTCATGTAATGCTTTTCTGGAGCCCTGGATTGGACCTATCATGTACAGTTTTATACACAAGCAATACCTAATGTTAACGTAAGATATATTAAAGCTGAATATATTTGGTGGTCCACTAATCTGCTCTTAGTTTTTTGAAGTCACTTTTATATTCTGGGGTTTGTCAAATTTTCATCTCATTAGATTTTGTAATATCACCATTTCTGTAATTCAAGTTCAATGTTGCTACTCAAATATTTACTCTAATGAGCTAGGTTTCTTATCATATACTGTACTAGGATTTATTTATCATGATATAATCATAGTATTGTGCCTCTGCCTCTAGCGCTAAAACATATACTTTGTTGTTTCAATTCCTTACTGCATATACAGTAATGTAATATATAAAAGAGCCTGTTAACAGACTATACAATATGCTAGGACTTTTGGATCATTATATTTGCCATAGCATTACGTCTCCTTTTCCAAACGCCGACATCAATACTTTGTTGTTTCAACTTCTTGAACCATTCCATTGTATCACTGCGGTCCTCCATCTGAAATAACATCACAACTGTTGATTACAATTTTGCCACCATTTCATAATGAAACAAAGATTCAATAAAAAATTGTTAACTTCTTCTCAATAATTTCACAACTATTGATTACAATTTTACCATCATTTCATAATGAAACAAAGATTCAATAAAACTTCAATTTTTAACGTGTTCTCAATAATTTCACAACTATTGATTACAATTTTACTATCATCTTATAATAAAACAAGGATTCAATAAGCGATGATCCATCTTACCATGATTTACATATTCTGAAATAAAACTTCTAAGTCTTTAACTTGTTCTCAAATTTTTTTTAAATAATTTCTGTTGTTGAAACAAAGTAAAATGCTTGTGATGAAATCCAGCAATAAATGAAAGTATCATAATTATCTATAATTATATCTTGGACAGTATGTGAGGAAGTTATATACAGATTATTTTACTAAAAGATTACAACATTATGAAAACAATAATCCCTTTTAATCCATCCAACATCTCATCATGAATACAATGTAATCAACAAAAACAAACAAATGTTTTCAGCAAGGAAATAATCCCTTGTATATGACACACCTACTCAAAATAATGTCATGCTTGCTCAAAGTCGTGGCATTACTACTCAATGTCATATCATTCTCTGAGAAGAGATGTCACTGTTTAAATCCCTTGCTCAAATGTCAATCAGATTTCTTATAAATACACAGGGAGATGGATTGTGATTCATAACCTTCTGAGAACTCACAATGAACACAACAATGAAGGCATTTGACAATCTGCAAGATGGCCTGAGTGTTGTCTACCCTCTAATGTCATCCTGTGAGAAATACAAGATCCTTCAGCTTCGCACTGACTTCATGGAGGCTGCTGAGCAGTGTATCAACCTTTGTGACAAGATCCACATGATCAAGAGCCGCTACAAGCAACTGAAGCAGAGCCAGAAGCAGAAATTCTGTTACATGTATGGTCTACGTCTCAAGATGTTGAGCCACTATGAGGAGGCACTGCAAGTGTTATATGATGATGCCGAGTGCAAGAAGTGTAAATATCACAGTGCGATAGCTGCTGCTTGGCTGCAGTATTTATAATGAGACAACATTTCAAACAACAAACGGCCCTTTTCAGGGCCACCTTTTACTTACGAAAGAGAAACTGATTTATGATTTTGTATGGTTGTGTGTGATGTATGTGTGAAGTGACCATGTTTGATGATTAATGTTTTCAATTCGATTCCAACTCGATATAACTTACTAAACAGAAAATCATGAATTTACATCTGTACATGTATACTTGAATTGAATTGCTTGTGCTTGATTTACTTTTTTTACTTCAATTTCAATCAGAATTTCTGTTTATTGACAAATAACAAACTAGATTATATCCATGTTTGAAAAATAACTAATAAATAACTCAAGAACCATCCCCCAAAAACTATATGTAACTCTGAAACTTAAGTTTGGGAATTATTGTTTTTGTAGGAAAATCAATAACCACTTTTTAAGTAAAACGTTCAACAGGGATTGGCATGTATCTCTAAATATACAGGGTTCCATGAAGTCTCCTTAGAATTACAATACAAAGTCTGTTTAAATTGACTTTATGGGACACCCTGTATTAAGTTCTGAAAATAAATATGCAAATTTCACTTTATGATGTAGACATATTGTCATTGAAATTAATTTAGTTACTCATACAGAGGTTGTAATAATTGATATTTTAATTTTACAAAATTGTTTTAATCCATCCCTAACTCAACATTATGTTTTAGTCCCTAATTTTCAACATTATGTTTTAGTCTCCTAAATTGGGTTTATAAATTAGCAGAATTGTTTTAATCCATCCCTTTGATTTCTAATCACCTGTTATTAACATTAATTTTTATCTCTTGATTGTATTTATTTATTTGTTCATAGATAATCTTCCTCATAATCTCCCTGTTAATCTCCTGTTTGACATGACTGCTCAAAATAATCCCCTGTTTTTTATAAACAATGCAATCTACTGAAATCGTTCCATTATATAGAAATAATCCAATGTTATGAAGCCTACTCAAAATGATGTCATACGAGCTGCTCAATGTCTTGACATTACTACTCAATGTCATGTCATTCTCTGGAAGGAGATGTCACAAGTTTAAATCCTATGCTCAAATGTCACTCAGATTTCTTATAAATACCAAGCAGACTGTAAGGGAATCATTATCTGCATCTGAAACCAACTGAACCATACGAGCTAGCAACCAAAATCGAATCTATCAATATGGAATCATCAAACAGTCTTGCCATTGACAACCCTATGTATACCTGTGACCCAGACAGGATTGCAGCCCTACGTAAAGCATGCATCAAGGCAGCTGAGCAAGTGGTGGCCATAAGGTACAAGATCTCCATGCTGAAGACTCGCTACAAGAGAGCCAAGAGCAACCAGAAATCAGCCTTCTGTTACAGTCTACGCCTGAAGATGGCCTGCTATGAAGAGACTATGCAGATGTTCTGTGTCTTTGCAGAGACCAAGAAGTATGAATATGACACTGCTATTGCTGAAGCTAGCCTACAACAAGCCTTTAACCAGATCTTATAATGAGACAACATCTCAAACAACCATACGGCCCTTTTCAGGGCCACAATTACTTACAAAAGGGTAAATTAGCTATGGATTTGTGTGCATTTGCTAGTGTTTTTGTTGCATTTTGTTTCCTTGGGCTGAATTCAAAATTGAATCAATTCAGACAAGATGTAGGTAGTAATCTTGATTTTAATCATTAACTATTCGAAATTCAGTCCAAGTGATATCATTTTTGAAATCTACATGTAAAATTACACATTTTGATTTTGTTTATCAATTTTGAAAATTTAATTCGCTTTGAAAATGTGACTTCTAGGGAAGATTTCCCATAGACCATGTGTTGTAAAATCACAAAAATAGAAATATCTTTTCTTCTGTTGGACAGATAGTATTTTGTTTTACTGGACATATTTCAATTTGTATAATCAGATACATAATAGTAATGTTAAAATTGAACCACTAAAACTGATGAATATTAAAGTTAAAGGGAACTTTCTGCTACACCGCCATGACCCAAATGTGCTACCTGGTGGTGAAACTGATAACTACCTCCTGGAATCTGGTCTATTAAGATGTGAACATGTTCCTACTAGGGCTTCTTAAACTTTAGGCAATGAAGCTCTACATTAACCAGTCACCCATTGTAAAAGAAAATACTGTCCCCATGCTAAATTATACATTCAAATTACCCACAAATATGTCCTGCCACCTGGTGGACAGACCTCGTACCTACCTTGAACAAATATGTCCTGCCACCTGGTGGGGAGACCTTGTACCTACCTTGAACAAATATGACTCTTTGATTGTGTCTAATATTTCAAAAACCTCATCAAACTCTGGGTCCATGGCAACTATGCATTTATCAAGATAGAATGGTTCCTGGAAGAAATAAAACAAATTAAAGTAGATCACAAAATCAAATCTGCACATTTATCCCATGGTTAGAAGGATATAGATCAAATATTACGTGAAGATATATTTGATATGTGGATCAAGATATCATATTCCAGCAAAAAATCCCCAAACCATCAAATATCACATTTGAAACCATTGAATATCACTTTGAAACCATCAAATATCACTTTTTAAAAGGTGATATTCAATGATTTCAAAAGTGATATTCGATGGTTTCGATTTTTTTCAAATTTTTTTTAAAACTTTATATAAGCTGCGCTTACTCGAGAAGCTATTGATATCCACTCATGGATATAAATGATATTTTTTCAAAACCATAGGATATTCCTATAATATCTTCAATGCCATAGTCATATACAAAACAAAACTCATTTTTTATTTAAAAAAACATACGATACACCAAACAATATACGAGGGGTGATCAATAAGTAATGGAAGTACAGCGAAAGGAATAATGATGAACTATATCCTCCATTTTTATATGGTCAATAACAATTTTTAAATTTTATCAATTAAAAATATGTAAAGGACGATTCTTGGTTTGGAGAACAGTCTCCTGGGCTAATAATTTTTTCATGAAAAATATAGAAATATTACCCAAATTAAACTATGAATATTCAAAAGAGGACATTTAAATCTACAAGATGTAAAAATAACAAATTGGTCTGAAGCAGGGGTAACGCTCAATTAGACCGATTCAATAAAATACAAGTCTCGATTTGGGGAAAGAAGTTCATCAGTGTACTGCTCTAATATTTTTTTTCGAAAAATATAGAAATATTACCCAAATTAAATTATGACTATTCAAAAGAAGACATTCAAATCTATGTTATGTAAAAAAAATCAAATTTGTCCGAAGCAGGGATAATGCTCATTTAGATTGATGAACTTCGTTCTCCAAACCGAGAATCGTCCTTCGTAATATATTTATTGCTTAAATGAATTAAAAGAGAAAGAAACAAGTTAATAGCAATTTTAGAAAAAAATGAAAAATGATTGAAAGGAAAACATTGGCATTATTTTGGAAAAGATTGTTCTTAACTCTACCCCTTTGAAATTCCTTTAACTCATTCGCTACGAATGACGTGATATGACATCATAAAAGCACATAACGTTGACTACGAAGGACGTGATATCACGTCCAAGCACAAACCCAATGTATTTTTTGGAATCTTGTAACCAAGACAACCTATAAAATGGGATTTAAAAACCTATTGATTCTGAAAGAGTATATCATATGCTTTAAAATAATATTGAACACTACATATGTATGCCCATGTTTATATTTTATATATTATCTCAGAGGTACCATATATGGCAATTTTCAAAAATTCTTCAGTATTTTAGTGCTTTTTGCCCCAGTATTGAAAGAGTTAAGCAAGAATGCAAACTAGCACAGGACAGAAACATTTCCATTCAAATGCTGATATTCAATTCTTAAACAATATTACTTCTTCAAATCTTTCATTAACCTCCCATGGAATCTAATATAAAATATAGATACAGGATAGTTTTTCATAAAGAATTTTAAAAAAATTCTGTTACTGTAACCACAGACTTGAAGAAAGTTTTTGTTGTCATATATTATCCAAACAACAAAGGTGGTTTCCCAGCTTACCCTCAATGAAGTATATTTTCCACCCTTTTCCTTGATCAGCACCAGGGCAGCTTTTTGGACACCAGTTGACTTGGGAAACATAAGACCTCCTTTGTGAACATTTTGGGGATTTAACTACAATAAACAAAGATACATGAATAATTAATTTGGTCGTGAATGTATATTGAGGCATCTTGAAAATGTGAACAGCCAAATGTTATTCATTAAATGTACATGTATTGTATTGTTATGAAAAGAATGGGTATCGATATGGCAAACTTTTTGAACACATGTTTCTCTTAAACCAGTCTTCAAAAATCTCTGAAAATCTTACAAATTGTCAATTTAATGGCCATCTTTTGATTGGTAACAATATAATTTGAAATAGATATACATGTACATACTTTCATCTATATCGTTTTAAAAAACACATCAAACACTTGTTTTGTTCTTGGTATCATGTTTCCAGAGTGAAATGAAACATCTTTCCGAACCTCATTGGAACAAAACGACATAAACACAGCATGTTTAGGTCTCTCAATATTGTAATTGTACAAAGGAAGTTTTGGTTGATTTTAAAAAAGTATCTTGTTAATGAAATAAAAGGTTTTTCTTGATTTTTGTCTATTTTGGGGGGATTTTGTTTTAATTTTTTGAATACTTTTTTAAAATCAACAAAAAATTCCTCTGTATAACTTTAATATTGAGAGGTCTAAAACATGTTGTACATGTATATGCTATTTTGTTCCAACAAGGTTCGGAAAGACATTTTATTTCATTCTAAAGAATTGGTAGAAAGGAGCAAAAACAATTGCACTAAAAAAACAAAAAATGTTAACAAAAACAGTTATATAAAATATTTCTAAATAATTTTTGCATTAAATTGGTGTCAATCAGTCAACATTACATAAAATACCATGTTTTTTTACAGAATGTTTTCAATGATTGGTTTAAGAGAAAAACATTGTTGAATTCAGTTCTCCATATCGATACCTATCCTTTGACATGAGGAATTAATTGATAATCTAATGCTGTTCTCAGTTTTAGTTTGATATGTCCTTATTTAATTATTCATTTGCAGAATGTGTCAATTACAGTGTTTTCTTGGGCTGTGTATGACTGGTGAAAGAAACTGAATTCGATGGACAGTTGTATATGAAACAAATCAAATTACAGCAATCATATCAATACAAAGGGGCGGTAAAAGTTTTTTTTTATTGAAGATGGGAGGAATTACTTGCTGGCCATAAAGTAGTATTTTATCAAAAGCTTTAAAGTTTAGAACCCTACCTTTCCCTGTGTGACTAGAAATGCATGTATAGGTGTGAACTTGAGACTTTTCCCTTTCTTGGCCCAGAGATGGTCAGTTGGTTGGGTGTAAAGCAGCTTGCCACTACTGACTATGAATGCCTCGTTCCTGTTCCAGCCTAGTGTCTCAATAACAGTCTGAAGGTAAAGAAATGCAATGTTTGTATAACGTGAAACATAACAAGCATTCACAAAAAATCACCATTAGCAGATGGTTACAAAAGTTACAAATGCAAATGTCTTAAATTACTTTAACTTGGATGCATAACAAGCACAATTATAATTCAAACACAATTAGAGATTATAATATACAGAAATGATTCAATACATACATCATTATGGACATATTATATATCTTTTATTGACTCTTTAGATGTCATATCATGACATATTAGTCACTAAGGTAGAGCAGTTCTTCCCATTGTCGAGTTAAAGAACTGGTATCTTTATCCTGGCTAGAACCATAGACAATTCTAGCCAGCGCCAGCCTTTTATCGAGTTAGCAGCACTCTAGTAATCACTGGTATAGGTCAGCAGTCATAGGTCAAAGACAAATCACAAGAAGTGCTGTGACCTGGGTTTGAACCCAAGACCTCTACTTTTCAGCCTGAAGCCAGACTTCCTGCTTTTCAGACCAATGCCTTAACCACTAGGCCAACCCAGCGACCACAATATAATATTGTAAGTTGGTGGATATTGCTGAATAGAGCTGTGTGTGATTCAGTTCCAAATGAAAGATAGCTCCTCAGCATCTTTATCATAAGATATATGACTCGAAAAATGCTGGTCAACATCAAAATGCTATTGGTACCAGGCTTCATTGAACTTTAATTTATATCTTTCAATTACCACTCAGCTCTCAACTAACAACACAGACATGTATAAAATATGAAATATATGTTTTGAGAAGAAAATCTTATAAATAATAAAGGATTCATAACTATACCAACAATAAGCAAAATGAATTTTGACCATATTTGTGAATACATGTATTATATTAAACCAATATACAAACGGATTACCATGGACTGGAAACAGTTATAACAAGGGAGCATTTTTCATGGTCAGACACTAAGAACAGATCAGTGAATGACATAATCTGCTTGTCAAGATTGAGTTCGGTAACATTCTCTGATTGGCCCTTTCGATTCCAGACCTGAGATTGGTCAGTAGGTTTAACAGCCTTGCTCCTTTTAGTTAAAAACTGAGGAAGAATCTAATATAAACGGCAATGATTCCGATGATCTTCACTCTAACTCTCGAGCTCTCAACATGGAATTTTAAAATATGCAAACATTCTGCAGCACGCACAATTCATTGACCCCTTGGTTTAAATTCTTTAGCTTATACTTCTTAGTAATACCCTATATTTTTCTAAGAGGTCATCATCATATTGGCATCTACCTCTGTATTTCCATTTTACTCACCCCCTTCTCAAAAGTCTTATAATTCATCTGTTAAAACAACAAACCAATATTTCTTAATGTAATGTCAGTTTCTAATGTGAAACATTTATTATTTTGTGAATCAACCATGATTAATCATCTCATGGAACAATAGTAACACTGGTAAAACATGAAATATCATCAAATGTCTTTATAACATTTGGACCTGGAGCTCCACCAGAAATCAATGTACATCTCAGGGTTTCTGTATATCCAATATCTGTTTGATTTGGAAACAAATCAACACATGCACCATATCCTACACTAGTAGACTCCGGACTAAACCAGCAATGTCTGGTAGTGATGTATTCATTGACATCATTGTACCATGCAAGTTGTCCCGCTACACCCCCTGATACTCTGTACTGACACATAATATTTGTCTCCTGATATACTGGAGCAGTAAGCGAAGAAGGGCAGCCAAAACTAACTAAAAGATGTAATTACATGTGACTGTTAGTTAATGAACTAGATAGTACAGATAACACATATTATATAATTCACATAGATTTTTACGTAAATCAAATATAAAAATTATCAGTATCATAAATATAACAGGTCAAGTAGTAAAGGAGTAGTATCGATATGGGGAACCTTTTGAACACACGTTTCTCTTAAATTAGTCATAAAAAAATCTAAAAATTTTACACATCGTCAATCTAATGGTCATCTTTTAAATGGTAACAATGTAATTTGAAAAATATATATATACTTTCATCTCTATTGTTTTAGAAAACACATCAAACACTTGTTTTGTTCTTGGTATCATGTTTCCAGAGTGAAGTGAAACATCTTTCCTAAAATCTCATTGGAACAAAACGACATAAACATAAACGACATAGTACTTCCGGTGTAATGGTGGAAAGACGTGTTCAAAATGTCTCAGCCATCAGATGAGGATTTACTGCATTATGAGCAAGTTCTGAACTTGCTGACTGAAGGACCCAGGAGCGAGGTCGTTGAGCAGCTGCTTCATGATGGATCCGAGGAGGAATTTGATACTATACGCGAATATTTCTTCGAAAAAGCCAAGATAAAAGTCACGGAGCATTGTAATTCGATTTTTGGACCGTTGGCTGAACGGGAGGAAAACGAAGTCCCTGTGAATCTCCAGCCTAAGAAACGTCAGGGTAAGAATAAATTAACGAACACTGTAATGGATATATGCGATTTATACCTATATATAACTGACAATTTGGATATGTTTCCAAAGGGCGTTCTTAGTACGAACAGCTTTCTGCCTGAGGCGACCATGTCCAGGGAAGCATGTAACAATATGCACCGCAATGATAGGGCAGCGTCCATGGATGTTACTATCACTTTGCTAACCCAGAGGGTTAAGGAGCTCGAGGATGAAAAGGGGCTTATGAAAAAGGATATTGGTGTCTTAACCTCGAAACTAGAGGAAATGACAGTTACATGTAAAACGTTACAATCTGATTTTTCTAAAATGGCCCAGAATTTGAACTCTACGCTGGAAAATTTAGCCTCAACTGCCGACCTCGCAAATCCTAATTCGACCATCAAGCAAAATCAGAAGGCTATGGCTAATTTCGCAAAATCCAGCCTTGCGGTTTTGTCGGGAGTGAGTTGCAGTAATCTGAGTAAACCCAATGACCCTAATGTCCCAGTTATTGACCGGTCAAATAATGTAAACAATAATAATAGAAACAGTAACATTGGAATACCTATTGACCGCCCCCAAACTCCAAATCTGGCCCCAGGCAGTGATGGGTACCCGAAGTTAGATAAAGATGATCCAGCACCTAACCCAAACGCAGACACCGCTAATGCTGATGCGAACACCCAGTTAGAGTCCACGAAACGGACGTTAACCCCTGCGGAACGCCATGACGCGTTGATTCCTGATAACCCCCCAGATACTGACACCTCCCATACCAAAGAGGACGACGCCCCCGAGACCCCCAAGAATGAATCTTGGTCTGAATACGCTTTCGGACGATGGGTCATATCAGGTTAATTACGGCACAACGGCAACTGGCGTATGGCGCGGACCTCCCCCTAAGAGTGGAATTTGGAATGGTTCCGATCAACCTGGAAAGGAATGGCAGACCTGGATTGGCAATAGTCAACTACGGCGACAGAAATTAGTAGCGAAACAAAAGGATTACATCAACACGGTCCCCACAAGACAGAAAATTATGCGTGACGAAATTCCCAAGAAACGGTTAAGAGGCATCGAGTACGAGGAAGTAAGGACTTTATATTTGGAAAATATATATCAATCAAATGATGAAGAAGACGATGATACTATTGAAACTGTAAAACGGTATGCGTTGGACAACGGAATAAGGGTGAAACAAATACATGTAGTGCATAATCGTATATCATGTGACAGAGTGGGCTGTAAAATAACTGTGCCCTTACACCATGTCGATAAGGCCTTAAGCATCGACTTATGGCCAATCCCAATCAAATGTAGAGAGTGGGTACGACGATCACGACGCGATGTCGTCAGGAGTGACTCATATAATGACACTGACTTAAGACCGAGGTATAACTCGCGTAACTTCTAATCCTGATCATGACTTTTTCTTCACTTTCACAACTTGTATTAGTCGTAATGGTAGTTATTTCACAGTGGAATATAAATGGCCTCAATTCATCTGAGTTATATCTAAGAGAACTTCTAAGTTCAAGTGATATTGTCGCTGTTTCGGAACACCGACTTTTTGAAGCAAATTTGCACAAATTAAAAGCTATTGATGCTGAATATGATTCCATTGCGATTAGCTGCAAAAACCTTGATTCTATGCAATGCGGTCTGACTTGGGGCCATGGTGGGGTTGCTCTTATGTGGCGTAGATCAATTAAACATGCCATATCACCGATACATAAATTTTGTAACGATAGGATTGCATGCATTAAGGTTGAGGCAAATGTGCCAATTTTTATATTCTCTGTATATTTGCCACAGATTGGGTGTAAAAATGACAATTTTGAAGACGTGTTGAATACACTTGAAGAATATGTGATAAGTTGTCATGTAGATGCTCAAATAGTAATTACTGGTGATTTTAATGCCAATTTAGGCAATTTATGTAGTACACGGCGTTGTACCACTAATTATAGTTATAACGGTCAACTGCTGTTTCAAATGATGCAGCGTAACGGGTTAGTTGCCCTCGATATGCAAAACATAACACAAGGGCCTAATTATACATACGAATCAGCCACTGGGTATAAATCGTATATTGACCATATTGTGATTTCTGAATCTATGCTGGAGAGTGTAATAAGCTGTAATGTTTTGTGTAGCGCATATACGTCAATGCATGGCCATTTGGCGATTAAAAGTAATTTAGACCTGCCATCTATTAATCATGTTAAAAGCTCTACGCTCTGTGTCAAGAAGGTGTATTCATGGTACAGGGTGTCTCGCAATGAGGTAAATGTTAAGTATACAATCCCTTTGCAGTCGGATTTGGAGCCTTTAATCAGGAGTATGTCAGACAATAGCAAACTTGATTGTAAGGATATCGATAGTTTTATCGAACGTTTGATTGAAATTGTAAAATGTAGAGCTGATGATGCCATTCCTTTGAAAAAATTTATGAAGCATCAGAAGCCTTTTTGGAACAATGATCTGTCTGTTCTTAGTAAAAAACAAAAAGCAGCCTGGCATAAATGGACTAAAGCGGGGAGACCAAGGGATTCTTCTGATCCTATCAGGAAAGCTTACAAGGAAGCGAAGAAAAACTTCCGAGCTGCATTTAATCAGTCACGTGTAAACTATGAACAGAAGCAGCTTAATGATATTTACGATGCTAATGATATGGATCAAAGAACTTTTTGGTACCTCTTGAATAAAAGTAGAAATTGTACAAGTAAGTCAACGGGGTCTATCAGATCAGATTCTGGTGATATTTTAACTAATCCCACTGATATTAATAATGATTGGCAATCATATTTCAGCAAACTAGCATCATATGATCACAGGGACATTTTTAACCAACATTTTGAACAAACTGTTAAATCTGATGTGAAAAACATGAAAGTGGAATCTCTATTAAATAATGATGGTATTCTTGACTCAGAGATTACAGTTAAAGAAGTAAATGATTGTGTAATGAAACTTAATAATAATAAGGCTGCAGGGCATGATGGATTGAATGCTGAGCATATCAAATATGGTGGTGACTGTATGACATTGTTATTAACCTCACTTTTTAATGTTATTCGGGTCAGCGAGTACATCCCAGAAAATTTTTGCACTGGCATTCTCATTCCATTACTTAAATCTGGGAATAAAGACTGTCACAACAAGGATCATCATCGGGGAATAACACTCATGAGTATTTTAAGAAAATTGTTTGACAATATTATTCTGTTAAGAATGCTGCCTCGGCTTAGGAGTAAAATTCCCCAGCTCCAGGGAGCCTCTATTGAAAATTGCTCATCTCTTCAAACATCATTGTTACTACAGGAAACCATAGCCCATAATATTAAGGATGGCGTCATTTTGGCGTTAATGGACATTAAGAAGGCCTTTGACGGTACTTGGATTGACGGTCTGTTCTGGAAGCTATATCACAACGGTGTAAATGGTCTAGCGTGGCGAATTTTGTACCAGTCTTATTGTAAATACAAATGTAAAGTTTTTGTAAGTGGAATTTTTCAATGTCCACCGGGGAGTCCACCAAGGTGGGGTTTGTAGTATGGTCTTGTATCAGTTTTACTTGGCTGATTTATTACACGAGCTGGTTAACAGTCAGGCAGTTGCAAAAATTGGGGATCACCCTGTAGGTTGCCCGGCTTACGCAGATGATCTTGCTCTTATTACTACTGGTCATCACCAAATGAATATTTTACTTCAATTAGCTTATGATTACAGTCTTCGCTGGAGATTTGAATTCCACCCAGACAAATGTGTCATCATGTATTTTGGCCCAGGGAAAAGGGCTGCTCAAGATTTTAAACTTGGTAAAAATTCGCTTAAAATTGTTAACTCTGCTCAGCATGTTGGAATACCACTGGGTAGTACAAATGTACATGTTAAAACTGCAATATCTTGTGCAAGAAGAAAATTTTGTTCACTCTTAGGTCTAGGCAATGGGTGCGGTGGTATACATCCCTTGCTTGGATCAAAGCTGTACTGGTCATTCTCCTATCCAACTCTGACTTATGGTTGTGCAGTAATACCTTACACTAACAATGACATTAATCTAATGGAAGGTCTGCACAAAGAGGTCGGAAAACGCATTCAGACATTACCAAAGAATACGCCAGACCCTGTCGCCACTAGTCTGCTTGGATGGATGTCTGTTAAAGCAAAAATTGACTGTGATAGATTGATGTTTCTGTACATGTTGTTAAGGTTGCCTGTAAGCTGTATATATAAGGTTATTTGTTTAGAAAGGTTAATACGGATGATGTATTTAAAATCACCATCTCAAGGTCTGAAATCTCCATTATCTCAAATGTGGGATACTGTTGTGCAGTACAACCTCATAGACTATGTTAAGAACATGATTTTTAATGCAGAAATCCCTTCAAAACAAGAATTTAGAACTGTAGTCTACGGACGTGTCAAGAGTTTTCACAATTATAGTACTGTTTTATCATCATTAATGTATAAAAATCTCAACGTGGTGACAGGATCGTTGTCTATCCTAAAACCGAATGTATGGTGGGTGATCGCAAAAGAAAACCCCAATGTATTATACCTCTGTAAAATGATGGTCAAACTATTAACCTCGACATATTTTAACAGTAGACGCCGTGAGGGTGACACAACTTTATCAGAAATCTGTATATTTTGTGATCTTAACGAAAGAGAAAGTGTTAAGCATTTCTTGATTACTTGTCCAGCATTTACTAATGTTAGAAAACCCTTACTCAATTTAGCGAGAGGTAATCTGAATGTAATGAACGACGATTATATTCTTAAAGTGATTCTAGGAACTGTATACAATGATGATAAGGAGACTCTGTTACTCATAGCTATGCATGTGTACGAGTTACACAGGCATAGGCAATTTCTTGTGGATAAAAGTTAGTTATCCTCTTTACCTTACATCAAGTAACACAAATATGTTTTATAATTTTATTTAATTTTCTCTACATGTTAATATGAATGTAACTCTCTTTTATTTAAGAGGTAAATAAATTATACATACAAACACAACATGTTGTAATTGTGTGAAGGAAATTTTGGTTGATTTAAAAAAAGTAGCTTGTTAATGAAATAAAAGGTTTATCTTGATTTTAATCAATTTTGGGTGGATTTTGTTATAATTTTTTGAATACTTTTTTAAAATCAACCAAAAATTCCTTTGTATAACTATAATATTGAGAGGTCTAAAAACATGTTGTACATGCTATTTTGTTTCAACAAGGTTTGGAAAGACATTTTATTTCATTTTCAAGACTTGGTAGAAAGGAGCAAAAACAATTGCACTAAAAAAAACAAAAAATGTTAACAAAAACAGTTGTATGAAATATTTCTAAATAATTTTCGCATTAAATTGTTGTCAATCAGTCAACATTACATAAGATACCGTGTTTTTTTACAGAATGTTTTCAATGATTGGTTTAAGAAAAAACATTGTTGAATTCAATTCTCCATATCAATACCACTCCTTTTACAGAAAATATTAAGTCAAATGTTAAGGTCATCCCAATCATGGGCAATAAGGTCAATTGTGTATATTATCTAAGAAAATCCGCCCTATCCACACAAATGACCAACGCTTGATTTGTAACAAACCAAAAGTCAGGTCTTTTCAAAGTCATATCGTGTATTGATCAGAAGTTTTTTTATTTTACAAATAGCCATCCAAAAAACTAAACTAAAGAACTTTGTAACCTCTAACAAGCGCATGAAATATAAAAAATCTGATGAGTGATTTTTCTGGAAAAAGCTTTAAAGGGAAGCCAGAAAACAAAATATGCACTAAAAAGTAAATCAACTGTAGAATTCGGTACCCTCTATCAAAAGGAAAAAATATGACAACCAATGCAATGATATATTTTTGTAAGCTTCTAAACCGCTTCTAGACAACAATATGGCCAAATCAAAAAGCTAGAGCTTGGAACACTTTGAAAGTAATCTGGCAAATGATTTTCCTGCAATAGCAATGATGAGATTTACAGAAAAAATTCTAAAATGGCTACCAGAAAACAATATGGCCACCAAAATGGTTATCATCAACTGTACAACTTAGTAACCATGTAACATGTGTACAAAGATAGAGAAAAAAATCGGATAGGTCGTTTCACTGAAGTCGCATGACAAGATTCTTTGAATTATTGTTAAAATGACGGCCAGAAAACAAGATGGCTACCTTAAAGTTTATCAACTGTAAAATTCTAAAAAATGTGAGAATTTGAAGAAAATCAGTAGTCTTACTAAAATCGAGATAACAATATTTTCTAAGTCATGATTGCCACCATCATGACAACTATGGTGTTATTAAAACTTAGACTGACACAAATTAAGTAAAATTATTCAAGGTTTCTTACAGAATGTGATGAACATAAAGTCATTTGGCCTGAAGAGTTCAGTGTTGTTTGGCCCAATCACAGCACAATAATGAAAGTGTTGGCTTGCATCAATGCTTATCTTCATGTTGTAACTATCACCGGTATCCATCGAGTATTTTCTTGGATTTGAGACCTCTCTGTTTGGGTTGTTGACATTTGTATATATAAGTTCTAATGGAGCATTTCTCCAAGCACTGCCAAACCATGCAATGATTTCCTCAGATGGGTACGGAATGTCACAAGGCAAAGTAACTATATCTCCAGCTAATGCATAAACAATCATTTTTCTTCCAACTAAAAAACAATAATAATGTATAACATAATGCTTAATAATATTTCAATCCAAGAGTGGTATCACTAGTGGTGGAACTTACACTCAACTTAAGTCAGAAAATGCGGGAGAACATGGAATAATTTACGAGTTGCATGAGAAAAAATGGAAATAATAAGATTTCATAATCTACTTATTCCAGAGATTTAGTGTGTTTATAAATCCCTTATGTTTAACGTCAAAATTGTCTGTACTATGTCATCACTTGTCATGCAGCTCTATCCATTTATACAGAGTCATCACTTACAAAATGTTGTTTCTTAGTGAATAAATTCTTTTATCCCATGATTCTACTACTTCCTGGTGAAAAACACCCAGGAAAAAATTATGATATTGACAAAAAATTGTATTGTCACAACTAATCACACTCATGAAAATTGTATTCACCTCTCGAAATATTTGCCCAACAAAGCTTCCTATTTCGTTAAGTTGGGATGATATACACTGCAACGTGCTATAATGATGTGAGAAACGACATTTTCCAAACAAAGTTGTAAATAGAGATTTTGAAACGTAAGAAGTATGAAGCAAAAACATAGGCCAATTGTAATTTCATCATCATGCTCTGACACAAACAGTCAACGTCATAGAAATCTGAGCAATAAGCGAATGCGCTGTGATGAACATGTGTACGTACTGTTGAACTTTTTGATGTTGATGGGTTTATGTTGTAAAATAAATTTTTATATTTCAAAATGTCATAAAGTTAAGTCATATTTTGTAGACTAACTATATAGTCTGGTTTTGTTTCATCCTAAAATCAGATATGGATTTTGAACTAATGATTTTATGGAGAGAGTTATCATGGGATAAAAAGCTTATTTACTGGTCAAGATTAAATATTATTACCACCTCGCTGGGCCAGTTCTAGGGGTTTTAGTGCTAGTTTAGAGGGCATTCATTTTACTATATCGACCTGAGAAATGTGTGACGTCATAGTGGTCTACAATATATTCTGGACCGGCAATTTTTCCCCAGGAAATAAGATTTTCTTGCTATTTCAGCCCTGGTCGTTAACGGTGGTAATAATACCAATAGCGTCATTTCTGCGAGGAATATTAAACAAATACTGGATGATCAGGAGCTGGATATGGCAGAATACCTATTCGAGAAAAAATATTGGGCGAGGCGGTAGCCGAGCCCAATATTTTTTCGAGGATAGGTATTCTGGCCATATCCAGCTCCTGATCATCCAGTATTTGTTTTATTATGCACCTCCCAATCAAACTTAAGTGGAGTACTTACTGGAGTACAGGCTTAAACTGTCGTTTAGTTGACATTATTTTGACATTTAAGTTATTTTTTCAAAACTCAGACGACTTCCGGCCAGATTATTCGCTACACTGGAGGAAAATATTTGCCCCGGGAATTTAATTTTTATTCGAGACGTTCTTGCAGAATTATATGTAACTTTTGAATGATAAGGGTAATTGTGATTGATTAAGTGCATTCTTTTCTTCTATTTTCCGCCAGTTTCAGATGTAAGCTTTAAGTAGTACTCCAGTTATTAAGAAATAAAACTCTGAAGTGGGAATGTTGCAAAAACATTGAAAAAAATATCCGACCCTTTTTCTCGAAAGGGTCAGATATTAAAAAAATATCCGGCAGTTTTCAGAAAAGAGCAGAGTATTGCCAAATTACAAGCAACTAAGAACCAATCAGATTTGAGTATTTTAATGAGGTGCATAATAAAGTGAAATATTGGACCTTGGGCCTTCGGCCCTCAGTCCAATATTTCACTATATTGCCCTTAGAAATGACGTTATTGTACTATTATTCCTCATGACAATATCATATTCTTCTCTGGCACTCCGGGCCCTCGCGTGAAATCATATTGTCATACGGAATAAAACCTATACTGAATCCCTCCCAGTAAATAACCTCTATATCTTGTTTAGACATAGTTATTATTTGTAAGGAATCATAGTGATATTTGGCATGAAGTCATGTTACTATGTAATCCACCTTATGAATAAGGAATTCGGAGGAGAAAACGATTCATTCTTGGTGAAAAGAACATCAGAATTGATCCATTAAATATTCATTTCTATACATATAAGTACATATTTTTGCAAAACGCCAAACTTCAATATTCACTTATACCTATAACTATAGCTATACACAGAAACATAAGTTATGGTTTTTTGTATGAGATGTATGAGCGAAACCTCTCTATAATGTGTGTATAGATCCCTTATGTTTATAACTTAAAATGTTCATGTACTATAAAATGTTGTGTATATGTGTGTAAGTCCTTGTCATATTAATACCAAATAAGCAATATAAACTAGGAATTTAGTAACTGTTCATTTCCAATGAAAATGATCTTAAATAAATTGATAAAATAGTACATGAAATAGAAAGGGTTTTTCCATATTATATTAGATGATACATCATTAAAAATTATTTCAAAACAAGACTTTTTTAGAATTAATGCAAAAGGTTATGACCTTTTTGATTTGAACGTTACTACCTTGTTGGCAGCTAGTCTGGTGAACCACTGTAGCTATCACAATCAGTAACTGAGCAACCAGTAGCATGATGTTAACTCAAAATCTTTGAAATTCAAGATCTGTGTATAGTTGATTTGTTTTTGAAAAAGTTCTTCTCATACAACTTATATATCAATGCCTGCACTGATGGGAGCCATTTCTTAGTAAACAGCTATGTAACAGTCAGTGAATGGTGCACAGACACCAAAAAACATTGCTAAATAGAGCACAGACGATGTTAATGAATACAAGAAAAAAGTCTCTACTTGAGGTAATTCATGAGACTGTTTGTTTTGCTGTTTTTTATCAATAAACTTTGACTTTTGCAAATATATTTTCTGAATTGACAATTGGCAGATCCTTATCTGAAACTTAAAAATCAATTTTAAAACTTGTCAACAGTTCTGAAATAAGAGACATAAAACATAGTGATTCCTATGTATGTATGTATATATTTATTGCCCTTTATATAAAGGAGATACATGTATACAAATTATGTTAAATTGCAATTGAAAATAATCACTATTTACAAACAAACAATGTCGTTGCTTTTTAACTGACGACGACGCCTAGCTACCGCGTAGACGCACGCCGCCGACCAAGATTGGCCTAACACCTAATTGTAACGTAATTATAAAAAAGTAACTATATTTTACAAACGCTCATTGCTTTGTTGTTTGTTTTGGTTTTTTTTGAACCAACGACGACGCCTAGCTACCGCGTAGACGAACGCCGTAGGCCTAAATCGACCTGTTACCTAACACTCTTGAGATTAATCAAAAAATGACATTATGAAGCTGCATTTTCTATAAAATTAAAAAGAAGACATAGCATATATCATCGTACCTTCCCCAAGGTCGTTACTGCAGTACTGTATGAAAGTATAGATGCTTTCAATATGTTGTAGGCTAGTAAAATAAATATACAATTTATGTTAATTAGAGGTTGGTGGTGTTGCTATATGGTGCAATTCTAAATTAGTATGTAAAGTAAATGTACATAAATATAAATACAAATATGCGAGTAAAACCAAACTCTTGGTTAACTCTTGGTGGCAGGTTGGTCATTGTACATGTGGTTGGTCATTGTACATGTCCCTCTTGTGAATATTTAGGACATTTATCCCAGATTTCAAGGGTGTCTGATATACCATTAGAAAGTACATTCAAAGTTATGAAATAAGTCTCAAACTGTAACACTGTATTGCACCGTCTGTTCCCTCTTTGTACTTTCACAAAATAGGAATATATCGCATTGAATTCAAAATAAAAATATGTTTATAAACAGAATACCTGCTGATAAACATAACTCACATATTGCACGTAACACTCATAAATCAAAAAAGAATAGAAAAAAAGAAAAAGAACAAAGCCACCATTAACAGATGTTAATTTCACATAACTTTGAATATCCTCTCAAGAAACATGTTTTCTTCCACTATCAAGTACAAAGTACATACTAAAGTAAAGTGCAAGTAAATTTGATACCATTTCGTAATATCTATTTGTTCTACACAGTGGTATTTCGCGCAAATAATCACAATTTAGCTAATTTTTAAGATTAAAATCTTGCCTGCAGTTAAAAAAACATGCGTTTTTGAACTGCCCACGGTGCAAGTCAATTGCATTATAAAGTTTTCCACCTAGGTATCATGAAAAAGAACGATGAGGGGGTCACACATTTTCAACAAAAACAGCTCATCCAAGCGCACTTACATCACTAATTACGATGTGTCAATCTTGTTGGCTAACCGCGTGTGTCAACCGTCAGCTAGTTGCGAGTATACCACAGGAGTTCAATTGCAATAGACTGTGATGTCTTTCAAAATAATAATGTGATTGTAAGTGCGCTTGGAGGAACTATTTTTGTTGAAAACACATGAGCATGTAAATCAACAATGGCCGACCTCCAATTTTGTTAAGTTCAACTGAATTCTCACAACTATTACCTGGTTAAACTGATTCTCATATGATTGCAGATGTCTCTCGACAGTTATAGCCTAAAATGTGTATTATACTTTTTAATCTACAAGTAGAATCATCCTTTGGTTGCTTATACACATGCTTTATAACTATGGACCCCGTGCTATCTTTCACACCCGATTTTTTCTGCTACCATGTCGAAAGAGTTTACTCTTGTTTCCTTTATTCCTTGATATAATCTTCTACTCCATCCTTGGGCCTCAGTTTCATTTGCTCTATGGCCATATGTGGATATAGAGAATCAACATTGTACTGCTTATCCCTATATTTATGCTGCACATTTCTCTCAATTTTGGGAAGCGGAGGCTAACGTGCAGTTGCCGTAAATCAAATGTGACCGAGGCATTAGTAAGATAAGGCTACAGATTTCAGTGTTTTTTTTCCCTTTATTCCTAGCAATATTCAATTCTATCCTTAGAAGGGTAGCAGGCCCGTAGCCCGGGGGGTTCGATGGATTCAAGCGAATCCCCCCCCCACCAAAATATCTTTCAAATTCATGCAGTTTTTCACCATTCTGAGCACTTTTTAAGTGATTTTGGCCATTTTTGGACCAAAATTGTCACAAGTGAACCAACTTTGGAATTTTTCAAAAAGTGAATCCCCCTTGGCAAATCCTGGCTACCGGCCTGCTTAGTATGAATATAAGGCAAAAACATGACAAAATGTGACCATGGTTAAAAAAGAGTGACAATTGTTGCACAAACTACTGACACAGACACCAGAAGAAAAACAGGGTTCACAACAATATGTTACCACAATGGTGACTTTGTAAAATAATGGTAAATACCTTGTTCATTTCAATATTTTCTGTATCATGTTTTTTCGTACTGGAAGATCGTCTCTTCAATTTGATTCCACTTCTCTTAGTTTTCTGGAAGAAAATACAATAATACAAAGGGAATGCACATTTGTAAAACATCTAAATACTGTATTATTTCAAAGGGAATGCATATTTGGGCACATCTGTAAAACAAATTAATATATAATTGACATTGAATAGCCATATTGAATTCAAATATGTCCACCATTATCTATTATTTTTCATACTAATTAATCTGGATATAACTGCATTTTTGATCTTCAATAACTTCTATATCTGACTTCTGATCAGATGGGATTATAAGGAAAACAAAGTCAAGAGAAAAATATGCTTCAAACATTCCATTTTTTCTTTCCCTTCCAATTCTTTTAAAGAACACACTGAACTACAAACAAATTGACTTGTTGAAACAAATCATATTGACAAAAACATTAGTGACACAGTGATCACTGCTCCAACTTACAGCATTGATGTGTTCAATGATGTTCTCTAGCTTCTGCTGTGCTGTTTTAATACTGTCTTTGTCTTTATGGTGGTTGGTTGTGGCCTTATAGAGTCTGGTCAACAGGAGAGGATACCTGGAACATGCAAAAATGTAAAGTGGTAAGTTATGCATAACAAGTGAGTGATTGCAAAAGCTCACCATGTGAGCTAATAAATATAGGGGAGGTTGAGGCAAATGGTCGAGGGAAAACTTTCATCAAATACAAAAGACTTTAGAGCAAACAATTCCATACTAAAGCAATATTGAAGTTGTTGAAGGTCATACAACATATCTGCCTCATATCGATGATAAGTATTTTGATATGGGATCATAAAATTGTTTTGAATGATATCATTCTTATCAATGAATCAATATGATAATGTCTAAAATGTATGCATTATGGTGTGAAAAAAGCACATGATTACAAGTCCTCAGTAAAATTACCATGAGCAGGGTCAATATCAATGCATTTGTTTCACAACTCATTTGGTCATTTAATATAGAAGTTATATTATACAGACAAGGGAAGTAAGTATGTAAGTTGGGATGTTTTTTATACTACTACATTATAAACAAGGCATTAACATAAAAAATGTCACCACCTTCCATTTGTTACAGATGCTGAACAATATGAAAAGTTAGAGATTATACTAAAAAGTCATCACTTTAAAAAATCACTTTACTTTGAAAGTATAATCCAGTATGTTGAGAATGCAAATCAAGTTATATGTAATAGTACAGCACAAGAAAATAAATAAATAAAAAGACATCTAATTATAAAGTACTAATGTATTAGTATATAAAACCAGTACAAAAGATTTACTCTCATGTTACAGAACATGTTATCCCTTGGGTATGTGTCCCTGGCAACAGTAGTTTGTGTGGCTCTTAGCCAACCAGAGAGTACATTTGTCAACTACTGTACACCAACAGAAGACTGCTGGCCATGTGCTCCTGATATCAGAGCCTTTGCAGCCACTCTGTCTTCACCTGATATCCTAATAGACAATTGGAATGAAAAGTTTGATCTTGCAGCAGATGTTGGGAACCACTATCTATGGAGGAAACCTGGATGGGTGGTGGATGTTCAAACACTTGGTAAAATGTTACGTTTATTTAGAATCACATATGTTACATTTTAGAAAATATAAAATATACAATGTTACTTTATATTAAACCAGTATCAAGATGGAGTATAATGTCGATCAATGGAATATGTTCCAGGCCTTTTTTTAAAATACATGTTTTAGTAAGGATGCAGTGAAGCTTTTCTTGCACTTTTTGATCATCAAAATGTCAAACGTCAAAGAGGTCCTTTAGTCTTAGTGTTATAAAATAATGAATACAGTTGCGATGTTTTGTATCAATCACTGAATGCCTAGGATATTGAAATATTCAAAATAATTATCTAACATTTACAATAGAGGACGTCCAAAAAGCTGTGAGATTTGGGAGAAAGCACCGATTAAGGTTATCTATTGTATCATCTGGCCATGACTTTGCTGGCCGTAACACGGGAACAGCCTCTTTGATGATAAATACAAGAAATATGAAAGCCAAGCGGGTGTATCCAGCTGACGCCAACAGTCCTACTGGAAGTTCACTATGGGCAGAGCCAGCATGTAACATGGGGGAGATATTTGCTGAGGTAAGTATATAGCAAGCTGAGCCAGCATGTAACATGGGGGAGATATTTGCTGAGGTAAGTATATAGTAAGCTGAGCCAGCATGTAACATGGGGGAGATATTTGCTGAGGTAAGTATATAGCAAGCTGAGCCAGCATGTAACATGGGGGAGATATTTGCTGAGGTAAGTATATAGCAAGCTGAGCCAGCATGTAACATGGGGGAGATATTTGCTGAGGTAAGTTTATAGCAAGCTGAGCCAGCATGTAACATGGGAGAGATATTTGCTGAGGTAAGTATATAGCAAGCAGAACCAGCATGTAACATGGGAGAGATATTTGCTGAGGTAAGTTTATAGCAAGCTGAGCCAGCATGTAACATGGGGGAGATATTTGCTGAGGTAAGTATATAGCAAGCTGAGCCAGCATGTAACATGGGAGAGATATTTGCTGAGGTAAGTATATAGCAAGCAGAACCAGCATGTAACATGGGAGAGATATTTGCTGAGGTAAGTATATAGCAAGCAGAACCAGCATGTAACATGGGAGAGATATTTGCTGAGGTAAGTTTATAGCAAGCTGAGCCAGCATGTAACATGGGGGAGATATTTGCTGAGGTAAGTATATAGCAAGCTGAGCCAGCATGTAACATGGGAGAGATATTTGCTGAGGTAAGTACTAGTATATAGCAAGCTGAGCCAGTATGTAACATGGGAGAGATATTTGCTGGGGTAAGTTTATAGCAACCTGAGCCAGCATGTAACATGGGAGAGATATTTGCTGAGGTAAGTTTATCGCGTGCTGAGCCAGCATGTAACATGGGAGAGATATTTGCTGAGGTAAGTTTATTGCAAGCTGAGCCAGCATGTAACATGGGGGAGATATTTGCTGAGGTAAGTTAATTGCGTGCTGAGCCAGCATGTGACATGGGAGAGATATTTGCTGAGGTAAGTTTATTGCTTGCTGAGCCAGCATGTAACATGGGGGAGATATTTGCTGAGGTAAGTTTATTGCGAGCTGAGCCAGCATGTAACATGGGGGAGATATTTGCTGAGGTAAGTTTAGAGCGAGCTGAACCAGCATGTAACATAAAAAAGTACAATTTAAAGGCCTCACCTTCCCTATCCATGTATTATTCTACTCCATGTATTATTTTTCCCTGTCTAAATCTGAACATGACCACCACGTTTTCTCAAGAATAAATTACAATTTTGCTTGTTCGTCAGACAACTAACTTTGATTACTAACTTTAGGTAGATAGGTATGGCCTGGTTGCTGTTGGAGGGAATGCACATGGTGTGTCTGTATCAGGTTGGACACTGGGAGGAGGACACAGCCAGCTGAGCAGGAAGTATGGCCTGGGAGTGGACAATGTCCTGTCATTTGAGGTGGTATTGGCTGATGGTAGCGTGGCTAACGTATCTGCCAATGGTAAGATTTTTAAAGGTTGTGAACTTTTTATAAAAATACATTCTGAAAGTTACTTTTCTGGCGTATCACCATTCAGCCCCTTACATAATTAATTTCATAATGAGGTATTAACATCCAAAATGTCGCCTGCCATTTGTTACAAATGTCACACTGATCACTAAACACCCAACCACCGAACACCAAATGCTGAAGGGTACCTTCCACAAAAATTGGAGGCCATACACTAGGGCAGAGCATTTGTACTGAAAGGAGCGTTTTCAGTACAAATATGTACTGAAAAATGTACTGAATTTTTAAGTATATTTTTCAGTATAAATATGTACTGAAAAATATACTTAAAATTTCAGTGCAAATTTCAGTATAAATATGTACTGAAAAATGTACTGAAATTTTAAATACATTTTTCAGTATATATTTATACTGAAAAATATACTGAATTTTAAGTGTGATTTTAAGTGCAAATATGTACTTAAAAATATACTGAAATTTAAGTGTGATTTTAAGTGCAAATATGTACTGAAAAATATACTGAAATTTAAGGGCATATTTAAGTGTAAATTTTTACTGAAAAATATACTTAGATTTTGAAATACGACATCTTCCTGACTTTGACATCTATACCATGGATTTTGCTATACTCGAACAAATGAGGTTCTATGTTCATGTTATATATTTTAATTTTGATATCATTTAATTAATTTGCTCAAGCAATATGAGTGAAAATCTCATGAAAAACTTATTTTTAAGACTGAGAAAATGTGTACCTTTAATGTTTTTGAATTTTAGAACTTAATAAGGTAGAATGTATCTAGAAACCTCAAAAGGTATGGAATACACATGTTATGTACGATCAGTTTTAAATAAAGGGTTTATCCCTCAGGAAATATGGGTATCCAAAACCTCCCAGTACATAACCCTTATATATGCATTATATTTGATAGGTTTGATGGGGCTAAAAAGAAATTTATTGATGGAGAAAATGCAATCAGATATTATTACAGGATGCGTCTTAAATAATTAAATCCAAAAACATAACTTATTAAAAGGAAAACACTTGATTACAGTAAACCTAGCCTCTCCAGTTTGATTAGAGTCTGCTTTAAAGGATGTGTCTAAAGAAACTTTATTAATCCACTAACAAAACAAAATATTTTGACAAGGCAAAACAAACCTGATTACAGAGAGACTCTTTTAAGTTTGGTTAAAGGCTGCTGTAAAGGAAGCATCCAAAATAATTTCATAATGTAATAGCATTCCTGTTGGGGGGGGGGGGGGGGGTTTCAAGGGTCCAAGCGAACCCCCCCCCCCCCCCCGGCCAAAAATTCTTTAAAAATCATGCACTTTTCACCATTCTAAGAACTTTTTGAGTGATTTAGAGTTTATAAAGTATGCCTTACATTTACGTTTTCTCTTATTTCCATTATTGGGCACAAATATTTCTCATTGCATATATTTATACTTAAAATTATCCTTAAATTTCAGTATATTTTTCAGTACATTTTTATACTGACTTTTGCACTTAAATTTCAGTACATTTTTCAGTATATATTTGTACTTAAATTTATCCTTAAATTTTCAGTGCATTTTTCAGTATATTTTTGCACTTAAATTTGTCCTTAAAATTCAGTACATTTTTCAGTACATATTTATACTTAAATTTGTACTTAAAATTCAGTATATTTTTCAGTACATGAATTTGTACTGAAAAATATACTGAAAAAAATTCAGTGCATTTTTCAGTACAAAAATATACTTAAATTTGTACTGAAACAAAACTAGTACATTTTTCAGTACATATTTGTACTGAAAACGCTCCTTTCAGTACAAATGCTCTGCCCTAGTGATAACAATATGTCACCACTTGAAAATGACAAATTGATATTTGACCTGGTTCTGGTGGAACAATTTGTACTTAAAATTACTGATGACATATAAAATCTTTCTTCGATGATTTATATTATCTAGGTACATATATAATTGATGCTAACAACAACCCTGTGGAGGCCCCAGACAATGACCTCTGGTGGGCCTTAAGAGGAGGGGGAGGGAGTACATTTGCTGTAATGACTGCTCTTCATATAAAGCTGTTCCCTGCGGCAACAGGATATGTCAGGTTAAATGGAAACATAATTTGTGTCGAACAGAGAGAATTCCTATTTGGACAATCTACAGCCTTCACTTATTTGACACCATAGTCCTTGAGCAATACGTGTTTGGGATGTTTCACATATTTATGACCACTAGAAAAACCAGACAAAGACTCCTTATTAAATGAGCCTCGTGTTTTTTTCTATTTATCAATGTACAGCCTTAATCACACATACTAGTTTTCTGCATGAGGAAAATTCTGCCCAAAGAAAATGTCAAATTCTGCGCGAAATTCTGCATGAAATCCCAAATTCCGAGATAAATTCTGCAAGCAACTTCTAAACTTCTTCTTAACTATCACGAAATTTCGGGAAATTCAAATTTCGCGACATGGGAGACGTAATCTTCAAGTGCAAAGGTGGAAGTTTGAGAATTTTAAACATATTTCATATTTCTCCTTAGAAATCCTCACAACACCAGTTTCTGATGACAAAATTAGATTTTCTGCTGTGGCACGGAATCACAGATTTCTAGTATGTGTGCTTAATCACGCGGTCCTAACTTTGACCGTTAATTTGAATTTTTGACCTACTGGATGTTTGAAAATCAAGGATTGCGACTCTCATACTGCACCATTCTTCTTCAAACTTATACCATTAAAAGCAGAACAAAATTGCCTTTCTGTCAGTGCATTACTTTATTGTAAAGAGTCCCTCGTTCTAGCAGCGTTTTGGTCCCCAGCTGTTAGAAGGCCTTCTTACAGCTGGGGACCAAAATGCCACTGGAAGTAGGGACTCTGTTTAAAAGAATAATGTACCATCAGAAAGGGATTTTTGTTATGCTTTGAATGAAACAAGTTTGAAGAAAAACGGTGCAGTATGAGACTCGTAATCCTTGATTTTCAAACATCCGGTAGGTCAAAAATTCAAAATAACGGTCCAAGTTAGGACCGCGTCTTAATATAGAAGTTGTGGACCACTCACTCAAAGCCCTCTGTACATAAATACAATGTATTGCTTTAAAGGGGATAAAACATAAGACCACTAGAGATGATTGCTCTACGCTCTATCTGGACTAGGTCATAGATTTCAAATCAAGTAACAGTTTTTATGTTTGTTCCAGTACATTCCTTACTTATCCTATATGGGGTGAAAACATGTATTGGTTAGATGAGCCAGTTAACAACACAGGGGAGCAGGTCCTGGATTTCTTCTATAAGGATCTACTATGGAGATTGCCTGACACCTGGGGTGGATATGTAATGATATATACAGGACCTGTTGACCTTAGTAAGCGTGTTAGCCTGTTTACTTGATTGTTTGCTTATTTGTTTGTTGGTCTGTTTGCTTTTTTTATAAATACTGAAAATGTTATAATTAAGAAATATAGACGGAAAAGCAGGGGTTATATCTTCGAATACACCCCCCAGGGCTAGGCACAAACGTTTTCTTCGAAAGCTTTTGTGCCTAGCCCAAAGGGGTGTATTCGACGATATTACCCCTGCTCTGAAGTCTATATTACGATTCGAACATGAAAATCCACCAAATTGTTTCGAATATTCATCATGTTCCGCCATTACTACGACCCACCGTTATGACGTCACACATTACACTATTACTGGGTTATTGATCTCGAATATAACCCAGCTGAAGCATTGACTTTGTTTACAGTTTATAGAAGGCGTGAATACAGTCATGTTCGAATGAGTTTTCTAGTCAGTTTAGGTACTCAAGATGAGTTAGCATAGTTATAGCATGGTAACATCAACATGAATCCTTTATACAGCTTGGTTACCCTGTCATATATACTTTGTACTATCATAAATACTTCATAACATACTTGCACAGCACTATCATATATCCTTCATATAGCATGGTTGTATCCTGGCTATTCCCAACTAGGAAGCGTACAATTTACTCTGTTCCACTATGGACCATGGGAGGAGGCAATGAATGGCCTCCAGCCTCTCATTGACTTCCATCCTGAATGGCGACTTGCAAATGATTTATTCAACTTTAGCACTTATTTGGAAATGAATGAAGGTAAGTTTAATATTGAAGGCCTCATCTGATCGTAGAATAGCGTGATATGGCAAGATGGCTACAAGGGGTTACACTCTATCAACTTAATAAATAAATATTCATGAATTTTATCATAATCAACTGCCATTAGTTCCACATTTTCTGATCCATGAGTAAATCATAGGATGTTCTTTTTATTCCATTGTTTAAATTCAAATCAAATTGAGCAAACAACCGATTGGCTATTATATTATTCTTTATATTCTTTCTGCCAGCATTGTTTTGAGTCAAGTAGCAAAAATCTGTTATGGTGCGATATCTCATGGTTTTAAAGCTGTGTTCTATCAAAGATTTGCCAAAAATATGATATTATTCAATGGTTACAGTAAAAATATTACACATAAACTTTCTCATATTTTAGTATTAGTACTTTGCAATATCACCCCATCATTGAAATTCTAGGTGGTGTTAATGACATCCTGAATGGAAACACCTACATTGTGAACCGTCTTCACCAAGAGGAATATCTCAAAGCAGGTGCTATTACTGAAGTTTATAAAAACTACATACAGGATTTTGATGAAGATAGCTTTCAATTCAGCTGCACACTTGCACATCTGGGACGTAAGTTTAAAACTAAATCTAAAGTTGGGCCAACAAATTCTTTAGAATTGATATTTCTATGCAAGCAAACCAAAGAAAAATATTAAATTCATATGAAATTTATTTTGAATTAAGTATTTTGAACAGGAGATTGAAAGCAAAATATATTGTTCAATAAAACAACAACATTGAAGTTGATTCATATATCCGATTTAAAATTCCTAATCTAATAAAAAAATTCTTGCAGTTTAAAATCTTTTAAAATATTAACTTTTTAGATGCGACAGTGACCCCTGGGCCAGAGGACACCTCAATTAGCCCTGAATTGCGAAAAGCATACATCAGCAATTCCTGTGGGACAGCATGGGGAGCAGGGGAAACAGGGGACTACCAACGTCTAGCAATAAAAGATTTTGATTCTAATTTCTTACAACAAGCAGGAGATGGTGTGTATTATAATGAACCTGACACAGACCTGGTCAATTGGAAATCAGACTTCTGGGGATCGAACTATGCCCGCCTGGCAGAGATTAAACAGCGCTATGATCCAGATGGCTATTTCAGGTGCTCCCATTGTGTTGGCTCTGATGTGCCATTCACTGGGATCACCATACCATAAATGATCCAATGTTAGTTTACATCACTGGATGAGATACTTTGAATATGGTTCAATAAAAGAACTCCATGTATCACAAACAAATGGCTTAATGTTGGTTTTTGAATTTTTACTTGATCTCTAAGAAATAACTTGAATATCTTGCTTTGATATTTTGCTTTACAATGGAGGAAATAAACCTTCATAAAACATCACAAATTTAAATCTGAGATAGACTTTGTTGTTTGAAACTAACAAGGGCATGTTGAATCAAAACAATCTTCCAAGGTCAAAGTTTAAAAATGGATTAGAGATCTAGGGAAAAATAACTAGTATACAAACAACAATGACATTCTATAGAATATAAAAGAAACATTAGTATTCAAATGAGCCAGAAATTGAGAGCATCAGATTATGAACCTTAAAACTGTCAGATTCGAGAGATTAACTTTTATTTTATTTTATAAATTGCAAAAATTGTTGATTTCATTGCAGATGTTGAAATTATAATCTTGTTGAATGGTTCAATAATCCATTAATCCTAACACAAATTCACACTTAAATTATAATCTCATCTTTGGCTCAAAAATTGGCCAATATAGCACATAACATATACATAATGATACCAGAATTCAATGTAAAATGCCCCCCCCCCCCCCTCCAAAATAATTATACATATTTATTATAATAATTATTTATTCCATTCAATTCTGTTACAATGACCAAGATGAAATTTGGAAACATCATGTCTAGTTTATTTAGTCCACAAAGTTCAAGTATCGCAAAGCATTACACAACTCTTTAATAGCTTGATGGAATATGACGTGCTGACGTGAAATATGCTGTCATGCTGTGTAACTGTGGACTGATCTTAACAAGATAATCCACAAAATGAAAGCAATATTTCCTTGGTAAGATTGATTCATATATAACAATATATGAAATTAGTCTTAAATCAATCGACTGAGGTTAATAAGTAGAGAGTATTTTCTTTGATAAATACTTCAATATATCAACAAATCTTACGATTTCATCATTAACCCAACTACGAAACTAGAAAGATTTCTTAATTTTCCACTTATTGGTAGTCTTGTTTCAAGACTGTATATCCGACCTCCTTATCAACTTCACTAATACATTATTGTGGGGAGTTGAACCCTATTTATTAATCAATTTCAATAAACTTAAATCAAATTAACTTTTTGTAATCCTCAATCTGTGGCTAATGTTGTCTTCATTTACAAATACCAAGACAAGCCAGGATATCTACATGTACTTTGTTTTTTATAATTTCTCAAATTGTCCATGGATATATTTTGATAAAATCTAAGGAAAAGCTCTTCAAAAATAAAATAAAATCCAGTGTTACTTACTTCATAATTCTTTGAACAGGCCTCATCAGAAATGATTTCAGATTCATCCTGCGACAAATCGAGTTCTCCGCTTGAGAAACACGAAGGAAAATATGCAACAACTCTTTCTCTTTCTCCAGCTGTTCAAGTAGCAGCGTCGCAGCAGACTGATTTACACAATATTTCTCAAATGCTAATAACATGTTAGATGCCTCTAAGAACAACTTCCCAATATCAACAGTATTGAAGTTCTCATCATCTTGCTCATTAGCTAGTTCTATGGCATCTTGAAGGACGTCTGCAAATTCATCGTTTATTGCAATGAGTTCATCAAGGTTTTGAAAAATTGTCTCTGTTTGTTCAGTGGTTAACAGTCCTGCTGTCTCCATTGGTATACAGAATTCCTGTAAGTACATGTAAATGGTACGATACATCATTTGATTCAACGAGGGTGACATCTCATAGCATTTGATTGTTTATAAAACAGAATCTGTTTTACACGTTGACACCTCAGTGTTACACGCTTTCATGTCTAAAACATCATTTTCAGTTGGAAAACCATTCAAATTGTAATTTCAAGTGTGAAGGGGGAAATGTATCCCAGCTTGACCAGGTCTAACTGGGTCAGATATTTCATATAGCCAGAGCAGAAGCAATGCGCTTATACAGCAAATTTAGCAGTTTTTAGTGTTATAGTTATTTGGCTACCCACCACACCACTCCCCCTGTTTATGGTATTTAGGGGGGATAATTGATTCAAGTTCACTGAATCAACCTGTAATTTGTTGTCAAAGTAAAAGTAGTTAGTATAATAAATTGCATACTAATAATGCAAAATCTATGTACATTATTTATCATGCAAATAACTGAACTTTGTTTAACAGCATAATATACAGAAATATCATTCAACAAAAAGTCAACTGAATGGTTGAAACAATTTGCTGACAATGTTATTTACCCGGAGAGCTTTGAAATCCTACAACACAATCTAATTAACTTGGAATGTTATCTATCTAAAAACAATCTAATTAGCTGATGAAATGATTTTTTCACAAACTCAATGGGATATTTTGAAGCACATGGTCATTATTATGTACATGTTCAGATTTCAGAATATACACGTGATAATTCAACACATGACAATAATGAGATTTATTGTTAATGAGGGGAAAAACAAATAGTATAGAAAAGGAATGATATGTGCCTCCCTGCTATTTCATCTCTAACATTAATCTATTGATTAACAATTAAAATGATAAGGTACTTAAATAACAACAAATCAATAGCCGAGACATAATAAAATAATCATTACCACTTAATACAGATGATACCAAAGAATAGATATTATGAGATGGAGTAGAAAATTATATCAGCAACCACAAGTAAAACATTCAGATTAAATTATGAAACAGTCATAAAACATGAAGATTGTTTGCTTGGACACGGAATAGAGGTACAGTATACAGTAAAATACAAAATAACAATATACATAAAGGATAGAAAACTAATTGGACTGAATACAGAAGTCATGAAAAGCACAAGATGCAGTCTACTTTTTGCTTTAATGGACAATCAGCTTTTTTGCCTTTGATTAGACAAAAATGTTCAGATATGTTTGGAGTACAATGTAGTTATAAGAATTAATTGAAGTTCAACACCAATGTAAAGTACCCTGTGTGCAGAGTCTAGTTAAACTACGAAGACGAAGTTCTCTTTTAAGAAGTGAAGTCGAACGAATGCAAAGGGTAATATGTAAAGATTCTTGGCAAGAAAAATTGCCATACATGAAATTCCCGTGGAATTTTGATTTCTTTTGGGTGCTTATCATGCACTTCCAAGAATGGTTTGAAGCAGGTATTTTGAATTTTCTAAATGCCCCAGGTGCTTATTAAAGAGAATGCGGTAAGCTAAATTATGTAGATATATAATTTTTTATACATGTAATTATGATCAACTTTACCTTACTGAAGATATTTTAGATTTATGATATGACATATATGAACTAACAACTCCAGTTTCAGCTAGTTTACAAAAAACAACAACCATGAAGTCTGATATCAAATCAATTTCAGGAGGCATATTTACATGCAATTGATTATTGACAATGATATCAGTCCGCAGAGAATCAGTCAACTTTCTATGGTTTTGCTGGCTTTTTCATGTAAGTCATATTCTAATTTTTAAGATATTGCTACTTTTTATGATAATTCTTCAAGGAATTTTGGAAGCCTAGAAATCAAAGATTAAAGGCAGAATCAGATCTATAGGGGTGACAAAATTACAAGCAACGTGTACAATTGACCTACCAATCTATTCCTTACAATCTCAAATACAATATCTCTAAAAAGATTCACGATATGTTCTAAATTGGTGAAGTTATTATGGATTCAAACTGCAAAAATAGGTAAAAAATGTTTAAATTCTCCCAAATAATAAGAATGGTAACCATTCTTATAGAAAAATAATACATTATTGTAAAAATCTTTAGTTTTCTTGAAATAAAGTGTGCACTTTGGGTATTTTTAGAAAATAGACATGACAAGGAATGACATAAGCCAGAAATATTCTAAAATTGACACAATTTTTTGTTGGCCTGCTCGCTATCTCTGACTCTCTCTTTAAATCAATATTCTTTATTGTATATCTTGATGAACTACAAAATGACTTATGCTCCTAGACGTTGACTGCTCCTGCATATATATAAGTTTTCAATATTGAAAAGGTTACTGTATGATTGAAAGACATTGAAAATACTAAAATAAGGCATGTAAACTGGAGGGAGGAATACAGTTATTATATGGGCCGGGGGTTGTCAACTTCATGATGCAATAATAATTTACGAATTATTATACATATTTTACTATATGAAATGATACAATTAAAGAGTTATATCAGGGGATACTTTATACCATATCACCATTTCATATCTTTTTAGTGATATTGTATGAAATATCTTGCAATATGTGAAAAAAATTTAAGCCCAAGACTAAATGCATTGTAGAATGACCATTCCTTTCGGGCGTTGTTTCCTAAAATCGATGATCTCGTGCAAATTTTGGAAAGAAACACCTTCAAGGAATGGTCATTCTACATTGCACTGAGTACAGGGCTTAAATCCTAAAACAGTTATCACTAAAAGTTAAAATACATTTCTTCACATAGTGTTGGTTTAAATTTTCATATTTCAGCTTATTCACAATTTGATAACCTTGCCCAAGTCAGTATTTTTTACTTATCTAATCTCGAATTATTAGGTCATAATAGATATCAAAATAAGTAAAAGAGACCAACTTGGGCAAGGCTAACAATTTGCAAATTGATGATGAAATACGACATTGTTCATCAAAGAATGCGAAACAAATCAATATACATTTCAAGTACATGTACATGTATATTAAAAAAAGATTCTGATCAATTTTTTGCTTGACATATGACTGATCTTAGTTTATTCAATACAGTTTGCATGATCTATAAATATTTACTTAAAACGCAGATATATTGGAAAATAACACCTGTTATATTCCTTGTTCAATGAAACTTTACAGTTGTTTGATATTAAATAGGATATAATGTTGATTTAAATCATGGATTGTACAATGTATTGAAGTGACTTTTACTGATTTATTGCCAAATGCATTTTTATATCATTCCTAAAGTGTCTCAACTGAAAAGCCTTTGTCATTCCATAACATGATTTTAATGTTATAGCTGTTCATGGAAAATTACATTTTGCATTTTCTGTGAATAAACATTTCGATTTGATAAGATATGTGTACTTTCATATAGGATGATAGGAAAGGGTTAATTTTCAATATTACTGGATAGAAATAACCATTTGGTAGTACAGTATTAGCGCTTCCTGGTCATCTCAACCCCAAGCCAACTCAACCCGTAGTTGAGTCAACCCGAGTAGAACTCAACCCCAAGTTCAGTCAACCCGAGTAAAACTCAATCCCAAGTCAACTCAACCCCAAGTCAACTCAACCCCAAGTTGAGTCAACCCTAGTAAAACTCAATCCCAAATCAACTCAACCCTGTAAAACTCAACCCCAGTAAAATTCAACCCAAAGTTGAGTCAACCCTTGTAAAACTCAATCCCAAGTCAACTCAACCCTGTAAAACTCAACCCCAAGTTGAGTCAACCCGAGTAAAACTCAATCCCAAGTCAACTCAACCCAGTAAAACTCAACCCCAAGTCAACTCAACCCAAAGTTGAGTCAACCCTAGTAAAACTCAATCCCAAGTCAACTCAACCCTGTAAAACTCAACCCCAAGTTGAGTCAACCCGAGTAAAACTCAATCCCAAGTCAACTCAACCCTGTAAAACTCAACCCCTATATTTTTTATTTACAGATAAACTTATATTCAACATGATATGAACGTTTATTTCATAAAAAAAGTTTTCATAATTCTGATTCTTTGAGGTTAAAGTTTATCTCCAAGACTGAAGATATTGACATTCCAAGATCATATCGGGGTATAATCGCGATTTCACTGGAAAATGTTTTCATCTATGGAAGCTTAGAACATTTCTTTGGATCACAATAACTTTGTAACTAACAAAGGTAGGATGCTAGTTTTAAGCCATAATGTGCAGGATTCAAAATTGAACAAAGTCAGAAAATATTAGTTCTTTAAGACTGCAGCTTAAAAAATGCCAGGGGAAGGGTGTTGAAGGGTTGAAGAATCGTGGATATTGAAAATCACATTTTATCCATTTTCAGTAATGTTTGGTACCTCTACAACATGTGAAAATATGATAGAATTCCTGCATGTTATTAGGGAAATATGGCCCGTTGCAGGGGTTCACTTTTTTTGGACCACCCTGTATATATTAATTATTTCAATAATGCATTTACATATTAATAAATAATAAATAATAAATAAAAAAGTTATATTTAATTACATTGTTGACTATTTCCAATCATCTAAAAGGATGAGTCTGGGAATGAGTCTGGGTATCGACTTAGAAAATATTGAAAATTGTAATGTCTGAAAAACCAACTCAATCACACATATTATTAAACTTCAATATCTTATCCTTCTTCTGAGAGTACAAAAATATCAATTTGTATCACAATTAATGAAGAATATTAGCATCAAAGACAGTGCATATCACTTTGTCAGAATTGAAAAAAAATCAATGGCAAATATTAAATGAATTATTTATACAAAAGGTTTGAAACATATCCTCCAAAACATTGCTTACTTTCTTTGTATAGACATTGAATGGTATTTCTGGATAAGTGAATTGGTGTTTTTCTGGGTAATCAAGGGATTATAGTCACTCAAAGTTACTGAGCATCCAGTTTTGAGACTTCAATTGTGTTGGTGAAGTTACACATATTTCAGTCAAATTCATGCTGAGCACAACATTCCGGTTTCAATTTTATAATCTCTATACATGACCCTGGTGATGAAGAGTCAGAATCAGTCAAAAAACCTAAACCGGAAAACTGTGCTCATTGTGAAAACTAAAAGTGAAGCAACTTTTTTTCTGATATTTCTTACATCAAATGGCAGCCATCTTGTTTTTCCCCCTTCAAATTAAACTGGCGGGAAATTCAAAAATTTGAAAAAAATTTTAATCCTTAAATATATTTCAAAAATATGATTTTCTTTTAAATTCTTCATGGGTCTTAAGTTATTTCTTCTTTGCGAGTCATACATGTTGCCATTGATGTTTTTATTCTATGATAATGACTTTTTTTTTTGTTAAGATACTTATTCTGACTCTCAGCAGGGGGTTAATTATGCATCAAAACTCGTGAAAAAGTAAATATACTTATCAAATATAACTAGGACAGTAATAAAAAACATATTTAACATACATTTGACTGAGGGACCAAAAGGGCATATACCCGGACACATCCTTTGATTTCAAAACATATGTTAAATCAAATAAAAGTGACAACTTCCCTTGAGCTTAACAGTTTTTTGAATTTTTTTAACAACTTTCTATTCAAAGTTGGAGTTGAGTTTGACTGGGTTGAGCTGACTTGGGGTTGAGATAACCTGTCACTGGACAGTAGTATTGTCTTCTTTAGGTAAAAACTGCACCGATGATACTACTGTACTTGATGACTATGAATTTAGAATTCAGCGCTGAGCGCTTATCTATATAAGGCATTAGCCTATAATATTTGAACCAAATCCACTAACCAGTATTTGAGTTATCACCTAGAAACAATTACGAAAAGAAGAACATATGATTGAACAGACTGACAGCTTCTCTATATTCCTTTGATGGGATAATGATATATTTAACAGTAAACAACATATGTGTAATGATTCCAGTTGATAGCTGGGTTCTATATAGAGGATGATATTGAAGTTAAAGAAGATGAGGCTGATGAGCTGGTGAGTGAAGACAAGGTTATGGAATATGGAGCATTTTGTGAACAAATGAATCTGTGCACAACATGTGAAACAGCAATAAAAGATTGCCCGTAAGTAAATATTACCCATTTAATAAAGTGTAAGTCTGAAACAGGATTGGAAAGATCTTTTTGTCGAACAATTTTTGCTTATCACAGTCATATAGACTCCAATAGAAAAGTAAGATACAGGAAATATACCACAAAATATAACTTGTAGTTTTCAGCTCCTATCACTTTGATATATGTACATGTAAATGCAAAATTAGAGATGACATTATGCAATTTGAAAAAACTTAAATTACGTTTTTATCGTTTAAGTGAACTGACTACGAGTCCTCGTTATCATCTTGTTCTCCAAAATGAAAAACAAAATAACATACTGTATGATACTGTATATGCCAAAATTTTGAACTCAATAATACAACAATACATATCCTTTTGTATTGGAGACAACACAAGGCATGGTCAATACTGCAAGGATGTACTGGTACAGTATCCCATTCTTCTACAGATTTTACTCTCTGATTACTTATATTCAGGATAAGGCCTATCAGCCGTATAGACACTGCATGTCTGCTACACGTGGAATGTCTTTGTAACCTGACAGTGTCCCTAATATGGTGGCAGAGGCCGACTACACCAACAATTACTACAAATACAAGTACGACAACAAGTCTTGATACAACTGCCCAACTGTACAATGAACCGAAGAAATACACAGATAAACACTGCTCATGTTTGGCACCTTTAATAAAGGCAATACAAGAACATACAATATGCCATGACCTGCCACCATTAAGCTGGGAACGCTCAGAATGTGAGATATATCGTACTATAGCCCTGGAGTATTATTTCAATGAACCTTGTGCATGCTATAAGCCACCAGATGATAACAATGGTGATGTACCTCATACAATATCAGATTTCACAGTTGGGAATATAACACAGTGTAAATGGATTAATATGTCCAACATGAACATCAAAATAGTGAAGGAGGAGGATTCTATACCACTAAAGCTATAAGAATATTGAATCAAATCATACAAACATGTATATAAATGTGATTGATAAAATAAGAAAATTGACCTATGTTATTTATGATAAGTGTCTACAAATATTATGGAGAGCAAAAATTGAGGAGCAAACTGATTAAATACACATCATCTTAGAGGGCTAGTAGGTGTTATTCTCATCCCATATAACCCTTTCACATTTGCATTCATAATGGTATTACAGTGTATACGTAACAGAAGCAATATACTTGGATGGCAAACTTGCTTCCTGTAATTATCGAGGCTTGAAATAAACTGTTCACATAGAAAGAGAATAAACTGCTTTTAAAACTGAAAAAGATTAAAGTACTTTTTCATTTGGAACTTGCTAATACTGCTTACTGCTGTATACTCCTTACTATGTGTGGTATTTTTTCGAGATATGACATTTTCAGAAAATATCATTACGAATTAAATACTTTAGGTTTATTTTGGATGAAAATTACTGCCATAAACACTTTTGAGGTGTTTCTGCCCATTTTCATCAGAGACTGTCTATTTACTACATACCTCTTTCATGATCTTCAGGTCTCTACCATAGCTCAGCTCAGTACTGACTATTTCCTGTATGGTTTCTTTCCTCTCAATACGTTTAGACTCACACTTCTTACATACATATTCTTCACCATCTTCCTCTACAGAACTTTCAAGGTCCTCTAACTTGATGGTACGCTCGCAGTCATCACAGACTGCACCCTGAAGTGTACAAAAAGGTAAATTGACCATGATCATCATATGACTAAAAACAAGGCATTAACATGCAAAATGTCACCACCTGCCAATTGTTACAGACACCGAATGCTGCCAAACACCATCCATAAAAAAGATGGAGACCATAACAATATGTCAACACTTGTGGTGGTGACATAGACATAAAAATAAACTATTGAGAAGAGGAGGGGAAGGGAAATTTAGAAAGTGCGGACCTGTACATCTACATTTAAAGTGTATCTTTTGTTGACTATTGAATCGTGTCAGTCTCACTATATAGATTTTTACATGAAACAGAGAATTTTGCAGACAAGTCACATAAGTATTCAGAATAGAGAAAGTCCTTATTCTTTTTAATTGTAAGTTGTAAATTTTATCATACCAGGCAATATTGAAATCAATTACTTATTAGAGTCTATAAAAATTAATATACTCTCACATATCTTCAAATTATTGACTCGATATTAGTCCCTGGTTTACAAGAAAATGCAAGTCTCTACTTTTGACCAAAAATAATGCTTTTACCTTTTCGCCAGCCTCATCCCTGATGTCAATTTTGGTCTCTGAGCCTACGCCACTGTCAGACCTCTGAACTTGGGCTGAAGATGGATTCTCCTTAAAGAATAGTGATACATAAATATAATCTTGTTCTGAAAAGTTACTAAAACATCACATTGATGTAAGAGAAAAATATCACCAACAAACTGCTATAAAATTGATTTATTTGACAATTTGTACTCAGATATCAGAGATCAAAAACAAGTGATAGACTATAAATTCAATCAATATAGATTTGATAGTACTATATACCTGGATATCCTTGAAACCTAAAATCTAACTTCAAAAAATGGCATGAATATCTTCTAAATATATTCTAATTATTTTAAATCATCAATGTCAGATAATGAGAGTTAGGGGAGGCATCAAAAGTCCAATGTCTGATAGGAAACTAAATAAATCTAGTTTTGAGTTGGACCCCCCCCCCCCTCCCCTCATAACTAAATACAATGAAAGTTGATTGCGGACTTTTCACATGTTTTAGTGACTCGTACTCTGTCATTTCACGGATAGCAAACTGAAATAGCTTTGACCCCCTCCCCCCAAACTAGATTTATTTAGTTTTCTATCAGACATTGATCTTTTGATGCCTCCCCTTAGGGGAGAAGTTATTTCCAAATAGATTAGTTCTAACGACATTGATTATTAAATACCAAGGAATTCTCGTCATATTTTTATGGAAATTTTGTCCAATACACCCTCGTTGTTGCTTAAAATGAAAAATATTTTGAAATTTTTTAAAAACTTTCTCCTCAGGGAGATAATAGGATACAAACAGATGCTGCTGGATGAAAATAATACATTGCACCACCAAACCAGAAACATGGGTAGACGTAGACATGTGCATGGAAAAATTACATTGATATATACATGTAAGTTTCAATTCTAAATCAAAATAAATAAAACAGTATCTGGCACACAGGATATACTATACGAGGAGTGATTAATAGGTAATAGGTAATAAATGTTTACAAGGATACTTCTTTAGAACAACCTCTATATGATTAAAAGTGTTTGTGTAAATAGACAACTATTACTTATTGATCACCCCTCGTATGTTGATATATGACATATCCTATGAGTCAGAATAAACATGTGAAGCATTATAAATGAAATAATGGAAAATAAAAATCAATGAAGTGTGGCAATTTAACATTGACGTGAATTGTAAAACCAGTAAATAACAGTGGCAATTGTGAAAGTATTTTCACATCTATATAACACACAGTGGCAAGTACCACAAGCACCAACATACAGAACACTGTGATGAATGCACCTCGTAAAAGAAATGTCATGGCTGTCATGCTTTACTATTCAAAAAGATCAGATGTTTGACCATCATTGTATTGCAAGCAAAAATAAACATATTAATTGAGTCAGGTCAGCCCTTAAGGTAAGCAGAGGTCAATAAAATTTGAAATTTAGAATATATACTAATAGTACTACGGCCAAGGCGATTTGTGTCCAAAACACCTAGATTCAATTTGACTTGAGATTCTTGTAGGGGACCCCAAGGCATGTAAAAAAAAGTTTGTGAACCCTTGCAAAGCAGGCTCAAAAGTGCTGAGTCAGCAAATTTTATTATTTTTGAGTCGGAATTTGACCATATGCTTGAAACTATTTAATATCTCATTTCAGGATGTTGCAATTATAATGAAACATTGTCAATATATCAATAAGGCATGTATGAAGAATTCCTGAAAGTTTGGGTCTTAACCAACAAAATTTGGTAGAGATATGGGATAATTTGTCCCTAAAAGTACATAATTTCTCTTCAAAATTTCTTAATCAGTCGTTTAAAAAACAGTAAGGGCCTATGGTGTATAAAACCTGATTTAAAACTTCACTGATGATGTTAGCAAATATTTCTTGAATAAGTTTCAATAAAAAGTACAAGTATCTATTTTTTCTGATTTTTCTCTTTACCTTCCCCTAAAAGTTCAAGAAAGGGGGCGTGGCACATTACACTTCAGTTGTTGAACTTGTTGCTAGGGTCAAATAGAAAATGTGTATCACTATAGCAAAAAGTGTTATTCTAAATAAATCTTAACACTATATGTGACATCATGATATGCTAAACATATTCATTATCTACCATTTTATATTTTTTACAGCTTATCATTGCCATACCCCATAAAACCGTTTAGTGTATGTGTGGTCAGCAATAGGAAATACACGCATGTGTACTTATAACATTTTTCAAAATTGTATTTCAGATGCCATTCTATCCTAATGTTGTTCATGTAGTTATGGTATGTTAAGAATGAATTATGATGATAATATGTTATATTACACTCCCCATCATAAGTTTTGTAACTGGAAGTCCCCCTTTGAATCACTTATTAAAGCTTGTCATGCTGTTTGGTAATTTTAAACAAGACATCAAGCTTTTGGAATAAAGCAATAAGTAACAAAATCAAGGTTCAAACATTGACAGACCTTAATATGTAATCATATGAAAACTTGCAGTTGCCAACCTTATGGAGGGGGTGTATAAGTATTATATGTGTCATAAGTTGTTTAGTTGTAGAAACCTGAAGCCAAAGGAAATAATAGTGCTTTACATTCTCTCAAAGACAGTGATCAATTCCGTGGCACTGGGTTTGTTGACATTACTAATATGATATGTGACATTACACGAGTTTGGTCTTAAGGCCAACATATTCCAATGGTGCAGAATCCCAGTCGCCCCATCAAGTCCCACCATGCCATATCGAGTCCCACAATGTCCCAAGAGACCTTGTTAACTTTGCCCCATGGAGTCTCATCGAGTCCCTCCATATCCCACAAAGTCCCACGGAAATGATGTAATTTAGTTTAGAAGGTAATGTCAAGGTCATTTTGATTTCAAGTTAGCTGACACATCCCATGATCAAAAGTCCCGCGATGCCCAATGGAAAGAATGAATAGGTTCATTCTCAATGGGACTTCGCCAAATGATACCCCATCGAATCTCATGGGACTCAATGGGGCTTCATGGGGTAAATCCCAAGGAATCCCAAGGAGTTCCATCGGGCAAAGCTCAATGAAGTCCAACGGATTTCCATGAGGTCCCACCCAATGTTAAATCAATGGAGGTCCCACCATGCCGTATTGGTGTATGTTAGTAACTTCCTTTGTTTACATTCATCAAATCGTTAAAAAGGAAAAGTTGTCAAAACTTTGTAAGAGCGTGATTATTTGGACCGATTTCACTTGTCTGCTACAGATATTTTAGTTTTACACAAACTGAGCGGGCCAGTGCCATTCATAATATCTTCAAATTAACTTTTTCTCTGTACTATAACAGTTAGCAGGGAACAAAAACTGGAACTTACTGTTACGCGGTAATCACGATACAAAAATATGTCATATTCCGCAATGAATATGGCATATTCACTTGCGGTGTATGACAGATTCACCTGTGGTATATGGCATACACACTAACCAGTGAGAATGTGCTATGGAAGTACGCAATTGTCAATTGCTTAGATTGAACGAGCAAGTTAAACATTATAAATTATTATAATGATTACTGAATCAACAGCACTGTGTATCAAATAGCAGAAGTATCAATCACCAATCTTGTGCAATAAACTTACTCAATCAATCCTAGATTGATACATTAGTACTAGACGCACTAACTATATTGGTAATCCAGTGTAGTTTTACATTTAGAGTCGATTCTCGCAACCAATCAAATCAAGGCTTTCTGTATCACGTTTTCACCTGCGGTATATGTCATATTCACCTGCGGTATATGGCATATTCCGCAAGTGAGTATGACATATTCCGCAGGTGAGTATGGGGTATTCACTGAAATCAATGTATCGCATATTCACTGCGGAATATCGCATACTCACCTGCAGAATATGCCATACACCGCAGGTATCACAAATACTGCTCAACCATGAATGTATGCCATATACCGCATAACACTTACTGTCGATCATGCTGCTCCAGGAATAATGAGTCATCTGTACAAAGCATAATCAAGGTGGTAGAAGCAAATGAGAACCCATTTAGATTGAAAATTCTGATAATTAGCCATCTTGATTCTCAAGGTTTCAATTGCTCCAACTGTTTAATAACATGGAAGTCGAAGATGATAATAAGCTCCTTTAAATAGAGGAGGTGAGGTGATGACTTATGACATCAGAAAGAGTTTATCATAAATATCAAGAATACTTGACTGGTTGAAAGAGATGCTAAAAGATAAAGTGAAAGTGAAATTGATTCCAACATTGAGATTTTAAAAATCTATTTCTCTGTTTTGGTGCACAAATACAAAGGAGGTTACTTTGCTGGGGCTTCTTAACTCTTCTATCTACAGCCAGGAATACAATTGTTTCTTGTTCAAAGTACAATCAATTCTCTTGATATTATGTGAAGTATCGGGTGCTAGACTAGCAGTGAAACATTATCCCAATTCCTTAGGGACAATAGGGGCGTAGCCAGCTTTGGTTCAGTGGGGGTTTGATCGCCAAAATTTTTCGGTTTTCAGTCAGGGGGGTGCAACTGACATAAAAGCGAAAAATTAAGATCTCTCTTGAATTTTACAAATCTTGATTCAACTTCCTTCAAAATAGGGCTAGAAGCTTAAAATAAAAAGCATTTTAAAACTCTTCTTCTATCTCATGGTTATATTTTTATTGATTATGGGGGGGGTGCGATCCCCCTGGCTAAGCCTATGGACAAGATGTATTATTTTGACATAAACAAAACATACACATCTTGTTATGTTCTACAGACTACAACTAAACAATTTATGACATATATACTATACGAAGTGTGCAAACTGCAACCAGGCTCTGAGAAACTCTGGCTCTTAATCATTTGGTGTTACAATTTGTTATTATATAGCTAATTATTTGCAGCAACAATAGGAGTCTTGTTGCAGTTTACATGGACCCTATACTATAAAGCAACTGGAAGTTATTATATGATAGCATATCAAAGTCTGTCAATGTTTAAACCTTGATTATGTTCCTTATTACCATATTTCAGATATTTCGATTTCATATGCCAAAAATAAACAGGCTTTAATAAGTGATTCAAAGGGGTTTGAGTTGCCAAACTTATGATGGGTGCTATCATTCATAAACATAAACTATTACTACATGAACAACATTAGGAAAGAATGGCACCCGAAATACAGTTTTGAAAAATGTTATTAGTACACATACATGTATTTCCAATTGCTGACCACACATACCCTAAATGGTTTTATGGTTTATGGCAATGATAAGCTTTAAAAAATATAAAATGATAGATAATGAATATGTTTAGCATATTATGATGTCACATATAGTGTTAAGATTTATTTTGAATAACACTTTTTGCTATAATGATAAATATTTTCTATTTGACCCTAGCAAAAAGTTCAACAACTGAAGTGTAAGGTGCCACGCCCCCTTTCTTGAATTTTTAGGGGAAGGTAAAGAGAAAAATCAGAAAAAATATATGCATGTACTTTTTATTGAAACTTATGCAAGAAATATTTGCTAACATCATCAGTGAAGTTTTTAATCAGGTTTTATACACCATAGGCCCTTACTGTTTTTTAAATGACTGATTAACTATCGACTGATTAAGACATTTTGAGGAGAAATTATGTACTTTAAGGGACAAATTATCCCATATCTCTACCAAATTTTGTTGGATAAGACCCAAACTTTCAGGAATTCTTCATACATGCCTTATTGATATACTAACAATGTTTCATTATAATTGCATCATCCTCAAATGAGATATTAAATAGTTTCAAGCATATGGTCAAACTCTGACTCGAAAATGATAAAATTTGCTGACTCAGCACTTTTGAGCCTGCTTTGCAATGGTTCACAAACTTTTTTTTACATGCCTTGGGGTCCCCTACAAGAATCTAAAGTCAAATTGAATCTAGGTGTTTTGGACACAAATCGCCTTGGCCGTAGCACTATAATGCATATCAATTCCTTGCACAAAAAAGTTTTTAAATGTCATACCACATTGCCATCTTTAAATGAAGCACATGTAAGACAGAACTCAAATGTTTCAATTTGGTACATAATAGAATGAGAAAAACATGACAACCATACATTTTTTGAAATTCACTCTTTGTCTCAACTACCTCAGACTCTCCACTAGATACACTACTGAGGTGTCTCATGTGACGAGTAAATGTTCGTAGTAGCTCCAGCACTGAGTGAGTCTAACAATATCAAGAAATTGAAATTCAATGTTGTTTCAAAATAAACATTTAAAGTATTGATGTATTTTTACGTAAGCACATGCATTTATGTAAACAGTAAACAGTTTATTACAAAAAAAATGGCATTTAAAATTGTGCGGGGCTCATATTAAACAGTATTAAATCTCAATATCTAATAATACAACTGAGCATTCAATTGTAAACAAGTAATATTTATGCAGTAATCAATAAGTCAAGTTGTTGGTGTATAAAAACGACATACACTTATACACCTTTGTGTACCATTCTCTGAATTATGCTTAAGCCACATTCTGTTGTGTTTCCTATTATACTAAGATTAAAGTGTTATTCAAACATTCTTCAAATCAACTTTTACACAAAAAGGTGGAAATGGGAAGCATAATGGTCAACATTTGAGCTTGTATACATACTTTTTGAAAAATATGTTAACTGAAAACTGAATATCAATCAAGTTATGACTCCCTGAACTTTTAATTGAGCAATCTGGGAGATAAAATGCATGAAATGACAGAAATTTTGAACGAGGGCAAGTGATATATAAACTTAACACTTTAAATAACCTAGCAATTTCTCTTGTTTAACTGTTCAACAAAGGGAGGGACTGATATAAAAATTGAACTTCAAATATTAACGTTTAATCTTTTAAGTGATGAATTTTCAATTGAGGAATTCCTTTTCACAAATCCTATGGACATATGCGATGTAGCCTGTGCATTGACTTTTACGCTGGTCACATCAATTTTTACTACTTCATTAACATTGAAATAACGACTCTTGTTTTCCTGGCATTTTTAAATGATTTTTAATTGATAAAATTTGATTTCTCATTTAATTCCTTGCTTATTCACTCAGTTCTATTTTCATTTTGACATAGAATTTGACTACATTGGCATTTTATAGAAAAGTACAAGGTATATAATAACCAGTAACATGGAATTGTAATTATCTTTCACAACAAAGTAAGGAATAGATTAAACACAAGGGGAGTTCAAACAGTTACTTACATCACACAAAGAGTCCTCATCATGACCAAGGTCATCAGGTTCGTGACTATTTATGCTGTTGTTATCATCAGCTGTAAATCCAGTCTGCTTTAAGCTATCGAGGAAACTTAAAATGTCTTCTTTTGTTGCGGTTTTTGACAATTTACGACTCCGTTCTTGATCCCGATTTCTTTTATGATCTTCAGGGGATAATTCTGAAACAATATGTGATAAGTTTCTGCAATTCTTGACTGTATTATAGCACCTGGTTTCTTCAATGCAAAATTATAGTTGACGAAATGTTACAAATTGGTCAATTTTGTATTTACATTACAAATCAATGGAATATTTTTGTAAAAGTGGTATAACGTTAGACTTACCTGTACTACCAAAAGTGCTATTTGGTGTTAATAAGTTCTTGCTATTTATTCCCAAATCTTGATCTTTGGCCCCTGTATCAACCATATTATCATCATCCACAGACTCAACATGTCTAATTTTATGTTTACGTCTCTTCATGTGCTTTTCATTCCTTATTGCAGATGTTTCTGCAGGGTTAATGTCATTAGTTTTTGCACTCTGCTGTTTTTGCCTGAGATCATATTCATTGAAGATATCACTTTTATTCTGACGTCGCCTCACGCTTCGTGTTTCCTTCTTACGAACATTCTCAGCATGCATATCCGAAACATCTGATGTGCTCCTAGTCACAACGAGTCCCTAGAAATCAAAACATTTTGTTTAAAACTTATAGTTTTATAAATGTACTAAAACAACACTACTTCAATTTTTAATTTTCTTCATTTGTTTTAAAATTGCAAAATTTCTAAAACGCAACAGATGACAATTGCTGGAAAAGTTAACCTACCAGGGCATCAGCTGCAGAATCCCCGTCAGCAGAGCTAACATTATCACAGGACACTTGCTCCAGTACTTCCACCAACTGGGGACCAAGGATTGACTCCTTCATCTGCTTCAGCGTGTCACTATATGTCCCAGATATATGGTTCTCCAAGGATGGCGATGTACTTTTCCTATTGTGCTTTGATTTATGTGTTTTTCTCGTGGCACCAATTTCAATTCCAGTTGAGGAATACTGTACTTCTGGAATTTGATTTTCCATTTTGGATGGTATATTTTTCGCATTACCGTCAATGTGGGTGTTTTTAATGTCTGTGTTATGGCTATGAATAATAGGCCTATGGTGGACATGGTCACGCCGCGATATAGAGCATGCATGTTTCCGTGGTTCATCATCAGAAAATGAGTGATGATTTTTGTCTCTTGGTGAACTTGATTGGTCTATCAATATCTTTGGCACAGTAGGATTACCTGATGCATTATGGGTACATTCCTGATTTTGGATATGGCGTCTATTTAGTGCTTTCTCCACATTATCTATTGTATCAAAAACACAAGATTGATCTTGAGCACATAAATCAGATTGGTTATGGTGCTTACGAAATTCACTAAAACTTGGAATGTGAAAACGTGAAAGGACGGACTGTGTGTCTTTGGTGCTATTCCTGGTAAAGGATTTAAAATTGGACGGATTTGATTCCTGATTCTTAGACTGAGAATCAACTGATTGTTTAATATCTGGTGGAGTATACTTATCATTAGAAATTGCTTCAGGTTTTGATAAATTCTCTCGAGTTCTCAGATCAACTAAACTCCCATAATGCCTCATTCCTGGCAAATTAGGTTTATCCCTTGGCAATCCAGAATCACTCGCATGATGAGTTAATCCATATTTTGATGTAATACTATGAGGTTCATTAGATCCGTACTTCTCTTGATTATTAATTAATTGATCATGTACATTCCGGTCAGAAATCAATGATTTAATGGGACCACTTTTCTGTCTATGGGGGGCCGGATTCACCTTTGATTTCAATAAAGATCGATTGGTTTTATTATCCCCAATATCTGGATTATAAAACTCAGTAGGGGATTCACAGGGTGACTTTGGCTGAAGATATTTTCTGATCATAGGGTTGCTTAGAATTGATTCAATCCTTGGCGATGTTCTTTTTGATATCTCAGTCTCATCTCCAGGACTTTGTAAGCTGGGGGGACTTTGTGCACTAGATCTTTCAATGTATGGCCTTTCTTGATCTAATTCCTCCTCAGCAGAAGTAGTCGATCTGCTCCTGGTAAGATGTTTTGAAAATATCTTTGAGGATGTTTTGGGATCTGAATTTGATCTTGATATTTGGTCTCTTTTTGTTTCATCCAATGATAGTTTCCCATATTTTAGTCTATACTCCTTAAGGTAATCTCGACCTGTACTAGGAGAGGTACTTATATTTTGAGTATCAACCTTTCCAATCTCCCTTTGACGATGCATCTTCACACTAACCAGTGGTCAGGTGAACTTTCACGCTAGCCTTTACTATGTTATTTCTTGGTTGTACCTTAACTCCCTTATCCCGGCTATGTTATGCACTTTTGGGTTTACTTATTTCTTAAGCACTTACATTTTTGTTTTATGTAGTTGATATGGTGATTATTTCAAAATATAATTCCATTTATTTCTGAACATTTTTTTCGTTTCTTCATTGTGTAAACAATCCAGTATATGCCAACACCAGGATTCTAACCGGTCCCTTACTTACATATTGTGTAACTCTGCGTATACATATTTTACCAGCCTATTCATCAATCACGTCTCTTACATGTATTAATTCCAATAATCCCATAAGGCTACTAGATTATGCAAATAACACGCCATATATACAAAGACTTCCTATGAAGGTTAAATTCCTTTTCAGTTAATCTTTATTCCTTTAATTTATCAAAGACTTGAGCCCTTTAAACCATTACCAATCAGCATGTAACATTATTCTTTTGTGAAAACTTCCTCATCCTGAAAATATAATATACAATACATGACATGCAAGTATAGATCAACTTAAACTGCAGTCAAATACTGTGAGTTGTACCATCATACGAATCCTCAACCATTTTAATGACTTTTATCATAAACATCATTTTCTCTATTGCTGTCAATATCCTTGTGTTGCTCTCAACTCTGCTTAAACCATCATTTATGAACAAGAGAATTTAAACTGAAACCACACATCAACTCATCATTTATGTGTATATTTCCCTGATGAAATCTAGCATCTTTGAATTTAAAATGACACCACTTTGATCAGTGAAATGCACAATTGAATATTAAAACAACTAAATTCTAAAATGAACAGCTATCACTTACAAGCTTACAGACTACGCTATTGAACTCACATTGTGAACCTGATAGGAAAATATTAGTGTCGTTATAACGCTTCAGGCATTTTCATGCTTAAAGGTAGAAGAATCAATAGCCTCATTTCTGAAGTGGTCTGTATGCATTCACTACAATTAATAACTCAAACAATACAAATAAATACCTCAAATGGAAACAAACGCAACTCTGCAGTCTTAATAAATGAATGTTCGTGACATATACAATTATATTGCTCTTTTTATTGGATAATGTTCTACTTTATTTTGTTCATCGAGCAATATATCAGAGCAATCAGAAAACATAACAAGGCATTAACATCCAAAATGTTACCAACTGCTATTTGTTACAGACGCCTACTGCCAAACCCCGAACACTAGTCACTGAATAGCGTCCACATGAAGTAACAATATGTCACCACTTCTGGTGGTGACAGGGATCAGATATATCCTAATTGTACTTGTCTTTACGTATTAGATAAACAAACAACATGAGGGAGGGAATTCATTTGAAGAGAGAAAAGAATAAAATATATTTTAATTCCATGCTTTAACACAAATATATATACATTAATAAAATGAATATTTACAGCAGTTGAAAATAATATGTTCGTCAAATAAAACTATGATAAAAAATATACAGCCAGCATAGTTTATGTTATGTCTTCAAATCCATAGAAACCATTCTTCATAGAATAATGCGATTATAATCTCTCATGAAGGATAGGCTTGACATTGATTATCTTCCAAGAATGAAATGAAAAGAAATAAACTGTTGTCAATTGTCATATTATGCTTTATTCAACAAAAGTAAATGGATCATTCATCTCAGTAAACAGGATCCCATGAATTATTCCTCCATGGATCAAATACCATTCATCCTTATAGCTTCACTCTTTGATAACTCATAATACAACACTTCATAATCCATAAAATATTCAGATAAATCACCTTGAAGTAAATTAACATTGGATCTCTTGATTAGAAGTCAAAATCTGGGAAATAAACATGGAATAAAGGTCACATATGTGAAGTTTATACAGTCTAAAGTTTAGCATGTGATAATGTGACAATTTAGATTTTTGATTAGCAATTGTTAAGAAAGATCAGGATGTTTGGTGATATTTCAAATGAGAGTAAATGTGCAGAGAACTTGCTTCTGTGACAGCAAGTTAATTAAAAACATTCTAAATCCACAGGGTACAGTGAAATATTCATGTTTTGTTTTCTTATGTGAATACGCCAGTATAGCACAAATGTTATGTTTAGCTCAAACATTTTATTTTGTCAGTTTGCCTTGATATATTTTTCCATTTAAAATCAAAATTCAGTTTTGGTTTGCATTTATGTATTATTAATAGTATTTGTTGTTTTCCTTTATGTATTTCATCCTATCATCTCTTTAAATAAAGGAACATTTAAAAAATTTGATTTCATGAGTTTTAAAAAATTGAGACTTGTTTTGAAAATTATAATACTCCTATTCGCGATAAGAGTTCAGGTGGTAATTTACATAAATATCTCCCACGATGCATCGCTTTGGAAGGGACAAATTTTCATTGGCCCGCCGAACAAGTCGAGTACTCTGAACGTTTCTCAGCTTCTGATCTTCCATCAGCCCTCAAGCATAGATATATGATCCCATCTATTCAATAATCAGAAAGATAATCAGAGATTCAAAGTAACATTATTCATATTTTTCGATCTTCGATGACGTCTGAGCAATTTCTGGGAAATGAGTGACGTCATTCGAATTGGATGGCATTTTCAACTATAGATTTCTTTGGAATTGATTTCTTTGATTATAGTTCAAAAAGCCTTGTTATATATCTTAATTACATACATACCTATCATTTGTGCAAATGCAACTCTACATAAATGTTTAATAGAGTCGCAGTGCGGCATTGAAAATAGCACCACTGTGTAATCCAATGGGAAAGGAACCCGGATGTAGACGAAGTTGAACCATTAATGAGAGCTCTACAAATGGGAGGTAACTAAACTGAACTAAACCAAACGTTATCGAGTATTGGAGTATTGTATTACATTTTTACCCCTTGGGGCCAGGACCCCAGAGGCAGCAGCCCCCCACTCCAACTAAAATGCAGATAATTTTTTAAATTCTTGATGTGATTTTACCTGTTAATTCTGCCTTCTTGCAGAGATTGCCCCAACTTCATTTTAACGAAATATAAACTGAAACTCATGAGAAATGCTTCATGCATACAATGGAATTGAGCCTTGGAGACATTTATTTTGGTAAACATAATTTACACAGCATATTTCTCAGCAGTTTTGGGAGAATTAGGGATATTAAATGTTACAATTCAAGAAAATAAGCCAAATACACAACTTTTCAATTATCTTTTGCAAGCACCATAACTCTTTTTATTCTAGTAAATTAGTCACCAGACAAGGGAAAAATCAATAGCCAGGATATTTGCAGGTAGTCTCGTTTGGTTCAGTGGATAAGCTGTGCTTGCATGCCTGTATCTGATTATTCAATATAATTAAGGGGAGGGTTGTTTAAAATTATTTTTGTCCTTTGTGTGACCCAGGGTCTTCAACTTAAAGTCATTTGTAAGAAAATGAGCCCTTTGCAACATGATAGGAAAAAGATGCTGTGATTTTATAACGCAAACGTTTTACTCAGACACATAATTTGACAAGATTCTGTTAGAAATAAGCTTTGAATCGAGAGATGTTCATGATTGATATCCGAATTATTCCATCGCACAGTCCATGTTTTGAAAGAAGTAATGATGGTACAGATTGTTTTACCTTTACTACCACAATATATTGATCTAGCAAATACCATTTTGTGCTGAATTTGTATTTTATTTCCATCCACAAACCCTGGAGCCTGGGAAGGTGGAGTTTTTGTGTCACCCTGTATATGTTTGTGGTTACCCTTAACTTCAATGAATAAGAAAAGTGAAGTCCATGTGCAAAGTTATATGATGGTTAAAGGAAGAATATAAATAATATCGTTTTAAATTTTTATATATTTGATATGTCATAGTACAGGGTACAAAGTTGATCAATACAGGGTGCAAGGAATGTAAATTGTTCAATAGTACAGGGAGCAAGAAAGTAAGCTGATTATACACAATGATTCGCTGGTTTTATACCAAAACAGTATCATCATTTTTGTGGGAAAGTATAAACACAAAATGCATCTATGTGGTATAAAGAACAAAAACAGAGTATAAGGCACATGGTGAACAAGATCGTACTTAAAACACAGCAGTGTGGACTTGATGGCCCAAAAAGCGAGATAGCCGCCGGAATGTTAATCAGTTGAAGAACATCTTACCATGTAAAGTGTAAAAAATTGAAATAAATCTGTTAAATTGTTTTCCTGGAATTGCGATGACAAGATTTATATAAAAACTTCCTAGATGGCCACCAGAATTCAAGATGGCCGCCAAAAAGTTAATCAGCTCTAGATCTTCTACCATGTACTTTGTGTGAAAATTTGAAGTAAATCCGTTTGGTTCTCCTGAAATCGCAATGACAAGATTAATCTAAAAACTTCAAAGATGGCCACCAGAATGCAAGATGGCCATCGGAAAAATAATTAGCTCTAGGACTTCTTACCATGTAACATGTGTGAACATTTGAAGTAAATCTGTTCAGTGGTTTTCATGGAATCGCAATGACAAGATTTATTAAAAAACTTTCAAGATGGCCGCAAAAATGCAAGATGGCCGCTAAAAAGTTAATCAGCTATAGAACTTCTTACCATGTAAAATATGTGAAAAGTTGAAGTAAATCCGTTTGGTTTTCTTGAAATCATGATGACAAGATTTATCTTTAAACTTCCAAGATGGCCGCCAGAATGCAAGATGGCCACCAAAAAAATAATGAGGTCTAGGACTCTTTACCATATAACATGTGTGAACATTTGAAGTACATCTGTTACGTGGTTTTTCTGGAATCGGGATGACAATATGTTGAAATACCCTGGGGCCACTGTCAGGCTACCCCGTTGACATTGCCCCTCTTTACCAGTAGTGCAGGCTTGTTGCTGTGCACTGGGGACCTTTTACATTAAAACATAGATCTATATTAAAAACACACCTATTTAATTGCAGTTATTGACATAGGCATAGTATGATGATTTAAAACTACTTAGACTGTCACAGTCTAAGATGTCACCAGGTAGAGTGGGGCTAGAGTGTTCCATTTAGCTATTGTCCTAGGGAAATAGCTAAATTTGTATGCATCCGTTCTAGTTGATGGTTGTATGAACTTAGAAGGATGATACAACCTAGTGTTGGTATTGATCTGTTGGCGGAAGTATGGAGGCACGTCGATTAGTCTATATCCAATAGACTGAACTTCCTGAGAATTCAGTCTATTGATCATTATGTCTCTCCTGTGGGAAAAAACAGGAAATTTCCAGCACACAATTATCAATTTTAGGAAACTTCACTTCCAAAAAATAAGCGTTATAACAATTCAATTAAGTAGTAAGGTACAATTAAATGCTATAAAAAGTAACACAGCATATTGTCAAATGGAAATAAAGCTAGGAGAAGTTACAAATATGCAAATTAATTTACCCATTCGGCCATTTTGAATGGCACTTCCTATGTAAACAAATCATTTTCAATCCCATGTTTTAACATATGTGGGCTATAGTCTGAATATTTTTATTCCAAATTTCAAAAAAAATTTCAGACTAGAATTGTTTTCATGGCCTGAGTTCGTCGCTAACATGCTAAATATAAGAGTTAGCTGACGTTTGGGAGTCTGACTTACCTTCTAAAGGTTAGAACCCGAATCTTAATGAAACCATATCACCTTTGTTCCGTCGATGATGATGCATAAACACAGCATTCGATAGAAATTAGTGTAAATGCTTTTCCGACTTTTTCATTTTTCATCAATGTTGACTTCCGGGAAGGCGTTGTAGTTATCACGAAATAACGCATTGACCCTTGAACTTTACTTTGTTGACGTGTCAACCAAGCATGTCTGGTGTGAAAATTAAAAGAATATTAAGCAATGTTCTACATCCGCCAAGCTAAGTGAAGTATCCAATATTTAAAATTACCAATTTCAAGTGAAGTACACAACGAACGAAACTGCGTGATCTACACTCCCACTATTGGTCTGAACGAAATGCTACGTAGAAATATGGCCGTCTGCTGTATTAGTCGATTAATAGAGTAAGACCTGTTGGTGATGCTTTATAATTTAGACCAAAACATTGAAGAACAAACGAACCTGTAAATCGTGAAAACAACGAACAAATATTCGCTTTTCACATATGTTCGGTAATTTTTCGTATTGAAACTTCCGGAACTTACAAGTAAATCATTCATTTTCACGGTCCATGATTTACCTCTTGGATGTTGTGGCAAATGCTCCATGGTTGATGGAACAAAAAAGGTGATATGGTTTCATTAAGATTCGGGTTCTAACCTTTAGAAGGCAAGTCAGACTCCCAAACGTCAGGTAACTCTTATATTTAGCATGTTAGCAACGAACTCAGGCCATATAAACAATTCTAGAGGATAGATCTATATATAGTCTGGCACGTCGATGGCTGCTAGGTTCTGATTTCCTTTGTAGAAAAGGTAAACAGTGATAACCATCTACTTTGATTTCCAGTTAAAATTCTGACTTTCTAGGGGGCGTGCACCCCCACGCCCCCGTCTTGAACCAGTAGTGGTCAATGACATGAGATGAGTGGAACTGTTTGAGTTGACAGTCAAACTTTGACTTGATAAGGGGTCCTTGACAAGTTTATATTTGAAGTTCCATTCATGCATAGTCCAACATAATGATAGTTATGGAATAAGTAATACATACCTAGCGATACATCATAAAAGAAAGTCGTACTGTAGAACGCATATCCCCCGGAACAGTGTTTATTTCTCACCCAAATATTTCAAACTTTTCACCATTTTAATCTCGTCTGAAGTCTCGTTCCAAACGCGATTTCATTTCTTCACACTTCCGGTTAAAAAGTTTCACACAAACTCTAGCATATTGCAGTTATTTTCAAGAGCTAAACGCACATTTGACACATCACACAAGTCACAAACATATACTAAGACATTTTCGACCGAAACATGTCGACGATCGAAGAATTAAAAGAGCGAGTAAGATGCTTAGAAGCAGAATTAGAAAAAAGTAAAAAAAGTTCTGTTGCCCGGCAAAAAATCTCACAGATGAGCTCAGAGGTAGTGGACAGTAACCCATACAGGTATATTTTAAAGTTATAATTCGAATGTTTGATATTTGACGAATAATTAAACTGTTGAATGGGAACCACTTACAACCACAATCATCTGAAAATCTTCCGAGATCAAATAATAGGCTACCGAAGGTGCGCGTTGGTGTCTGTCATCTCAGTTTACAGTCCAAGGCAGTGAAATTATAGATTTATCGAATCTAAAAGATAAACAATCAAAGGACCATAAACATTCTACAGTAGTATGCATCTGACAGACTGACTATTTCTTCTTTATCCAATTATTTTGCTTGTGTATGAACATATTGGCACTTACATGCTGCCTTTGATCACTTCATGCAGTAATTTCACTTATATACTACATACGGAGGAAGTGTTAGTTGTCACTTGTTCGTTTTTGTGACTGAAATTCCCTACAAAATGTCCCCGCTCATCACCCTAATTTCCTGAATTTGAGAGAATATGTTTGAGAAATGATAAAAGGTCAGCGAGACAAATTAGAAGGTGGTGCCAGATTTCTACAGAAGTTGATTTTGAACTGTGGAAAGCAGACATGACTTCAAAATCAGCAAAAAGTCGAGTGTCATTTCCACCAAGGTTAATAGACACTTGATCCACTGACGAGAAGTCAGCCTTATGAGTTATGTACTGTCCTTTGGAAATTTAAATTTGAGGAAACATTACTTCACAAAAATAAACATTATAATTAAATACTTCAATTCAATTAAGAAATTGTTTTTTTACGTTTCAGTCGTCTTATGGCACTCAAGAGGATGGGTATAGTTGACAATTATGAGGTGAGAAAATATGGTAGTAAGAATAATAATCATTACCATTCACTTTACAATACATGTATATATTTGGTTTATTGCCCACTTACATGGTGACCCTATGGAATCATCCATTAGTCCTAAAAGTTATCTGACAAATGGAAACTGCCATTCATCAAACCAGATGTCTATATAATACCCATTTAATTGTGACTTTGAGCTTCCAAGGTTTTGTATAAAGTTGGACAATGGCTACAAATTATTTTTCAAAGATAAAAAATTTGTAGTGTATCTTGTGTTTTTCTGCACCCAACAGTCAAATTATCACAACTTTACTTTTCAGAAAATTCGGGACTACACTGTGGCTGTAGTTGGAGTTGGTGGTGTTGGCAGTGTCACAGCTGAAATGCTCACTAGGTGCGGCATTGGAAAGGTATGTAATGGATATGCAATGATTGTTTTCAGGAACCGACCCCTTTACCTTTAAGCGAATTCTAACAAGTATTATGTTATAAGTTTCTATTATAAGTACATGTACCAGTAAATAATGAATTCATGAATAATGACCTCAATCAAGTACTTTATGTTGCAGCTCTATCATATAAGTGGTATTTAATCTGAGTGGTTAATTTGCCGAATGGTCAAATTTTATCATTTTCCAAATTTTAATTTTTCCTAATTTCCTATTGGATAACATCATGAAGATACTATTTCCTACATTTAATTTTCCAAACCTGGCAAAAATTAGGCCATTGGTAAATTAAATGATTAGGAAAAATTACCACTTATACAGTCAAGGATAGTATAAATAATATACCTGTATGTTGTAGCTTCTGTTGTTCGATTACGACAAGGTTGAATTGGCCAACATGAACAGACTCTTCTTCCAACCTCACCAGTCCGGAATGAGTAAAGTTGAGGCTGCAGAGAAAACTTTAAGGTATGATCTTATCAGGTGTAGTTTTGTAGTGTAATTCAGTGTAATGTGGTTTAGTGGAATATTGTATACATTGTTGTTGAATGGAGTGTAGTGAAGTTAAGTGTAGTTGAATATATAGTTTAAGAAAAGGAAAATGTTTTTATGATACTGCAACATTAATTTCTCAAATATAAAATATGGTGAAATGTATACATTTTTACCAAACTTAAACATTCCTGTCATCTTCTTTTTTAAGTATAACTATGACCAGTGCTTAAAATTCAGATATTGTTTCAGCAGGATAGTTTCTGAGTTATTGATGTTTAATTTGCAGGGAGATTAACCCTGATGTAGAGTTTGAAACACACAATTACAATATCACAACTATGGACAATTTTACACATTTCATGAACAGAATTAGGTAGGTGCAACTTTAGATCATTTAAAAGAAGTATGCCAGATGACCCATAGCTTAGAGTTAGCTTTATTGTATACTTGAAAACAGCCTGATACCACAGATTTATCTGATCTAGTTTTAAAATTGGACTTCAGGTTTAATTAAACTGATTTCCTTGATTGCCAACTTCCCTACTGATTCCCAACTGACCATCATAACCCAAATAATTTGGACTGCCAAAACCAACCCATGACTATATTGTACTTTCAGCACTGGTAGTTTACAAGGAAACAGCCCTGTTGATTTAGTACTTAGCTGTGTCGACAACTTTGAAGCAAGAATGGCCATCAACACAGTAAGTAATGAACAGTTGTCCACATTAGGAAATCCCATAAAAATGGATCATGTACAAAATGTGTCAGATTTTTTCTAGTTTTTATTTGTGGGAAGTTATAATGTAGCCTGGACACTTGAGTATCAGTCAGTATGGAAAACTGATTGACTAACAATGGCTAAACTAATCAATTCTTTTCCATATTCTAGGCCTGTAACGAGCTTGGTCAGACATGGATAGAGTCAGGAGTGAGTGAGAATGCAGTTTCTGGGCACATACAGATGATAAAACCTGGAGAGACATCATGCTTTGCCGTAAGCCCTTATTCATCTCAGTGTTTTAAGTTTGAGGGATGTAGAGAGACAATACATCTGTGCAAATAAAAAGAAGAATTTACAAAATAGACATTATATTAAATTGGATGAAATGACATTTAAAGAAAATGTTACACTATAACATTCATAGGTGACTTAAACAGTGTTTAGACAATATTTACAATAGTTAGACAATAGACAATAGTTACAATATTTCAGTTAGTCTAAGTGTAATAATGTTCTGTACTATATACATCTATATAGTTCAGTGTGACGATGTCTCAGTTTCAATGTACCAATATTTCAGTGTGCCCCTCCCCTGGTGGTTGCTACGGGAACAGATGAGAAGACCCTAAAGAGAGAAGGAGTATGTGCTGCCAGTCTTCCTACCACTATGGGTATTGTTGCTGGGTTGCTAGTTCAAAACACCTTAAAGTGAGTGGTTTGTATAATTAACAGAAATAAATCGCTATATTTTGATAATATTCAAGCTAAAATTAAGGACTTCCACAAAAAAATTGGGGAAATGTAATCCAATCATTTTGATTTTTAGTGATTCATCCTTTCATTGTATGAACATGTCCATGTAAAAATAAAATGAAATTCTCATTACATCGAATCTATGTAACTTACTACTTTTACAGCGTTCTTTGAAAAATAGAAACTTTTGATCTGTCAAATCTTTGTGTCAAGTGACAAGTTTTTACCAATGTCAACGAAAGATGACAAAGTTATTTGTATCATGTGATTCATTCATTTTTATCAAAGTGTTAAACATATATGCTGTCTTTTCAATGAAAAAGAATTAAAAGCACCTTGGTAAAAATGTGAATGTGCCACTAATGATCTCTGAACTTCAAATGATGTTTTCTATGTGATTGTCAGTTGCTTTTTTCTCGCTACAATATTAACACAAACAATTTATTGTGTGAGTAACATGTTTCCATGATTTTTTGTTCCTTTTCTTTCTTAACTACGTATAATGTCTCATTTAAATTTTGACTTCTAATCTCAAGAGGGCGCCATCTACTATGACAGTATTGCTGTCCTCTTGGTATTAATCAATAGCTCTTAATTTGCAGCAACGAACCATACTTCTATATATCTTTCTATAGGAATTTGCATCCATTTGATGAAGCGTCATACTATCTTGGCTACAATGGGTTGCTCTTGTCTAGATATTTGCTCCAGTTTGGTGAAGTGACATACTTTCTTAGCTACAATGGGTTGCTCTTTTCTAGATATTTGCTTCAGTTTGGTGAAGTGACATAATTTCCTGGCTACAATGGGTTGCTCTTTTCTAGGTATTTGCTTCAGTTTGGTGAAGTGACATACTTTCTTAGCTACAATGGGTTGCTCTTTTCTAGATATTTGCTCCAGTTTGGTGAAGTGACATACTATCTTGGCTACAATGGGTTGCTTTTTCTAGATATTTGCTTCAGTTCGGTGAAGTGACATACTTTCTTCGCTACAATGGGTTGCTCTTTTCTAGGTATTTGCTTCTGTTTGGTGAAGTGACATACTTTCTTAGCTTCAATGGGTTGCTCTTTTCTAGATATTTTCTCCAGTTTGGTGAAGTGACATACTTTCTTAGCTACAACACTTTGCACTTTTCTAGGTATTTGCTCCAGTTTGGTGAAGTGACATACTATCTTGGCTACAATGCGTTACAAGATTTCTTCCCCATGATGTCTCTAAAGCCAAACCCTACCTGTGATGACAGCTTCTGTAAGAAACAGCAAAACATATATCAGGTAATGAAAGTCACATTCTTTGGCTTACTAAAATTCACATTGGATGAACCATGTTCAGATGTTTTATAGTTTTATACTGAACAGATCTTTATGATCCAAAACATTGCTTTCATAAGCTTCTATGTGAGTTGAATGTAACATATATGCATATTACTTAATTAAGTGATTTTCTGATAACATTTCAGTTTAAGATCTACAGTAAGGGTGGATAAACCATGTTACAAGATTTTATTATTTAACTTTTAAATAACCTCTACAATTACATTATGTAAAAAGCATGAATTTAAAAAATGAAATAAATGATAATTAGAATGACAAAGATGAAATCAGAGAAATTGAAAAAATTCAGAGAATTTTATTTTGTTAAGTTACAAAATGTTGATGTGAAAATGTATGTTATCAATATCATAGGCCCCGTCATACATCGTTAAAATGGAATGAGGAATAGAATGTTTCCACTTGTAGGAAAGGCTTGCTGCAAAGCCAGAGATCAAGGTTGAAGAGGTCGCAGAGGAAGTCACACATGAGGAGAATAACTGGGGTAGGACATCATTGAAGTTGCTATTAAGGCTTTAGCTGTAGAGAAATTCTTGATAAAATTGTTGATATAGTTGAAGTTTACAGGCTTGTTCTCTCAAAAAAAATTTATTATGACCTCTCTCATTTGCCATGTAGGAATAGAGCTAGTATCAGAAACTAGTGAGTTAGAATTAAAGGAGGCTGAGGGAGTCATCCCAGATCTTGTAGCAGGTGTACGTGTTGCATATACCACCCCGGCACCTCAACCTACACAGGTAAGCTTGGCATATAGCCCCCCCCTGTCTCAAGCAATTAGTTAGGATAATGAACCTGGTATCAAAAAATCAATACAAATACGAGGGTTGATCACAAAGTTCTCATAATATCTCTCTAATTTCTTTATTTTTCAATATATTCTAATGAAATTTTCACAGAAAATGCAGCATAGAATGTCTTATTAATTCAGCAAAAAATATTTAGTTTAACAGAAATATTAAATAAGAAATGGTTGCCATGGTAACGGCAAATCAAGGCACCTGGGGCAAATAAAAGTAATTGAGATGAGAGAATGGCTCAAATTTAACACACATAATAAACTCTCATAAATTACCAAAATGTTAACTTGAATATGTTGTAAAGTGCTTTTACTATTAAAAAAATTGATCATGTGAATTGTGTGATGTCATAGGGGATGCTTCCATGCTTCATTAGATGTGATACCAGAGTCTGAGTCTCAAAGCTAATGATCAGAAATGACCGAGGAAGAGAATGCAATAGATGCAGAGATCTTCAGAAAAATAAAATTCATACTGATAAAAGTTATGTAAAGTTTGTAAAATCCTTTGGTCAGACTAAACATGATCTAAAACAAATATATTGCTAAGATATCAACAAAATTACACCCTGTGTGTGGTCTGTACATGTCAAAAATGAACTAAAGGGGCAAAATCAATTTTCCTCAGGATATTTAACAAAACAGTCATGTGGTCTAACAGTCACTTCTAATGAAGCATAACAATCATCCATTATGGGATCACACAATTCACATGACCACTATAATAGTTCACAACAGTCAAGAGCACATATTATTTGACAATTTACTGTGTTTGATAGCTTATTTGACAACTTATTATGTATTTAAACATTCTTAATGAGGGCTATTTTAGCTTGTTTTTTTTATTTGCCCCGGGTGCCTTGATTTCAAGTTACTATGGCAACCATTTCTAATTTAATGTTTCTGTTATTCTAAATATTTTTTGCTGGATTAATAAAACATTCCATGCTGCACATTCTGTGAAAATTTCATCAGAAAATATTTAAAAATAAATAAATTAGAGAGATATTATGAGAACTTTATGATCAACCCTCGTAGTTACATTATTATCCTACATATTTATCTGGTCGCATCAGTATTTATTTAGTGTTAAACCACTGCTCCCTCCTTGGAACTGTTAAACAGAACAGGCTTGAAAGAACTCTGGGAGTTGACGCATATCACTATATTTTTTACATTTGAAAATTAAATATTTGCATTAGTGTTAGTATGTCGCAAAATGGAGACACTTCTCTTGCCAATTTGTACTGACTTGCAGTGGAGGATTTCTTAATAATTGAGAATTGATGTCCTTCATAATTCTTTTCTTCAGGAGGCTGATATACCATCAGGAACAGGTGATGCAACTGAAAGTTTAGATGATCTCATGGCAAAGATGAAGTCGTTATAACCATGGCAACATATCACATGATCTGACAACAAATAGAGAACTCTCAATTTGTATTTTTCAAGAACATCAAGGAAAAGATTCATTTGCAGAACCATTCCAGTAAACAAAACAAAAATAATCACCTTGAGCCAGGATACTGTGATAAAATAGATTAGAAAGACCTAGTAGCAATCATAATGTTTCATTAGGGTTCTTACTGGTCTGTGTGTAGGAGGTCTGGAAATGATTTCAGGTTATTGATTCTATGAGCTCTGTCTGCTGTTTCTTTATCTAGTTGAATATATTGTAGTAATAAGCTAAGAATAAGTTTTTTTTAAATTTGTAAACATTCTGGAATCTTCAAAATAATCTAAAGAGAATATCTGATTATTTTTATTATTATTTGATTAAATCAATGAGAAAATGTTCATAGAGATAAACAGAGTATCAATGTGCAATATTCTCAGCGTGCAAACATCAATTAATGCAGTATCAGTTAATCCCTGAACACTTTGGACATATTACATGGGATATATCTTCATATAACTGCATGCTAAACTGTAATAACTTATATATTGCAATACAAATACAGAATGGGGAAAAACTAAGAACATCTGTTTGTTCTTGAATGCCAAGAGGTGTCATGCTTAAGATGCATGAGATTTAAATCTAAATGTGCAATTTTTGCCCCACCCTGTTAACATGAGTGCATGCTGTTACAAAAGTAGATGTTGATAAATGATTGTTAAAAAACAAAATTAAGACAGTATTTGAATTCACCTATAAACAAGACAACTCATCTCATTTTGAAGAATTTATGTTTGTCTTTTAGTTATTTAAGTGGGAGTTAAACTTGTCAAAATGCATTGTATAGAAATAAACACTTAAAAGCAGTATTCATATTATTCTCATCCATACTGAAAAATTGCATTTGTAATTATATATACGCACCCAAACTACATCCATGTGGAACCCATGCCACAAGGATCCACGTGGAATCCTCGTGAAACCCACGTGAAATCCACATTGAAATAGGAGAGTTTTTCCATGTTGATCTGGATGGAATCCACATGGATCTAATTGGAGGTGTATCTGAGAATTATATATTATATTTATTATGAAATATATTTATTTATTTTAGTTTCTGGTTTATAGATTTACAAACATGCTCTATGATATTCTTATACGAAATACAAACATTAGAATTGATTTAGGAGTGTTGAATAATATCAAACATTTGAAATGTCACACAGTAGTTTTTGTTTCGTTTTTAAGATGACATTCAACCTATTCCAAATATCTTCATCTGATCCCTTCATATATCCAAACATTGTCATAATTTCACCCAGGTGGTGCCACTTTGGGTATGCAGTCATTTTGATCTCATCAGTGTCTAATACAATTGGTATGATGCTGTAGTTAGGATGCATGCGGGAATATTCTAAGGCTTGTTGGAATATCTTAAGATTGTACTCCCCAGCAGGTCCTAGCATCATTTGGGTTACTATGACGATTGTCATGTGTGTTTTGGCAAAATCATGGACATTTTTGAATCTGAAATGCACAAAGATCAAATGATTATTATTTCTTGTCAATAGTTGAATGAAATACAATGCAGTAAATCCTGTATATCTGAACGCCACTATAATCCAAACACCTCTCAGTATTAACACTCGTAGTCTCAATTTTGTCCCAATCAGTCCCAAGTCCAAATTTTGTCCCAAAGTACCAAGTCCAAATTTTGTCCCAAAGTCCCAATCCTCCATCGACTCATTTGTTAAAGAAACCATGAAATGTGAAAAACTGCTGTTCCAAATAATTTTGGTCAGTCTCATTGGCGTTAGGGTTAGACCAGTTTTGCTTTGCTATATCTCACTTGTCATTTATTTATTTTAGTTTGCATTGTGTTTACGGTTATTTCTAAGACATCAAAACCAAGTGCAAACTATTTGTACAATTAAACATCTTATTCACCATCATTCAAAGATTTGTGTGAAACCAATCCATGCACAGACATGGGGTAAGGAAATTGGCACACAATATTTTCCCAGGAGGTGAGATTTTGACACAATACTACATTGTGGGAGAAGGGACTTATGAAATGCATATTCCAAGTAATTGGAATTTTTACTGTATTTGACCGCTATTATTGCTCTAGGGGATTGAAGAGTCTCTAGGTTGCTCCCAGGGTAGGGAATTTGACAGCCAAACTTTATTTTCTTGAAATTACCACCCCTTCCCACTTGTTATTTAAAACATGTAATATTGTAGGATAAAGTAGACATTTGTACTATAAAATGTTTGTATTCTTTAATTACATTTTTTTTATTATTTAATTGGTTTAAGAGAAAAACATTGTTGAATTCAGTTCACCATATTGATACCAATCCTTTTATCAAATACAAATATAAACGAAATGAACATGGTAATAGTATAATATTCATCATGCATCAGTAATATAAATATACTATGTGGTACATATATAATACCAGAATATTGCAATTCAAAATAATATTGCTCTTAATATAGACCCACACTCATATTATACAATATGAATCAATCAGGATGGATATGAAATAGAGTTTACCTGGTATCTCGAAGGTTAACATTCAGCTTCCATTTAAAATGTTTTTCAAATGTTTTCACAAACTCCTCTAGCACCCATTTAGAAGTTTTCCCATCTTTGCTGTCATAAATCAAATAGGCATCAAACATATCATTGTTCTTCATATGCTTGAAACACCACATTCTGCGTTTCCATAGAAACCAAATTGTTATAGCTACTGTTACTATAGCGATTGTGAATATTGCTACTGCACCCAAATAGAGCTCCATCTGATCTCAATGACAGTACATGTACTTGGACACTGGAAGGGAAAGATACAAAAATATTTCAATACATATCAAATCCGATCTTGACGTATAAGTGGACTTATGGCAAATCTGTAGCACATAAATGCACACGAACACAGGTTTTACTGTATATTTCTGTATATTATTCCAAGTTAGCAGTAAATTGGCTGTGCGCAGGAAGTATGTCATTAACCTATTTATATAACTGAAAATAGGCAAATAGAGAGGGGGCCACTCATTCCTGTGGTTTAGTATATAAATCCTGTTTCAATAAAATATCTTCCCCTGTCAGTTATTATAAAATATCAATCTGTTCTTTGTTCAGATAGCTCTAGACTTCTCTCCAAATTTTTCAATACTGTTTATGGTATCAGGATTTAATTGAAACATTTTGATTTTGATCAGTAAACTAAACTTAACTGTAATTACAATCAAAAACTTCCATAAAACAACAATATTTATTGAGTTCATTGGATGCTAAAACATGGGTGCCTTATTCACCAATAGTGTTCTCATGCAATAGATGTCTGTGAATGGGAATATTAATGAACAAAATTGCAAATTGAATTCGAAGTGAAAAATGATGCTTTTACATACCTCGGTCTTCTATGTATAATTGTACCGTTATGAATTCAATTTTATCTTGGTCATTGTAACATCATAAATAACCAACACATATTTATGTCTGTTTACTGTATTTTTTGTCACTGAATACTTTCTCTGCATGTGAAAATGACTTTATGATTTCTCTCCACTCTTCATGCACATTTAATTTTGATTAATCCAGGCCACACAATCGTGTTATTACAACTGATAGTCATAAAATCTCCAAATACTGAATATTTTATACATTCTCTAAACTTAAACTATCAATGCAGTTGTATATTTTCCAAACAGATTTTGCAGTTGGTTGAACATTTTAAATGAACTTAAGGCCAAGTAAAGCTAAGGGCAATACCAATATTTAGACTTAAGAGTATATGTAGAGTTAATGAAAATAACTGACATTGTAATATTTCATGTATTTCTGTTGAAATATGTATTTTTATAAATTATGAATAATGAGGATGCTTAGAGTGGCTAAGAGTGAAAAATCTCACCTGCCTAGAAAATACATGTACTGTTTAACATAAGAGTAAAAATCCCTAGCCTCTATTGACTTCTACTTGATTATGAGTTGGCCCAGTGTTATCCCAGTGTGTTACTTGCCCTTTTGTTGACCACCACTTTGGAAATAAATCACTACAATGTCACTTTGAATAAAGAGAATTTAAAAGAGGAAATAAAATTGAAAAGAATTCATCCTGTGTATTCAGAATACTAATTAAGAGGCACTCTACTTGCATTGTTTTGTTAGACTATTTTTTATGATTAACAGTTTTTAATTGATAAAGTTGATATATAATGGATGTTTGCCCTGGAACAGGAAATGTCTGAAATCAGTTCAGTCTGCCACACAAAATATGTGTGTCTGAAGTTTACAAGAAATGAGAGAGGACACTACTATATGACCCACAATGCAAGCTGATGCCTCATACCGTTTAAGGTATGGCTATGATAAAAACATTATCATACCTGTTTTGGAACATCATCAAAATGCTCAGTTCCACAGTCACTTAAAAATAAAACATAAGAGAATTTTAACAGTCCACCTTTATTCAGACATCATACAGCCAACAGTTCACTGTTAAAGAATGTACAGGTTTATATTCATTAAGGTTTTCTCAAAGTATACAAAAAAAGAAATTGTACAATTACCATTACTATCATAAAAGAAAATAAGTACAGTAATAGAAAATAAATAAAGTCCTTCCATATTGAAGAATTTTCTTTTATATGTATCACACATATATATATATATACGAGAGATCAAAATTACAATAGTTTCTGCATTTTATTCACAGTAAATGTGGAATATATTTTTTATCGAAGCAAATTTTATACATTTTAAATTATTCATAATTATGCTTTTTTATATAACAGTTTGTTAGTCCTAAGAAAAAGTGTCCACGAAGGCTTCTCAATCCGTCAAGGTTTCATTTATAGCTATAAAGAGGAATTTTGTAGTGATAACTATACTCAATGAAGATATCTCCAATATCTTTATGGTTTTATGACCAATAAAAAAATTAAACCAAAATATATTTCCAAATTAAGTACTACCCCCCCCCCCCACTTCCCACACACTTAATATCCCATTGATACTTCAGAATCTTCATTATAAACTTTAAAGGATGTTTCTCTTACAATGTAATGAATCTTGATGTTACATTCTTTAAAGATCGCGAGTTTATTACTTCCACAAAATTGTACAATTGATTTTCAGATAAATGTCATCCACATGATGAAGTATTTATACCCCAATCATATGACTAATATCTGAATATCATTAAATTGAAAATGTGATATCAAGAATATTCCAAATCTTATCTCAATAAAGTTAATGTAAAACACATTTTTATGTCAAATTTTGAATTTTAATCTGAAATCCCATTTTCTAATCTAAACCCTTCACAGCTATTTGTCGTTAGATTTTATAATATGCAAGTGCTTCTGAAATTCACATCCAACTTGTGCTAATTATTTTTTTGTGGAGAGGGAATTCATTTTGCCAAGTTCCCAAATCAAACAGCAATCAGCAATGCCTACATGTATATAAGGCAGCAATGCCTATATAAGGTAATATACCGGTGTTCAGATGAAGGAAGTTGGAGACTGAACTTTGCCGAAAACTACAATTAAATAATCAAAATAATCAATAAAGAACAGCCATGGTCAAATGAGAATAAAATCCTGTTCAATTCAAAATAAGTCTTCAAGAATCATAAATGGAACTACATTTGCAGCTCAACACTTGGTGATCCAAAGTCAGTTTTGTTTTGTACTGGACTCATAATAGATCTTTCAGTTTCACATTGCCATGGGTGGCCTCATCAATCTTTGCTACTTAAAGGGTCTCAAAGCATTGTTCAGTGCACCAAAAGAACTCAACCACTCCTTTATAATATTTAGACATCATTTAGAAATTTTAAAAATTGTTTATGACTACTTACGATGATGAATATGTAATGCAATCACGGGCCTGTGGAGGAAATCACCACTTTACAAGAAACTAACTGTTCGTGACAACTTTTTTCAGAGTTCATATATCAGCAAACATTGAAGTATGACTACAAGTCTTAACAGTCTGGTGCAAAAACACCAAGAAAACACTCAACTGGCTTACATTTAATGTTGCCAGTGAGGCATTTCTTGGGGCTGTATCTTGACTGCTAGAAAAGGCGAGTTTGATTTTAGTAGCGTTTTGATAGTGCCATCTATAAAATGACAAGAGTTACCGTGTATAATGCCAAAATTGTAGGAATAATGTTGACTTGGGATCCATCTTCAAAAAGTTGTTCAACCTGTTGTGTCAAACTTTGCATTACATATCCATTTTAACTCATCAAAATCCAATTATCTCTTGATTTATCTTTACATTTCATGATCTTGTCATATATCTGATTAATACATGTAAACATCATTAACTGGAATCAACCAGAACTAATTAATATATGGACGGAATTCGGCGGATTTTTCACATGATATAAAAATATTCAATTACTGCCTCACATCTATGAACATGTATAAAAAATACTGTGTTTTACACTGTTTGTTTTTTACCCTGTTTTTGTAAATCGATTATTTCCTTAATTGACAAAAGGATTCAAGGTTCTTAGTTATACATAGGTACACTAAATTGCCTGAGCTACCCACAGAGCCATGTTACCCTGCTATTATTATGTAAAATAATATGATTGTCATTTTATAATATGATTGTCATACATAAAAATACAAAAACCTGGAGTAAAATGGGGCAATATTGCAATATCAATAAATTGAAACAAAATCGTAAAACATTCATATCAATATTAGTATAGAACTATCCCAGGTCCCTCTTGAGTCAGATAAAACTGAATTTATTGAATATTGAACATTACCCCTGAATACACAGCTTCTAGAAGTCTCTTATCACAGATACGCTACAAATATATACAAATCAGAGCACAATTGTAAAAATCACAATGTGTCAGCAAAGTCCGTTGTCATTGCAGATTGTTTCATGATTATCATTGGCAAAGCTAGATTGTCGTTTCTATGAGTCAATTGTTTCAATGGTTAAATTGTCATTACCATGGTGAGATTGTTGTTACCATGGTTAAATTGTTGTTGCTATAGTTAGATTACAACAGTAGAGCTATGGATGTTGCTCCAGCAGCAAGTAGAATATTAACCACTACAGATCCAGCGCTGTTGGGACGATGGTCAGCTTGTACAGCAGTGTTACAATCTGTGGTTTCACAGCAGAATTGATTAAACTGGAAAAAGATATAGTACTTTTCTTACAAGATGCCACAAACAGATTTATAAGTGAATTAATAAAGTATGAAAGCCAAAACTTCACAAATTTAAGGCAAGACCTTAGACGACCCCCTATTATTCAAATTTTATGAACATATTGCAGGTATTAATTTCACAGGTAAGAATTTTCATGTGTGATATATTCTGGCTAGGTTTTCTGGTGATTTGATCTACTGTTGAATCATTGAAAGTTCTTAAAAAATGTCCATAATAGGCAAAGGAGGACGGAAAGTATCGCAATAGATTTCGGACAGTCATATGTTGGATTTTGGTGCAAGTGCATATGTTAGGCCAATGCATTACCTCCAAGAAAAGTACTCAGAGAGATGGTAAAATATTTTCAATTTTGAGACAGGGATTAGATCAAAACAACCCACCCACATATTTTTCTGAAATGTTGTCCTGATTTTCCTTCCACACCTGCTTTTTCAATTTTTGTTGCATCAATATGTTGGGTTTTGACACACAATTAATCCCTTTAAAGGAATAGGTAATTCCTTCAGGGGTTTTAAAGATATCCATTATGGGTGACCAAAATTAAGCTGAAAGCAATGGATCGCATGAGTTTTCCCTGTGGGAAAATAACATGGAAAATATTGTTTTCCACTTTATCTAAAGGAATTACTTATTCCTTTACAGGGGTTGAATGTGTCTCAAAACACAAAATATTGATGCTACAAAAATTGAGAACCAGGGGGAGAAGAGGTTGAAAATCAGTACAACATTTCAGAAAAAACATGTGGGTGGGTTGTTTGCACATTCTCTGTCTCAAAGTTATTATCTTATCATCTCTATGAGTATTTTTCCTGTAGGTAATGCACTGGCCTAACATATGCACCAGTTTAAATCCTTAAAAAACAGACAAAATCCAACATATGACTGTCTGAAATCTGTTGCGATACTTTCCATGCTCCTTTTAGGTAGACCCTTTAAATAGAACTCTTTCTAACAAGTAAATTCTTGGTGGTGGGGGCTACCCCTTCATCTAAGACATCCCCCTTAACTAAAATTGCTGTCAAATGGAGTAGACCGTAAATCATTAATTTTAAGAATTCCCCTGATGGCACCCAGAATACCAGAAATACACTATAACAATAAAGTTGCCTTACCGAAACATGGCCATCTCCCCTGGTGAACTGCTGGAAGAACCCATCGTCTGCCTTGGATTTATCATCGCACGTATATGTAGAATTAATGCCATGCACATCAAATGAAACATCCTTGGCAAAACAGCCTCTGTAGTGAAGCTCAGCGTCAGATGAACCCTTGAACTTGCTCCCAAGGTCAAATCTTGTCGACTAAAACAATTGAAAGAATCTCATGATATAGCACATACCATTATGTACTATTTGGGTGAGTTGCATACAGGGTACAAATTGTATATTATACATACATGGCGTAAAACTGTACAGGATTGCAATAGTACATATAGTACGAATCACAAGGTTATTTCTGATTGTTTTTTGCTAAAAATGGATCATAGTGTAAAATAGAATAAAATAGAAAAATACAAACATAACTCTGAGACCAAATTTTGTATCCATGTATTTGCGAATATTAATAGTTTAGCTTAGACATGTCTGGTCTATTGAACATTCATGTTGGTGCCTTTCTAGTATTGTGTCGTATTTTGCAAGAAACAATCCATCATTTTAAATTTGATTTCTACTGCAATTCTTATTCCAAACTGACCAAACAATCAATTTATCAATCTGTAATTTATAGTCAATACATTAAGTTGATAAGCTCGGACCATACTATGATATAAACCTTAATATAAAGTTTATAAACAGGGGGAAGGACTTACAAAGCATGCAAAATTGTCATTAAAATCACAAGGCATCTTGAGAGCTGTTGCATTGACATCATTTCCATTACACTTGGGCCCATTTGGACTGACTACAGGAGTATCATCAGCAGTAATGTTGCCTGAACCAGCATCCTCAGTGGCAGTGAAGCACATGTCACATGAGGCTGAAAATATAAAAGGACATGGTTATATTTCTAATGGTTATGGGGGGGGGTGCAACCTTTGCACCCCCCCCCCTGGCTACGCCTATGACATATCAAAGATAGAATTATTGTATGTGTAAAGTGTAAAAGCATGTGTCCAAAAATTCAGCACATGTATGTCAACTTTAGAATTTTGCGTGAAATATACGACGAGCACATGTCATAAATAGGGTTATATGTGAGATATGCATGATTTAAATGGGACTTATAATCCTAGCAGTGTATATCTGTATGTAAGCTTTACTCACATTTACAAAAGCCACCAGTGGTAGGATAACCAGCTGAGTAGATGTCTAGCCTTGGTGGGAACTGAGGAGCTTCCATTTGCATGCTATGATCCTGATATTCAAAGAAAGTGAAGCCAGAATCACAGCTAAGACATGTTGGCAGTGGATCAGTACACAAGTTACAGTTATCATCATATGTACTGCAATCTGGAATGGATAACCTCATGTTATCATCATATGTATAGAAATCTGCAATTCCTGACATTTAAGTTATCATTATAAGGTATGCAATGGTTAACAATATGATATCACCATATGTATTGTAATTTGCAGTGGTGGAGACTCTCTACATAAAAAACTGTTGAAATGTTCACTTCACTAACTTAAGGAAAGGCGACCAGTAGGTGCTTACATTTAAAAAGGCATAAAGTGGTGTGTACTCACCAACGCAAGACAAACCATCACTGGCCACATATCTGTGGGGGGAGGCATCCCAGCTATTCTGGCCATTGCATGAGAAGCATTCTAACTGTAAGGCAGAGTCAGCATTAGCAGCAGTGTTGTATACATAGCCACATGTATTGCAGTTCTCAATGCCACCATTGTCAGTGTCACTACACTCTGAAAATACATACATCCAATATGTTATTACATCATATGATTCTAAGGGGGTATGACTTTTATCCATGAGTACACTGATCATCGCAGAGGCTGGTGTTACACTTATATTAAACCATCAAGTGTTTAATGCATAACAAGATGGTAACTCAACACATCATGTCTACATTTACAAAAGTGCTGAATGTGGATCATTAAAATGGTCGCCATAACACTGTGTTTCAGCTTCTTGGTGGTGACGTAAAATTTGAGACAGAATCTAAGAATGAGAATCATCAAACTTACGCTTGCATGTCCAGATTGGCGTGCTTCCCGTTGTATCTTCATGGAGGAAATAGCCACTGTCACATGCCAAGCAGTTGATCTCTTCATCTGGTGAGGCCCCACTCCATTCACACATGTTGCAGTTGGCTATACCTGGCTTAGATGCCCCAGTGTTATCACATGCTGCAAACACATTCAAGGTATGAGAAAATTCAGTTGATTGACCTAACATATATGCCCGGGCATTGTGTATCTTTTTACAAATAAACAATATTCTTGAATAAATACATAGCATAGAGTAATATCACCAATGGAAGTGAAATTCACTTTTTTGAGTCTTCTTATACCTTCAAATACGAAATTTTTCAGAGTTTATTCAAAAGAAATGTTTGATGACCCTAACTTTAATCTGCTTACTGTACCTTGACAAGTTGGTGGATCATCATTAGTTAAGATATAGCCACTAGTGCATCCAGTACACACTCTGCTTGCAGTTCCTCCTGATACTTCACAAGAGCCATAGGCAGAGCAGAAAGCCACGGTTGGACATTCTATAACATATATATTCACATATGGCTGTATCTCCAGTGACAACTACGATTCCTTTCATTTATGCAAAGGAGAAGTGTTCCCCTAAAGTTTAAAGATTAAATACAGTAGAACCTGTGTAAGCGGAACACCCACGGGACCACAAAAAAAAGTGTTCCACTCGGGAGGTGTTCCACTTATAGAGGTTCATTAATATGGAGTAGATAGGCTATGGGATTTTAAAATCACTGTTCCACTTGCAAGGTGTTCCACTTACAGAGGTGTTCGCCTCAGCAGGTTTTACTGTACTGGAGTCCAAAATTATAGCAGTTCATGGAATTATAAAATTATATTTTAGAGTATCAACTTACGTTTACAAGATTTATCAGAGCTGTCTAGTGCGTAACCACTCACACACCCATTGCAGTCCTGGGTGGCAGCTGATGATCCACTAACACAAGCATCATAAGAAGAACAGAATGATGTTGTAGGGCACTCTGGAATTTATAGAACAATAAATTAAACACATTTATTGGCTAAGAGAATTAATCTGGTATCTTAAAAACATCTGTATAACACAAATGAGTATAAAAATATACATACATGTATACTAAAACTAAAAGTACATATATAAAACTAGATAACATCAAGGCCAAAGCATAACAAATCCCATCGAACAGCCATTGGCTGGCATTTTTACAAACGAAATATGTAGCAAAAATCTTAAATAACACACACAAAAATGGCCATCGTTTTCAAAATGCTTGCTCACTAGCCAAATTGTCATCATAAAGTGTAATATGCTTCCAAGTAGGTACATATAAAATTTCAACAAAATTTGCGTGTAAAGGCTGCCATGTGCTTCTTAAATATCTACATTTCTAGCTTTATTAATTATTTAAAAATCGAGCTGAACTTCTACCCTTATAGGGCATATGTGTACAAAATATGATCAAAAGTGTATATAAATACTCACATCACAATCATATCATCATCATCATCACATTCACACCATATGAGTGTATATAAATACTCACATTACAATCATATCATCATCATCATCACATTCACACCATATGAGTGTATATAAATACTCACATCACAATCATATCATCATCATCATCACATTCACACCATATGAGTGTATATAAATACTCACATTACAATCATATCATCATCATCACATTCACATCATATGAGTGTATAAATATACTCACGTTGACAAGATGTAATAGAGCCAGTTACTTTTGGAACATAACCGTTATCACACTCATCACAAGTTGAGGCTGTGGCAAAGGAATCTCCACCAGTACATGACCTCACTGAGCAGTGATCATTGGAGACACTATCCACATTTGGACAATCTGGAAATAACATTCAAAATATCACACACAGTTATGATTTATGTATGTTGAATATTACCAAATCAATTTTCCATTACACTAATGTGGGATCTAGGTGATGAAACATACACATAAATACACTGGTGGACTAGAGAGAACCTTAACCACAAACATTTTTGAGAGATTTAAAAATATTTTCAAATTGTTATCTCCCTTTTCAAATCCTCCATTGGAAAACTTGACTCACGTATATAACAGTGAATAATAAAACAAATATTTAATTCTATTTTCGTTTAATACCTGTGACACTTTCACAAGATGATATTCCACTAGCCCTTCGAGCTTCATGGAATATCAATTGTGAAAGATGCATTGTATTCAATAGAATTAAATATTTGTATAATATAATATATGCTATTAGTTTATTCTAGAAACACATGCAAAGGCTTAGTAGTTTTATGTCAGAGATTACTTACATTGACATGCATGACCTTGTGGCTGTGTATCAGTTACAGCGGCACTCTGAGCATAGTTGGTATTACAAGCAGAGCATTTAGACATCTGTAGAGTTGCATCAAATGTACATGATCCAGAACATTGGGAAGGACAATCTGAAATAAAAATTCATTGAATTGTAAACATGTAGCCTATGGATTTAAGTTTTGTATTGCTTCAAGGTCATTTTATAGATGAAAGCTTAATCCATTTTTGAAGATTCCTTTCTAGTGTAGTGAATGAAACATAAATCAAAGGCTAGATTGTATTCATGCATGATTTTCCATTGAAGCTGCCAGTGGTTACAAACTCAATGGAACGTTAGCTGTTAAAATACTATCTTAAAATACTGAAAAGGTTAGTACTTACTTATACATAAATTGGTAACTGTATTCATGACATAGCCATCACTACAGGCGGTGCAGGTGTCTGCAAGGTAGTTGCTATCATCCACTGTGTCTACTGCATTGTTACATTCACTACAGCCCATCTTGCAAGCTACAATGAAAAAACAATACTGTATTGCTCCAGGTTTTCTGTAGGGGCACAGATCCTCAAGTAAATCATACTACTGTCATTATTATTTTTCAGCCTTGAATCATACCTTCAGTCATTTGAGTAAAATACCATAGGCAAGTAGGTATAATGCTTATATTTGGAGCTCATTAACTCTATAAATGAAAGCAGAACACAAAAACATTCAAAGAGATTATTGTGAAATGCATGACATGTGTGATTTATGATGTCATATCATACTGTCACACCAAATGACACATTTTCTTTCAGGAAAGGATATATGCTGCAACATGTTTTTCTGGCAACGACTTTGTCAACAATGTAAGTCTTCTATAACTTTTAATTTGGAAACATTATGACCAAATACCAAGCATATTGGCTTCAAATGGCAGTATGTATAGTGACTTAAATGTATGTAGTCATTAAAAAAGAGCACTTACACACACAGTTGTTGCTGTTTGCTAGTATAGTATAAGGTGATTTGCAGGTGTCACACGACTGGCTCTTCAGAGTACTGTCACAGGTTGTACATGTCACGCCATCAGACATTACAGGGCATGCTGAAACAAATATATAATGTGAACTTTTACATATCTAATGTGTGACCTGCATCTATAGACAATTATGGTCCTTAATGCAGATGTATCCAACATTCTTCTCATTTTGATACTTATCAATAAATGATTTAGGTGTTACAGACAACAATTTACTCAAAGTGAGTTTTCTGCTCTGTTTATATACAGTAAAACCTGTATATACTGAACACCTTGTGGAGCCACAAGTCACTTAGACAGGTTTTACTGTACATGTATATTATTCAAAATCATAAGTAACGTTGATATTTGAGTTATTCTACTATCCTCTTCCACTGCATCAAGGAGATACTGCATCCATGAGTTCTTGAGATTTATAAAGACAAATGTATTGTACAAACCTTATTGTTATAAATGTACAGTAGAACCTGTGTAAGTGGAACACCCACGGGACCACAAAAAAGTGTTCCACTTTGGAGGTGTTCCACTTCTAGAGGTTCATTAATATGGAGTAGACAGGCCATGGGATTTTAAAATCACTGTTCTACTTGCAAGGTGTTCCACTTAAAGAGGTGTTCCCCTTAGCAAGTTTTATTGTACTCAGATTTAGCCTTGATATACTTGTATTTGAACAAAAAAACAAAATTATTTATTAATTTATTGATTGTACATCAATTTTAATTATTAAAGAAGTCAATGTTTACCTCTGCATCTTCCTTGGCTGCCAACAAGAACATCATTTTTGAATCCAGAGGCACAGGTTAGACACGTCATTGACATTAGGTTTGTGCCGTCATAGAGACCTCCTGTCCAATCATCACAGTTTGGAGGGGCGGCTAAACACAATGGAAATATGCAACTTGTAGAATGACATTTTAATGAACTACCTTGTCATATTGTCACACTGTATATGTAAGTTGTAACATGATATAAAAATGTAATATAATATAAATATTTTGCATGGGGGTATAATATGTATTTCTTAAATGACAATTTATACTTAGGATGTTTTAAACTTCCTGAATAACAAACTCATTCTCCAATTTTCCATTACTAGTCATTCCTCTTTGCCACAAGAAGGCTAGACGATATGATACAACCCACAGAATGATTTAAGAAACTTACTAAGGCATACGGCACCATCACTGCTGGGCTTGTAATTGGTGGCACATGTCTGGCAGACAGCAACATCATTGTCACACTGGTCACAGTTTGCATCACTGCATGCTAAAATAGACAAATAATAAGAAACTATTTGCCATTGCTGAACACTTCGCGTTAGAGCATATAGTGCATTACTTCTGGGACAACCCTCGTACATTGTAAAATTTTGATTAACACATTTTTATATACTGAAGGATAGTTAGGCGACTTAAATTTGGACATCATATACTGGCACTTGAGTATAAAACTACTTTTCATTATGGTATAATTTTGTATCTTGAAATAGATTTTTCAGAAACTAAACTGATTATTTCTTTGCCTTCACATCACCATTAATACACATAACATCTTGTACACGTATTTTCATAATACTTATATGTACCTATAGTATAGTTCCTATACACGTTTTTAATAACATGTTCAAGTATCACATATTTTGTACATGTGCTCACACAAGTTCTCAATATATAATATACATGTACCTGAGCATGTGTTATTAGTAAGGAGACGATATCCAGGTTCACAACTAGTGCATACTAGATCACCTCCACAAGCATCGCAGTTAGCAGTGCAGGCTACAGTAAAATAAAATGCATACAGAATAGTATTATATATGTAAACACGCCATATTTTAAACTGACAAATATACAGATGGTCAAATATTTCATTTTATTTGGCTGATTGACATAGTATAAAATGCATCAAAATGCAATGCTTCTAAAACAGGAAGTACCAAAAAGTCCATTTGTGTGGATTGCCATCTACAGGGTGACACAAAAAATGTAGCACTCTTTGAGTGTATATAGTGTTCAATGAGTGATTTCATGCTGTACAATGTACATATTTGGCTTCAACTACTTTGCAAGTTAGAGAAATACATGTAGATTTCCCTAAATCTCAAGTCATTCATGCTGGTAAATATACCACTATTTCCCACATTGAATATGCCATCAATACACACAATAAATAAACAAGAGGATTAAACGATATTATTCCAGAACGAGAGGGTTGCATTTTTGTGTGACTCTGTACATGAGTCAAGTAAGAAGTGCAGCTATAAAAAGTGCAACATCTTTGTAATTGTCTTGTCTTCCTGCCCTTCATATGTACAGCACTACCAACCTGTACATTGTCCATTAGAAGTGGCTACTACTTTCATTGGTGTGACTGCAGCGCAAGCAGCACATTCGCAAGCAGATGCAGAACCACTATATGTATAACCATCACAACCACTGTTTACAACATCAGCAGAGCATTCTACAAAATAATACCTCAAATGTTACATCATTGCATTGATAAAGTAACAGACAGTAATTGACAGCACACCAGATTGAATTACAGTTGATCAATCTCTATGAGATGGCTTTTCTTTTGAATTCAGTTACTTTATATTTTTACAGTCACTCCATCAATTTATCTGTAAAATCTCCTTGAACAGAGATGAATATAGGTCAGATATACCAGTATATGCAGTACGCTACATAACATACTTAATAACCTTGCAAACATTTTTTGAATTTAGTGTTAATAAAGCAAACCAGAATGTATTTTAATAAATATGCCATGCTTTCTATTGGTTCCCTTCTGATGATGGAGAATGAACAACTTTGAACTCACGTTGACAGTTGTTGCTTGAGTCAAACACATAATCTGTATTACAGCTTGTACACTTGCAGGCCCCACCAACATTTTGAAATGTGTCACCTGCAGCACAGTTTGTAGCACCAGTGCAATCTGAAAAAATAATAATTAATATATATTTGTTAATTAAACTCTACTGAAATTCTATGTACTCATGTATGAACTGTATATTTTTATTTATTTTTCATGACAAGTTTTTATCTATTTTCCAAACATATTCTAAAGCACAAATCGAATCCTTATATAAATTTATGCACATATTTTTGGAAAATTTAAAAAATAGGAAAAGGGTTGGTGGTGGTGGTGGGACTGTATATTGGACTGTATATGAAATTCTATAGTAACTTCACACTGATATATCTAAGTACATGTAAATCCCTAAAACTTTGTAACACTTCTAGAGTGAGGTCTCTACTCTCTACCTAAAGAAAGTTTTTTCAGTTAATAATGAAACTGTATAAAGTGCAAGTAATATTCACAACTGATATGGCCCCTAATTGTATTGTTAACCTTCATAACTGAGAAGGTCCCTAATTGTATTGTAAATGTTCATAGGTGAGATGGTCCCTTATTCTATTGTAAATGTTCATAGGTGAGATGGTCCCTAATTCTATTGTTAATGTTCATAGTTGAGATGGTCCCTAATTCTATTGTTAATGTTCATAGGTGAGATGGTCCCTAATTCTATTGTTAATGTTCAGAATCGAGATGGTCCCTAATTCTATTGTTAATGTTCATAGGTGAGATGGTCCCTAATTCTATTGTTAATGTTCATAGTTGAGATGGTCCATAATTCTATTGTTAATGTTCATAGGTGAGATGGTCCCTAATTCTATTGTTAATGTTCAGAATCGAGATGGTCTCTAATTGTATTGGTAATGTTCACAACTAAGTAGGTCCCTAATTGTATTGGTAATGTTCACAACTGAGATGGACCCTAATTGTATGTTAATATTCTTACCCAGACATATTCCACCAATCATGTTATCATTGCTATCTGTGCAAGTTGCACATGCACAACTGCCATCAACAACTTCATATGTTGCACAACGAGAAGCCACAGCACTGCAGTCTGCAACAGGCAGAGAAAACATTTATAGATTTGCATTTTTGTTTCACATGCATATAGTATATATTCGTTTCTTTCCTTATGATATTATTAATGCTCTATTGTGGGCATACATACACCCAAAGTAAAAACTTATTATTCCAACTGTTAAGATAGGATCATGTTGCATACACAGTGTACAGAGTGTCCCAAAAGTAACAAGAATGGTGTTGCCATTTCATTAATAGCGTTCATATACGTAATTTATGTACTTTGACATATTGCAACCAGGAATGCCATGGTAACATGACATCTCAAAACCATAACAACTTTATTTTCCCCCAAGCCCCAAACTGCTGTAGACACCAACTACCACGTCTATGTTAGCCACATTTCTAGACAGTCTAGACAGATCATAAAATATAATTTGGAGTGTGCAACTTTCAAGAAAAGACCATTATTGAAAGCAACAAGTCTGCAACAAGTCTGTCAAAGGGACAGGTTGAATAACTGCAATGATATGCAATGTTAATTGCCCCTTATGTTTTTTCATAAAACTTTGGCAATCGATTGATTGTATATTTTTGATAACTAATGGAATAAACTCACATATGAAAAATTAATAAACGCAACCATACGAGGAGGAGCTACATGTACACTTAGCATCTTGTTTGTTATAACATAATTTGGGACATCCTGTATAGCTACATTGGTAAAATATAAAGTTATTTCATTTTCACAACATGACTAAAATATAGTGTTTTTCATAATGTACAGTATAGATATTTCTTTATAAACCTAGCTTAGTTATTTCATGACATACCAAAAATATATAGTTATTTCATAACAAATACCTTAAAACTCAGTTTTTAGTTTTTCATGAATGCTTTTAGTCTATAGTAATCCATGAAATACTTATGTATATGGTTATTTCATTAAATGACATCAGTTCATAGTTATTCCAAAGTTATACATTAAAATGTTTCATACCATAGCATCCACTGTTTATAAGTTCGTTCGAGCCACAAGCAGAACATAAAAGAGAAAGTGTTGCATCACTATTTTGCAGGGCACAATTGGTACAGTCAGCATATCCAGTTATTCCAGAGAGCGCTTCATCACAATCTGAAAATATTCAGTTGGTGAACTATTTACTTTGGAAACATTAAGATGTTGCATGAATTCTAATGTAGGAACTAAAATGGGCTTTCCAGGGGTTCTGGCAGCCATAATGCTTGGAACAGGTATTAACTTGACAAACCGGAAAAAATGCTCAAAAAGGGGGTCTTTGGCGGGGTATTAAGAGGTGTAATGGAGCGAAACCCCCTGGGCACAACAGCAGGTTCTTTAAACAAGTATTATCTTTTTTCTGTGCAATACCTGACATTCATTTAAATTTGTACATTACATTACAGTCTACCCGTGTAGCTCAGCGGTAGCGCAGGTACCTCTTACGCAATAGGTCCCGGATTCGATCCCCGGTTCAGGCAAGACTAAATTTGCTTGTTTGCGTGAAGTACTTCAGGGTGTTTGACTGAGTGGTCCGCAACTCGTACAAAAAGGCTGTGGTGTGTACTTATATGTCTATGTATAAGTGCACATAAAAGAACACAGGGCTCCTTCAAGGAGGGGTTTCTGGGTCTATCTTCCATGTTAATTACGTAAATTACGACCGTATATATACGGGACATACCCAAGAGGTATTGCTCACCTTCATTGGTGGTAAACAAAATACAATACAATACAATTACAGTTATTAGGACAGGTGAACATTGTTAAACTATTTAGTAATTGTAATATCAAGAAGTTTTAATAATTAGTAATTGTAATATTGAAATTTTTTACACCATTTAGTAACAGTAATATTGAGAACTACTATACTATTTAATAATTGTAATATTGAGTATACATTTACTTACTCCATCCCCATTGTGTTTGTGACGTATCAGCATCTAGTTTTGAATGAGAAACTCCATTATTGCCGTTTGTGCTACAACCTGTGATTTCATTGGTATCAGAGGAACAAGCTGTGCATCCAGTAATCCCACCACAGTTAGAAATTGAAGTGCTGTCTGAGACAAAAGAGAATAGGGATATTTAGTCTAGCTAGGTATGAGACCTTCTTGTGACCCCCCCCCCCCCTCCCAATTACACACACCTCCACAGGTGGGGGCAAAGTAGATAAAGGAGGGGAGTGTCCAGAGACTTGAAGTAAGACTGGAGAATATGGTACATTATCAATAATAATCCTCTTTCAAGGTACAGGTAGACAGATATACATGTAGCATTCATTCTATATTTGTAATTTCCATTAGTAAAGAAGCAAAGTACTGAATATAAATGAAGTAAAGTATTCTACTGGTCAGAATTTAGCAGTTCTGCCTGGACAGGAACCTCATCACCTCAACTTTATTATCTTTATAACTGATTGATTGCCTTAATCAATTACCCTTACAACGAATTGATTGCCATAACAACAGATTTATTACCATAGCATCCTCCATTGTGAAGACGCATATCACCAGACACATCACACACAGTACAATAAGCTGCACCAGCTGAGGTAAGAGCACATTGTTGACAATTAGTAGCGCCTGTTATAGAAGTACCGCTACATGCTGTAAAGAATAAAACACATGTACGATAGCCCTATCAAATGTAGGAATTAAAGTCTATTATAGGTTGTGTGCATAGGGTATAGGATCAGAGAACTATGTACCCTACATTTTGAATGTGTTATTCGACTTCAACATATTAGATTATTTAACAATGAAAAGTCTGTAATCTGAAAGCTACATAGACCCAATGAATAAGCTAATGAGTTACATAATTAATTGCCTCTAAAAATATTAATGAGCACTTTTGAAGAGCAGAGACATGTCAATTAAATGAACTGGTTTCCCTTTTATTATATATAAACTGTATATAGTTTTATTTATTTGGCTCTGAATTGTCTCTTGTGTTTCAACTTGTATTTTTCAATCAAGTTACAAAGCACAATGATCAAGATGCCATGTGGATTGAACAGCCAAATGGATTATGGGCCAGGTATAGGTGATTGTTACACATCATATAGACTCATACTTGTAATTGAGTACAGTGACGAAGCCTACCTGTGCATCCCATTCCATCTGAGTCTAAAACATGAGTATTTGCAGTACACGCAGAGCACGTCAAAGCAAAGTCACTAGCAGCCATGTTAGGAGCACATTCTATGCAGTTACTATCAATGGTAGAACAATCTATAAAACAGAAGAGACATATGTAGCATGGTGGTTTAACGTTAAGTCGTTGAATATTCAAGTATTTACAAATACTATGAGGACATCTGAGAATCAATTAAATTACCATTTGCTGATTTTCCTAAGCTACATATTCTGTACATGTTACAGAATATACGAGGGTTGTCCCAGAAGTAATGCACTATATGCTCTAACTTTATCAATAGTTACACCATATAGTGCATTACTTCTGGGACAACCCTTGTATAGTGTTTGATTATCAATTTTTTGTATGCTTTGTGCTTAAATGAATACACAAATACAGGCAAACATGAACAAGTAAATTGAAATGATTCGTAAACAATCATTTAAAAGGTAATTTCTGAGTGTATTTTGACATACCCTACTACGATAATGAGTTGAATTACGAATCAAAATATTGAAAATTAAACCAGACAACCCAGACTTTATATGTTATTAAATTGTCAATTTGGTTCATTTACTTTCAATTGACAACTTTAACTAACAGAAACAAGTTTTAAAAAAGTATGAGTAGCCTGGGTTGTGCTGGCTCCCCACAACCCACCCCACATGTTTTTCTGTCTCACCCTGCATATTCTCAGGGTCCAGCCCTGCATTTCTTTTTTTCTCATCCTGCATGTTCTCTGTCCCAACTTGCATATTTTCTTATTCTGCATGATTACCTCATACTTCATGTTTTTGTCCCACCCTTCATGTTTTTCTGTTCCATCCAGTATATTTCCCTGTCCCACCCTGTAAGTTTTATCTCACCCTGTATGTTTTCAATTTCTCATTACCTGCACAGGCCCAGGTATTGACATCTGATCGTGCTATCCCCTGAGTAGCGGAACAACCAGATGAATCAGGAACTGAAAATATGAAAAATTCAGGTAAAACATTATACATGTAAATTCATTTCATATAATAAGTATAATATAATGTCAAATATGCATTTGCAATATGGGCTAACAATGTTAGTATAACCATATGTGCTAACAGTCATAAGCTAATTCAATGTAATACAACTACAGTGAAACCTGTCTTAATGGAACACATTTGCTACCTATAAAGTGTTCGACTTGGGAAGTGTTCTACTTATAGAGGTTAATTTAACATTATGACAGTTGGTCATGGGACTCCACTAACAGAGGTGTTCCACTTTTAGATGTGTTTCACTTTACAGGTGTCACTGTATCTTAAAATAAAAATATTGGACATTCTTTACTTCCATATACATAGCAACTGAATGATGTATGTCAGTCTAAGTAATGGTTTGATTCTTTCTTAATTATCAACTGAGATTGCTTAAATGTCTTTGAAAGATATTTTTTATTCATTTATTACAATAAATCAAATATTGCATTACTGTGGACTGATTTTTAGGAAATAGTAATACTGAAAACTATTTTTTATTCATCACGAAGAGTTCAAGCATCTCACCTGCGTAACATGCACCATCTGTTTCCAGATAATGTGTGTTTGCTGTACATGCCTCACATTTTAAACCATCACCAGCATCATTTAATGCAATCTGTGTACATTGTGCATCAGAAAAGCTACTATGAGCTGAAATAACAATAAACAAGGCATTAACATGACAAAATGTCACCACCAAGTTGCTCACAATACTATGAGTTTAATCTTAAGTAAGATGTAAACTTCTGAAAATTTGAATTATAAAAAAAAACAGTCAATTTGAAGCAAGTTGAAAAAAGACCTTTTACATTTTTTGACCTTGAGAATGTCAGTTAAATCTTAAGTTAGATTTGAACTTCTGATAACTTGTAGATGATTTTGAAAAAAATTTGGTCAATTTGTAGCAAGTTGAAAAAGACCTTTTTGACCTTGAGAATGCAATTGAAGGTCAAATTTATAGCCAAATGTAAACTTTTGAGAACTTGAAGATGATTTTTTAAAAAAATTGGTCGATTTGAACAAGTTGAAAAAATACCTTTTGACCTTTTTTGACCTTGAGAAGGTCATTGAAGGTCAAATTTTAAGTCAGATTTATCTTAAGTCAGATTTGAATGTCTGATAACTTGCAGATGATTTTGAAAAAGAAATTTCGTTAATTTGAAGCAAGTTGAAAAAATACCTTTTTGACCTTGAAAAGGTCACTGAAGGTCAAATCTTAAATAAAGAGTCAGATTTTCAATATTTTTCAAAACATACTCCCACAGATCTTTTGAGATCTTGAATCCAGAGCTGAAATTGTTAAGATTAACTCTTAAAATATTTTTCACTTGCTGTCCGACAGTCGAAAAATCAATTTTTAGAACAATCTTTAGAAAAAGTTCAAATGCCTCAATCGAATCATATGGTCTACTTACTCATATTTACATGACTTATTTAATTTTTTGAAGTCAAATGTGTGCCTATTCGCCTAGTCAGTAGGCAGATTCTTGAAATTGGATCCAAATGCAGTAAGAAACTCGGTCATTTTCTTGAGAAAAGTTTCTCCTCACCCTCTTTTCAAGTGACGTCAGATTCCAAGAATTTGCTAGAATTCGATGAATTCCATGACTGAACTATGGTTAAATTTTTGAAGTGGTGATAAATATCCAAAATAATAAATAAACAGATTCAAATGTGATAATCCAGTTAACAAACCATTCTAAACATATGTAATTTCACATGATGTTATAAATGTAATTAATAATCTCAAGTATGATGGTCAGGTTTACAAAATATAATGACTTGTCGATGTTATGTAATTTTTTTGAATCATCCACCATTTTGAAATTTAGAGGATTAGGAAGAAGAAAATGTAATTTGACATCATTCTACTCAGCTCTCTGACGAAAGGTAGGAGGTGTAGATAAGTCATGGACCAAATTTATTATATATGGGGTAAAACTTAGGAATATGGCCAAATGAGAAAATAAATGGATTTTTCGACTGTCGGACAGCAACTGAAAAATAGTATAACTGCTAATCATCTGTCAACACAGATTGAATTTGAAATGAATAAACACAAGGAGCACATGCGTCACAACCTAGCTGAACGTGCTGGCGCTCAAGCCCTCTCGACCAACTCAAAGATTGAAAAGATTGAGGTTGTTACATTTATCATTTCAATCATGGTACAAAATCCAACAATTTCCCAAGGCCTAGGAAAAAAGTGGCCCATATTGAATTTTTCATATACATGTAGTATGGAAATATAAAGCCTATAAAGTTGAAATGCCTTGAAAATGATGTCAGGGTGTCTTTTGACTATATTCCCAAAGTTACTCTAATGAGCATATACAGTAATAAAATATCGAAGTCTAAACAAATCATATATTCAGTGTTATAACATATTCTGTTCTTAAGTTTTTCATGGGATTTCTAAATAAACCAATGATTCTTACCAAGGCATGTGCCAGTGTCAGATCCAGAAGTTAATCGACTATATGCCGAGTCACATCCACCAACGGCACAAGTTAATGTTGCCCCTGAGCTACCATCCTCTGTTTGGCCAGCACAATCATCACACCCAGTGGGACATGCTAAAATGGCAGTACAGCATACCTTCAATAGTGCCTTTTGGGAATTTCCCTTTTAACTATTGTGCTCACATGTTCAACAAAAACCATAGACACCTAACATTTTTTATATAAAATGAAAATACACACAACCTAGGCAATTATTTATTTCAGAATCCAAGTTGCTAAAATAAATCTGTTTATTTTATTTCAGTCTAGTAAGCTTGTTATTTGATATAAATATCTTACTTAGGCATTTTTTGGTATCAGAAAGACCCTTTGGACTTGTACAGCTTTGACATTCCACATCAGTACCATCTGACTTCAAACCAACAGATGCACAAGATGAATCTGCATCTGTGATGGTTGTGTGTGCTGAAATTAACAAAGTGGTAATAGATCACCCATGTGAACTAATAAAAATAACTATAGCATATCATTTACAAACTTTGCTGTTTCCAAAATGCAGAAATGTTTTATGGAAAATTAATAACAATAAAATAAATCTATACTTCTTATATTATCATATGGGACTTCTAAACATCTTCAAATGCTCGGCCTTCACTGCGTGGCCGAGTGAACAAAAATTACTTCTGACTAAATACATAAGAGGTGTACAGAATCAGTATACAGAATCATACCAAGACATTTTCCAATGTTAGCCCCAGAAGTTGCTCTACTAAATCCAGAGTCACATCCGCCTACAGCACAAGTTAATGTTGCTCCAGTGCTACCATCCTCTGCTTCACCATTACAATTACTGCACCCAGTAGGACATGCTAAAACATCAATAGAATACCACTTCAAAGTAAAGCTGATGCTGCATCAATGAAACTCCTTAAATGAAAGATCTGTCACCATCTTGCACTTTCAATGTTCTTGAGATCAATTTATAGAGTGTGCTATATGGATACTGTATATCATATATTTTACAAGGCGCCAAATACACCCCCATTTAATAATGCAGTAATTAAACTCAAGATTCAGATGGACATAAAAAAGAAGACAGACTAGGTTATGGTTTTTGGAAAATTATATAATTTTGAAAAAATGATCATTTAATGACTTAAAACATTGTTGAAGCAGTTTTACAGATAGGTAATTAGCATTCTCTTTTCAGCTGATTGACAAGATCGTACATTGGGTCTAAAGGAATAAACCAAATTGAGGAACTCTTCCATATTATAATCAGTACTTACTCAGACATACACTATCATCGCCTGATTTTCGGCCCTTTCCACTTGGACATGTGACATATGAGCAAGTGTCAGGGTAGACATCAGCTTCTGGGCATGACTCACAAGTATAGGAACTTGTACTGGTGGTCAGTGGACAGGCTAGCAAAATAATCAATGTAGATGTTTTGAAACAACTATGGCATACTTTGTGATGTACTGTCAAATCTATATTCCAGTATTTGATAATTTCATTTGCTCAATGTTTGATAATTAACAAAATTAATGACAAAAAGTTACAAAAATTGTAGTATATAGCCTGTATTTATATTTAACTATTAATCTGAATATATTCTTACGATAACAATGGCCATCTTTCTTAGTGTATCCAGGTGCACATGTTGTGCAAGCATCAGCAGTTAAAGACTGCAACATGTCCATCTGGCCAGAACAGTCACTACATCCTGTCCGACAAGCTGTAACATAAACAATGCACAATATATGATGGGTGCCATAGTTTTCATGCACTACTAAATACCATGTTTTCACTCATCAAGTATACACTGACCCATGTCTCCTCTAACCCACTATACTCACCCTTGTCTACACTCACCTAGTATTTTCACTCATGCTTGCACTCACCTAGTATTTTCACTCATATCTGCACTCACCTAGTATTTTCACTCATGTCTGCACTCACCTTGTTTTTTCACTCATGCCTGCACTCACCTAGTATTTTCACCCATGTTTGCACTCACCTAGTATTTTCACTCATGCCTGCACTCACCCAGTATTTTCACTCATGTCTGCACTTTTTAATTACATGCAATTGCATCTGCAATCCTATCATACATGTACTTTCACTAATACCACCAGAATCATTCATTCATTACTGCACTTACTACACTCGCTTATGTCTGCAAAAACAGTTCTTTTCCTCATGTCTGCACTCACCAACAATATTCATTCATGTCTGCCTCCCTTGCATGCAGACTTTTATTGGTAACTGATTATGCGAACTAATGTCTGAAATCACCATCTATGCACACTAATCTCTAAAATCACCATCTCACTAATGTCTGAATTCACCATCTATGCATACTAATGTCTGAAATCACCATCTATGCACACTGATGTCTGAAATCACCATCTATGCACACTAATGTCTAAAATCACCATCTATGCACATTAATGTCTAAAATCACCATCTATGCACACTAATGTCTGAAATCAACATCTATGCACACTCATGTCTGAAATCACCATCCATGCACACTTATGTCTAAAATCACCATCTATGCACACTAATGTCTGAAATCACCATCCATGCACACTAATGTCTGAAATCACCATCCATGCAAACAAATGTCTGAAATCAACATCTATGCACACTAATGTCTGAAATCACCATCCATGCACACTTATGTCTAAAATCACCATCTATGCACACTAATGTCTGAAATCACTATCCATGCACTCATATGTCTGCACAATCCTTATTTGATTTTTATTACTCACTCAAGCATTTTGTTCCATCACTGCTTGGATATTTGCCAGAACTGCAAGCGCTACATGTCATACCCCAGCTGTTACCGTCCACTACGGGAGTTGTGGCGCAAGAAGTGCAGTGTGTCGTAGCACCACTTACAACATCATTAAAGTTACAACCTAAAGAGAAATATTACAAATACTGTATACACAATAATTCACAATTCAGGACAACACAATTGCTGCTTTTAATCCATTTTTCTTCCATTAATGACATAGCTGAAACCCACCAGGTGCCAAATGAAAACTACAAGTTTAGTAAAAATCTATCTGAAAAATTACTCAAACTCTTTACCATGTCAAGCGGTGAACAAGTGAACCTCATTTAATAAAAACTACCTACTTTTACACTCGCCATTGCTGGTGTCCTGCATATAGCTAGAGCTTGGGCAGTTGCAAGCAGTCTCTGAACAAGAGGTACATGTATAGTCACTGTTGGTGAAGTCACTGCATGCTGTAAAGATTACAATATGTTCATGTTAATGTTGGTGTAAAGATAACAATATGTTCATGTTAATGTTGGTGTAAAGATTACAATATGTTCATGTTAATGTTGGTGTAAAGATTACAATATGTTCATGTTTGGTGTAAAGATTACAATATGTTCATGTTTGGTGTAAAGATTACAATATGTTCATGTTAATGTTGGTGTAAAGATTCCTTATGTTCATGTTAATGTTGGTGTAAAGATTACAATATGTTCGTGTTAATGTTGGTATAAAGATTACAATATGTTTGTGTTAATGTTGGTGTAAAGATTACAATATGTTCATGTTAATGTTGGTGTAAAGATTACAATATGTTCATGTTAATGTTGGTGTAAATTTTACAATATGTTCATGTTAATTTTGGTGTAAAGCTTACAATATGTTCATGTTAATGTTGGTGTAAAGATTACAATATGTTCGTGTTAATGTTGGTATAAAGATTACAATATGTTCGTGTTAATGTTGGTGTAAAGATTACAATATGTTCATGTTAATGTTGGTGTAAAGATTACAATATGTTCATGTTAATGTTGGTGTAAATTTTACAATATGTTCATGTTAATTTTGGTGTAAAGCTTACAATATGTTCATGTTAATGTTGGTGTAAAGATTACAATATGTTCATGTTAATGTTGGTGTAAAGCTTACAATATGTTCATGTTAATGTTGGTGTAAAGATTACAATATGTTCATGTTTGGTGTAAAGATTACAATATGTTTATGATAATGTTGGTGTAAAGATTACAATATGTTCATGTTAATGTTGGTGTAAAGATTACAATATGTTCATGTTTGGTGTAAAGATTACAATATGTTTATGATAATGTTGGTGTAAAGATTACAATATGTTCATGTTAATGTTGGTGTAAAGATTCCTTATGTTTATGTTAATGTTGGTGTAAAGATTACAATATGTTTATGGTAATGTTGGTGTAAAGATTACAATATGTTTATGATAATGTTGGTGTAAAGATTACAATATGTTTATGATAATGTTGGTGTAAAGATTACAATATGTTCATGTTAATGTTGGTGTAAAGATTACAATATGTTCATGTTAATGTTGGTGTAAAGATTACAATATGTTCATGTAAATATTGGTGTAAAGCTTACAATATGTTCATGTTAATGTTGGTGTAAAGATTACAATATGTTCATGTTAATGTTGGTGTAAAGATTACAATATGTTCATGTTAATGTTGGTGTAAAGATTACAATATGTTCATGTTAATGTTGGTGTAAATTTTACAATATGTTCATGTTTATGTTGGTGTAAATTTTACAATATGTTCATGTTAATGTTGGTGTAAATTTTACAATATGTTCATGTTTATATTGGTTTTACTATAAGTTCATGTTTATATTGGTAATATCACTGAATGTCACTCTCACGTCATTTTACAACTAAATAAGAAAACTGCAATGAACAACAAAACTTTTGCAAGGATAACATTTTTGGAGTAAAATGCAGTGTGAGTGTCTTTGTTTTAATTGAGGTTATTATCGCTTAATTGAAGACAAGTTCTGTCTTTATTAATCAGTTAAATAATGCTATGCTAAATTGAAAGTTCTTTGCAAGTATGCAGCCTGAGAATGACCGAAATATGTCTTAACCAATTAAAACATTTTGAATGTATGCTCAGATATGCAATGCAAGAAGCATACTGAGATTCAATTACCACCTATATAAAATTGACTTGAATTGAATATAAGATGTGCATGTACACTGGAGATACAATAAGGGTCAACATTAACAGAATGATAAAAAATTTAAAAAAATTATTTATACTTACGTTTGCAAATGTTGGGGGATACGGATGTCTTTATGGCGTATGAGGATGAGCAGGTGAGGCAGTTGCTACCATCACAGGTACTACATCCAGTTCCATAATCAGTAGAGCAAGCTGTAACAGTACAATTATGTTGTAATAAAAACACAGCAAGAAAAAGAACTAGAAATTAAAACAGCAACTCGCAGAATAGTGAATCCTACTGAACAAAAGATACTCTATCAAATCACTCATTGCAGTTTAAATCATAACCATGATTTGTTCATAAGGGATTAGCCTATAAAAGTATTTGCATTTTTAGAAAATATCGTATCTTTCTTGAAAAAATGCCATTTTGAATTCAACATTCCTCCTTGACCAGAGTCCTATATGTCAATAAAGCATGAGCACATAAAATCTGAAGCAAAGCTGACAAATGGGATTTGAGTTACCAAAAAAAATTAAAGAAAATAAAAGGCAGTCATTTTGCATACAGCAGTCATCTTTGACATTCCTTCTTCAATTTTTGATTGAAAAACATATTAATATTACAATTTATAATTTGTAACTCATGTTTCCCCCACTCTCTATAAACAATATCAGGCTAACAGTATTAGAGTTATTGTCTTGACAGACTGATGGACAGGAGATAGAGGGATGGACGGACTGAGTAATTCTTACTATCCCATACAGTTTATTTGATGGGGTAATTAATCAGCTCAACCTTTAACATGCAAGCTCACTGAAGATGTAAACCATTCCAAAAGATGTCTCATTTTATTCATTTTCATAAAGCTAACAAAAATCACTTACAAACACAGGCAGGCTGGCCAGCTGGGGTCTTCAGGTATTTACCAAAGCTACAAGATTCACACCCTGTAGATTTGACAGAAGCGCTTGTGACTGCACATGAAGTACAAGAGGTCCCAAACATTGTAGAACTGCTACAAGCTGTTAACAAACATCAACAAATATTTTTATTCAAAAATATTCATTTTCTTTGAACTTGTATAAATATGACTATATACCGAGCCTCAAATGCAAGCATATAAATAAGTTTCACTACAAAGAATGTATTACACAAATGACGTATGAGTATAAACTTACATTGGCATGTTCCATCAGAACCAAATCCATATCCATAGTTACAGTGGTCACAAATACATGCCTCTGTGTCCCCTGATCCAGTCAACATCCACACGTTGCATTGTGCATCCGTTGGGCACTCTGGAAGTAAGCCATCTCTTCAATTATTTCATACATGTAAATTGTAATACATCCACATTTCTTAAATTAGGTGGCTAGATTATTTCCAACTAGTAAAAGATAATGTTAGTGAACTTTAATGTTAGTGAACCTCTGTTAGTCAAACACCTTCCCAAGTGGATTATTTTTAGAAGTTAAACATGTTTCACTGCAATGTTTAAGGATATTCATCTCATGTCAGTCTTGATGGCACAATCCCATCCTTTTGTGTCTTTGGCAGTCAAATGCTATAGTCTAACATTATTGGTATTATTTACATGAATAAGTTAATATTGAATTGAAATCTAACAAATAAATATTACAAGATAAAGATTATAATAAAAAGAGGTCCATACGGTGACATGTTCTTTCATCAGAGCCCAGGAGATATCCTGAGTTACAGTATGTACATTTTCCTGGTAAGTCCTCACATGCAGCTGCTGCTCCGCCACACGCTACATCCTTCATCCAATTGCTAGACCAGCGTAATCTAGGGCAGGCTGAAATGCCACAACATATGCTACTGTTAGCTTTTGTTTGAAATTACATGAATAGAAGGAGATATATTTTACAGTATATATAAATCTGATAAATATTCATAACAAATACAAGAATAATGGATTTTAGTCGATTCATTTGACTGAAAGCAAAATTAACCAGAACAACGGCAACGCCAAAGCGTAGCGAATCCCATCGAACAGCCATGTCTGGCATATTTACAAACAAAGTATATAGCACAAATGGCAGCCATTTTTCAAAATGGCCACCTTCTACAATTAGACAGTGTCATTAGACAGTGTGCCATGCTTATAGTATTCACATACCAAATATAAACAAAATCACTCCACTACTTTTCGAGTTATAGTAAAATATGTTAAAATGGTGGCCATTTTGAAAAATGGCCACCTTCTACCAAAAGTGTCATTAGACAGTGTGCCTTGCTTATAGTATTCACATACCAAATATGAACAAAATCGCTCAACTACTTTTCGAGTTATAGTAAAATACTTTAAATGGCGGCCATTTTTCAAAATGGCCACCTTCTACCAAAAGTGTCATTAGACAGTGTGCCATGCTTATAGTATTCACATACCAAATATGAACAAAATCGCTCCACTACTTTTCGAATTATAGTAAAATACGTTAAAATGGCGGCCATTTTGAAAAATGGCGGCCATTTTGAAAAATGGCGGCCATTTTGAAAAATGGCAGCCATTTTCCAAAACGGCCACCTTCTACCCAAAAGTGTTATTAGACAGTGTGCCATGCTTATAGTATTCACATCCCAAATATGAACAAAATCGCTCCACTACTTTTGAGTTACAGCAAAAATCATAAAATAACGAGTAAAGGCCGCCATTTTTCAAGATGGCTGCCATGTGCTTCTTTAATATCTACATTTCTAGCTTGATTAATGTCCTATATAATTTTTTTACATTTAAAACATATTCCTATAACAGCTTTACATATTGCACCTAAATTACTGTAAAATCTGCACTAAAATGGCAGCCATTTTTAAATGAGCGGCCATTTTGAAAATCGGCTTTCGAGCAGAACTTCTATCCCCATAGGGTATATGTGTACAAAATATGAACAAAATCGGGCTAACGGTATTTGAGTTATTGCCCGGACGGACGGACGGACGTACGGACAGACGTACGTACGGACGGACGGAGGCGTTCCCTATATCCCTCCGAACTTTGTTCGATGGGATAATTAAAAAAAAATATATTGGAAATGAGATTAATAGTTGATATAACTAATAATTAATATTGCTTAATGTGCCTGTCCTAAGATATTCTTTATAAAAATTTAGTAACTATTTATAAAGCTTGTTTGAAGAAATTTGAAAAAATATGTACGATTTTCTGACCTTTTTACATCATTTGTAGAAAAAATAACACTGACCATTGCAAAGTATCATAATAATAATCAGATTGACCTGATTTTGCAGATTCATTTACTATTTTAAATATTATTCAGGGAATGCTTACTGTTTACTCTACGTGTTCCAGACTTGGTGCCAATGGCTGCTAAAGCAACGTGGCAGACCAACAGGCTGGCCAGAAGCCCAAGGAGTCGCATTACTTCCTAGATTTGTCTACAAATAGATGTCACACATGATTATTTTACAACTACTGAACAATAATACAATATACAATGTGGCAGTACAGATTAACCAGTTTTCCTACTAGACGACTAACTTTTTTATATCAATAGATTTTATTTCCACTAGCTCATCAACTACAGGTTATACATGAGGGACCAGTGGCATTATAGGTGTCTCTCAATGTAGCATTTACAATCGATTTTAAAAAGAAAGAAAGCTTATTTGCATTTTAATTAGAGAGTATGGGGCGACTAACTGGGTTAGATAACAAGGCAGATATATAATAAGCAAGGAAATAAACAATGTCCAATCTCCCTCCCCTAGCGTTCAGGAACCATAATAATAATCCAAGATTATGGGACATTTCATTATTTTGAAGACCATAACAATGCATGTTATAGAATAAATCAAAAATGATATCTAATACTCTTTACATCCAAAATAGTTTTAGACACTAGTATTCACACAAGATAGGGCATTCTGTCTCAAATTGTGCAGGACACAAACTCTAGGCTTGACCTAAATTTATTAGAGTCAGGAAACTATGGTTGCTGTTGGTAGTTGTTTCTAAAACTACATTTTTAGATTAGTAATCTTTAGATTTCAAACATGATATAATTTTGACTACATTTCAAGATTAACTTCAAGTTTCTAAATATATATGTACAATGTTTCTTTGTATGATTAGTATCATTTTTGAAATCTATTTAATCATTTTTCTATATCAGCTAAACTAAAAATTGATTTAAATGAAAAATCTACATTTTTGCTGATGAATATCTGCAAGTTTATTACATTTGTGTTACTATGGAGATAACCAAAGGACAGAATTATTCCAAATCACACAAAAACCAGTTCAACAATATCAATATCCATGTGAAAATATCAGAAATTATATTAATTGTAGACTAGTGTGAGTATCAACCTCAATTTCTAAATCATCTATTAAATTTGAAAAAATGATTAGTTTAATCAGATGCATTCTGGACCACTATGTATAAACATATTACAAATCATTAAATAAGGTAAGTGCAAAAGCACCTTGTATTGGCAACCATTATGTTTATTCAGGTTCACCAGCAAATACTTTCAGGCAAAACGGATATCAAAAAATGAATAGAACACTAAGCAAACACTCATATCCATAATTAAAACAAAAGGAAATTCTAAACCAGTAAAGAACAAAAGAAAGATCGATGATCAGTGTTTTTCTAAAATCCAATGTTCTTGGAAACCATTGTCAGTAACCATGGCTGAGGTTCAGTGTTTATATTTGAACAAGCACTTACTATAAAAATCATTACATTCCAAGACAACCCTGACGCTCAATAATAAATATTGATGGTTGCCACAGTGACACTTTTTACTTATGATTAATGCAATGATTGACAAGAATCCGTCGAGATTTTATTAAGCAGTCACGCATTGAAGCATATTGATCCAATTCAGCCACTCCGGGATGGCAAACCTATGGTGCTTTAATGTAAATGTACACCTCATTCATTGAAATACATTCTCTTACAAGTCCACATATGAAAATATATAGAATTTGCTATAGCAATAACATGAACTGCGAGATTGATTGATTTTTTCTATTTGGAAATGTCATATTTTATTGTTTTTCTTAAGTGGATAAATTGGTTGCTAGGCAGCTGTATAAACAAAAGTGGCATCACATGCAATTTTACTTTTACAAGTAGTTGGTATTGTCTATAGACTATTGGAAATATAAAACATTCTTGTTTCGGATGAAATATACAAGACTTTATACACTGATATTCCAATTGTTTTAATGTCATCATTGCTACAATTAATAATTCCATCAATATAGCAAAACAATTAGAAATAATACTTTTGATACATCATGATTAAATAAACAATAAAATTATCATATACCCGTGGATGTCTCTTTCATATCACTGTAAACTCTGTAAACGCTGTATAAAATTAAATTAACCAAGAATCCAATAAAATCAATTCTTTTGAAATATTTTTTCAGTATCTTTGGCTGCAATCAACAGTTTTTTGATAAACTATAGAAAAGAAATGTCAACTGTAGAAAGAATAGTTACACCAAAACCAATTCATTAACCATTTAGAACAATTCTCAAATGTTCATTTAGGAATTGTACCGACACATATATTACGCATTCCAAAGAGAACCATATATGTTGTAAAATTTATTTAACTAAGAATCCCATTAAAAAAACAATTCTTTAAAATATATTATGCATCCAAAAATACATATTGTAAAACTATATACTGTATATTATAAATTAAGGAATCCCATGTAAAAAAAAATTCTTTAGAAATATATTACGCATCCAAAGGGAACTATATACTGCATATTATGAATCAATTTAACTAAGAAACCCTTGTAAAAAAACAATTCTTTAGAAATATATTACGCATCCAAAGAGAACTATATACTGTAAATGACATGATAAATTAATTTAACTAAGAATCCAACGTAAAAAGAGACCATATGATCGAAAAAGCCTGCCAATCTTCAATCATTTTAATTAAATAAGCAAGGTTAATATCTTACTTCGTGAAAAGTAAAGATAAATACTCACACATATTTAATTTTAACATAAGAATTTAAGAAAGTATATACTTTGGTACTCACCCTTTCCTGTCTTTTGCTTTTTTTCGATATGTTTTATTACAGAATTAATGTTACTTTTTTCTCCTTTCTTACTTAACTTAATGTATTATGCGACTTTCTACCTGAGACCAAGCCCGCACATCCCTTATATACCTATCACTATGGTGATATAGAAAAACTATATGGCTGAAACAGATCACATGATTATGTTTTCTATAGTCTCTATGGGTTATTTCATTGATTGGCTCAAACTACTGTTTTCATGGTGGTGTCAGAGAAAAGCACATTGCTTTGTTATAGGTTTATTTAACACTCTCGATATGTATTCATGGACTTAGAGATAGTAAGTCAATGGTTTACTGTTTCCAGAATCATTATATCTACTAGAAACCTGAAAACATTAAAGTGTTACCACATATATTCATAAGTGTGGAATAAACAATAAAAAGAGATATTCCTTGGTAAGTCCATATATTCCATGAATTTTTTGATTGCTGAAGGCATTATGTTTATATTTGTAGTCAAATCCTGTTGTTAGAAACAACTTCAAAGAAATAATCCATTGGATATTGTTTATGTTTTAAAATTAAGAAAAACAACAGAAAAAAAATTCATCTGAATATTATCTTTCATATCTAATCTTTCAAAAAAAACAAAAGAAATCGCTATATCTTGGAAAATACTAATTCAATTATGTTCATTTTTCCAGGAAAGAAAGAAGAGACTGTATGTATAGCTCCTGTAGATGGTTAGTAGTAAAACACGATGCCTTGGACACCTGTTCTCGTACAATTGTCTTTTGAGCAGGTGTCTAAGTGATCGTGTTTTACAACTAACCATCTACAGGAGCTATACATACACAGTCTCTTCTTTCTTTCTTGAAAAATTTACATAATTGAATTTGTATTTTCCAAGATACAGCGATTTTCCGTTCGCGTTATGTAATGTCTTTTAAGCAGGTGTCCAAGACATCATGTTTTACAATGAACTAACAACATGAGCTACACATACAGTCTCTTTCTTTCCTGAAAAAATGAATACAACTGGATTAGTATTTTCCAAGATATAGCAATTTCTTTGGGTTGTGTTTTTTTGAACACCCTGTGGTATATTAAAGAAAGTACAAGAAAATATTAAAACAAAACAGAACTTGAATTGCTATCTTAAATCTTCTTCTGGCATGGTTGGCAGTTCGTTTTTATCTTCGTGGATTTACTAACTCAGGATAAAACAGTTTGTGCCAGGCAGATCAGTCCTTACTCAAGAGATGTTATTTAGATTTTGGAGATATTGTTTTCATGATAATTTTTTATGTAATCTTATGTAACATTATGTAAGCTTTATTTGTTATGTAATGTTATGTAACACTACATATTACTATACAGTAATATACTTTCTACAGCTCCAAACACATTCATTTTGTTCTTTCACATCAATATATACATAACTTTTATTGACATCATATCAAACACCATTACAATTGGATTAAGCTCTAGCATAATTCATCAAAACGGATCACCATTGTAAAGGATTAAACTCTAGCATAATTTCTCAAAACTGATCACCATTGTAAAGGATTAAACTCTAGCATAATTTCTCAAAACTGATCACCATTGTAAAGGATTAAACTCTAGCATTATTTCTCAAAACTGATCACCATTGTAAAGGATTAAACTCTAGCATAATTTCTCAAAACTGATCACCATTGTAAAGGATTAAACTCTAGCATAATTTCTCAAAACTGATCACCATTGTAAAGGATTAAACTCTAGCATAATTTATCAAAACTGATCACCATTGTAAAGGATTAAACTCTAGCATAATTTATCAAAACTGATCACCATTGTAAAGGATTAAACTCTAGCATAATTTATCAAAACTGATCACCATTGTAAAGGATTAAACTCTAGCATAATTTCTCAAAACTGATCACCATTGTAAAGGATTAAACTCTAGCATAATTTCTCAAAACTGATCACCATTGTAAAGGATTAAACTCTAGCATAATTTCTCAAAACTGATCACCATTGTAAAGGATTAAACTCTAGCATAATTTATCAAAACTGATCACCATTGTAAAGGATTAAACTCTAGCATAATTTATCAAAACTGATCACCATTGTAAAGGATTAAACTCTAGCATAATTTCTCAAAACTGATCACCATTGTAAAAGATTAAACTCTAGCATAATTTATCAAAACTGATCACCATTGTAAAGGATTAAACTCTAGCATAATTTATCAAAACTGATCACCATTGTAAAGGATTAAACTCTAGCATAATTTATCAAAACTGATCACCATTGTAAAGGATTAAAGTCTAGCATAATTCACTAAAACTGATCACCATTGTAAAGGATTAACCTCTTGCATAATTAATTAAAACTGATCACCATTGTAAAGGATTAACCTCTAGCATAATTTATTAAAACTGATCACCATTGTAATACATCACGCGCAGAGTTTAGTCATAAACTACCCTCTGCCTAGTATAGACTATATTACAGTTTAGCAGCCCGGGTAATAAATCATTCCAAATCTACCACACTGACCCTTCCTCAACCAATCTGCGAAGTGGAAGGAACGCGTGCTAAATACGTGCTCATTAATTATGCGGTAATGCCATAGGAAATGACCATATAGAAAGTTGTCTGTATTTCGGAGATTTATTGTAAACTGAAAGAGTGAAGACGAAGCTCTCTTTTAAGAAGTGAAGTCAGACGAATGCAAAGGGTACCATTGTAAAGGATTAAAGTCTAGCATAATTTATTAAAACTGTTCACCATTGTAAAGGATAAAAGTCTAGCATAATTAAATTAACATCTAGCATTACATTATCCTTTGCTTACATTAACATTAGATTATTATGTAATAATGTATTTTGAATTTGCGGTTACGCAAAAAATTTATGGAGGGTTACGCAAACCTTGTTTATATATGTAATCCCGATTCATTTCATATTGACGTTCCGTCAAAGTAACTATGTAGTTGTGAAACAGTGATAAGAAGTGCTTGCACAATGTTTTAAATTACTCTTGAATTACTGTTAAAGCTTGACAGATCAAAAACATTTTTGATAACATAATGCCAGCTTCGATGTGGCTCATTTGAGCTGTTTTGGTGTCAAATGAAAGATAAAGTACTTATCAATCCATTGGAAGTATAATGAAATTGTCAATAAAGCAAGCCACATGAGTTTAGTTAAAATACATAGGAGTTCAATCAATGTCATACCTGCATAATACCAGGTCAACAAATGGTTTTTAGAAATGAATCTATTATCTGTATATAGTCTGTATATACTAATGGATAGTAGATTGGTTTCACCTCTAAACTATTATGTGCCCGTTGAATATTTAATGCCATCAAGTGAACAAAGGAATCTAGGATGCAAAATGCGCACTATTCAGCCTGGAAGAATGTCAATTGTATTCCCAATGAATGCCTTCAAGTTCCCTTTCTACAATAATCTTCATAGTTGTCCACAAATGATGATCTAAAATGTCATTAATGGATTACACTTTCATAGAAAAACCATTCATTGAGATAAGCATTGTTCAATAACATAATTGAGGTGAAGAATTAAATACTTGTCCAGAACTACTTTATTAATGAACTGGAACTGTTGAAAACAAGACTTCTCCTTCTCTACGGTTAAACTACATTCACACCAACGGCGAATGCCACGCTTTAAATCGGCGAGCAAAGCGGCACCAAAGCATGGCGCTTTAAAGGGACTTGTAAAGCGGCACCTTAGCGTAACAAAACTTGATTAAAGCGTCGGGGTCGTAATAGGTCGTAGAAAAGCTCGAAGTAAAGCGGGATGTTCGGCAAGAGCGCCAAAAATGTTTAAACTATTTTTGGGCGCTCCGTTACGAATTGATTAAAGCGCCGAGAGCGTATCAAAGCTTAACAAACCGTAACAAAGCTTGACCCAAAGCGTAGGAAAGCTTAACAGAGCTTGGTTCAAAGCGGGGACCCCAGTCTCTTCACGGTCTGTTACCACTTGACACGCTTCGTTTAGATGTCTCAAGCTTTGCTACGATCTGGCATGAAGATATGACACGAGGTCAGATGCTTTCATCAATATCTGACACTCTTTGTTACGCTTTCATGAAGGACTCCCAAGCTTTTTAACGAATTGAGACGCTTTAATCAAGGATTGAAACGCTTTGTTAAGCTTTGTTACGCTTGACAAGCTTCCTCACGCTCTTTCACGCCGTGCGACAAACATCATGTCTTCTTCAGATAGGTCATGATCTGGTCCATCTGGAAATTCTGGATCTTGTTGTTCTGCCATCGTCTTCTCGAGTCACAGATGCAATGGTTTTATGGATCTACTGCATCTTTATACAGCCATTTGATCAAAAGCGTCATGATAAAGGCGATCTCGAAAATGCACAACAGAGCTTGGCAATCGTATCAGAGCCTGATTAAAGAGTCATAATCGCATCAAAGCGTAATAATGCTTACCAAAGCTTATCAAAGCGTGATTTTAAGCGTAACAAAGCCTGGTCGAAGCGGGATCATAGAGTGAGGAACCGTAACAAGTCGGGAAATCAGAGCTTATCAGAGCGTAACATTACTTAGGAGATTGTGATATTTTTGGAAAAGTAAACATAAATGACAGTGCTTTGCTCGCCGATTTAAAGCGTGGCATTCGCCGTTGGTGTGAAAGTAGCTTTAAAAATGTTGGTATCCTTGCCGAATATCCCGCTTTACTCCAAGCTTTTCTACGACCTATTACGACCCCGACGCTTTAATCAAGCTTTGTTACGCTTTGGTGCCGCTTTACAAGCAACTTTAAAGCGCCATCAAAACGCCGTTGGTGTGAACGTAGCTTTAAGACTTACTAAAACGCCACATCCAAAATACAATACATCACTTATGTGCCTGAATGTATATTAATGAAAACTTTGGCCCATATTCTGTAAACTATAATCCTTAGCCCATATTCTATCAAATATAATCCTTTCCATATGTGCCTGAAAGTATATCATTTTAACATTAGCCTTCAATCTTTATATATTATCTTTTGCTTATGCGCTTGTATGTTTATTACTGACAATGAAAAGATTGGTCCATATTGTTTGTAAAATATATTTCCTTTGGTTGTGTGTCTGGATGTATGAAAACTTTAGCCCATATTCTGTAAAATATAATCCTTGGCTTATGTGATGTGCCTAAATTTAGCCTATATTACTTATCTGAGAACATTGTCCCATCCCATATTATGTTAATAAAATGGAGAAGGATTAGTACCTTAATAGAGGAGAATCTGGTGTGTCATACAATTAAATGAGACAATGCATCAAGTGACAAGAGTTCAGATTTAAGCCTCTCCTCTACAATGGAATTATGAACTTAATAAAATGATTAGGAGCAGAATATTGACCATAGTCATCAGTCAATACCTCTATGGCATAGTGAGAGTATCAGATATCAAACTGTGAAACAGATTATCAATACCTCAATTACAATATCTACAGAACTGTTTGTCTAACATAAAATGTGCTAAGTGATGACTTGGTACGGCAAGTTGAAAAAGTCAATAATTTGCAACATTTTCTGGTTTATTTTTTTTTTATTTGGTAACACAGTAGGCAATATCATAAATACACACATTTCGAAAAATTTGAAAAATCTAGCTTCAACAAATTTGAAAAAATAACAGATATGAGTATAAATGCTCTTTTGAAGCCAATTGCAAATCAATAAACAAGTCGTTGACCTGACAGCACAATTACAATTAAAAAACGTTATCTCTAAATCGAGGTTTTAAAGGGTCAATCATCAACATCTCAAAGATGCACTTAACATATCATTTCACCATGTTGCAAATTCAGCCAACAGATTGCTGCCAGAGTACTCATTAATAAAATCCAAAACAACGGAATGACAAAATTCAAATACATAAATTAACATTATAATATTGTTCAGGAAATAATAAATACATACCAGGTTCTTCATCGTTAATGACCCACCAGTTAATCCAATAATCAAGACACCTGCCAGTTAATCCAATAATCAAGACACCTGAAATATAAAATATTGTAATTATTATAAAGGCACCCCTATTACTATAATGAACATTGCGTGACAAGTAAATAACTTATTTAAAATATATAAGCGGAAGTCAAGGGTAAGGACCAAAAACATAAAAAAGATTGTCTATTCTAGAATATTTATTCATTCATTTATTACACCTTTAAAATGGTGCCACAGAGATTGTATATATGTGTAGGACGCTGATAAAGAATAACATGCAAAATGTCACCACCTGCCATTTGCTACAGATGCTGACAACCAAAATTAGAACACCAACTGCTGTCCACAAAATTGTTGGAGAGTATAAAATTAACAATATGTCACCATTTGTGGTGGTAACATAAAAACAGACAGATGTTTACAAATAAATTTTTCGAGGGTCAAATGTCACTAAACCAAAATTCCAAATTAAACAAATTAGTTGAGTTGCCCTTAGTTCATTCTGATGGTCCTACTGAATGGGTAACCAAGATTAAACATTGATTCTTATTTGGAAGTACAAAAACACAATAACCAGAAAAAACTGGATTCAAAAGACGTTTTTTTGAAAAACAAAATGAATGGTTAGGTTGTCCAAGATCTTAGGTTATTTTTACTAAGTAAGTCACCGAGAATAAACATGAAATTCATGCAAGTGTATTTCGGGGAAGTCCTAAACACTTAGGCAGAAAGAATAGAGGATAATAGACAAGTAGAAGGGAACAAAAAACAATTGCACAGAAAAACAAAATATGTTAATAAAGACAGTTATATAAAAAATATTTAAATAATGTTTGCATTAAATTGTTGCCAATCAGTCAACATTACATAAAGGGACCTTGTTTTTTTACAGAATGTTTTCAATAATTGGTTTAAGAGAAAAACATTGTTGAATTCAGTTCACCATATCGATACCTATCCTTTCCTCAGACTCAGAGTAAAGATTAAGGTAATGAATCAATGGATAGATAGATTTATTATTTACTCACATTTTAGCGAATGTATTATAAAACGAAGGTGGTTGGGTCGCTAAGGCTTTATAACTCTTTCATCCACAGATAAATATTTGTTGCCTGTAAAAAATACATTAATTTCCCTAGAGAATGCGCTATACAGAATCGCTCTCTGAACTTGCTGTGTAACATGATCTCATTTTTAGTAGGATAAGGTCACAAATTTTACTGAAAAGATCAGTTATAATCCTTAAGTAATGTAAGCACGTTGAGTAATAAGGATCGATCATACACACAGGGTGTAAATGGCGCATAGTATATACCTTTTCCTCCTATTATACATAATGTATTCAATCTTTGTATTGATGAATTCCCTGACTTATTGTCTGAATGCGGTAAGACATGTAAGAGGACATTCAATCAAGATACCAAATGAGAATTGAACAAATGGTGACATACTCATAAAGAAGAGACTATATTTGTTTAAACTATACTTGTTTCTCTTTTTGTTTGCCTTAGATATATTTCTATAGGTTTCAAAAGAAATAAAATCTTCTATTCCTACCATAGTTCAAACCAAGATATATGAGACTGCCAATTAATCCTTCATGGAAGGAAGTTACAATTCAAAAGGATTAGTGGTTGCTGTGGTTTCCCCTGTTACCAATCTATGATTGGGTTCATTTAAGTTGTTGTCTTTCACCCTTGGTATACGCAGCTAACGAAAATTGACCGGTACGGGTCAAAAGCTGGACCGGTACGGGTTAACGGTTTTATTTGAATTTAAAATAGCCATAACTTGCTCAATATTGACTTCCTCGTGTCTAATTTGAAATATATGACGCCTCCCGATGCTTTTAAGTACCCCAATTTTTTACAGATTTTTAAACGGACCAAAACTTTCTAAATGCGCATTTATGCTCTTTTCTCTTGAGAACGACTGTCTCATTTTCACGATAACTTTTATTTAGTACTTCTAACATATAAGATTTATTTTTCCCCATCAAGGTATGATGTAAATGACATGCTATTTACATCTTGTGAGTTTCAATGACGCGGGTTTGATTTTATAAAAAATGCCAAACTTTGTGACAAAGAATTTCATCAGCTATTGCCCCGAACCGGTCCGTCTTCTCGCTGCAAGCAGATTGCCCCGAACCGGTCCGTCTTCTCGCTGCAAGCAGGATGAAATTCTTTGTCACAAAGTTTGGCAATTTTTATAAAATCAAGTCGCTTTGCTGATATAGCAGTATCAATGAAATGTTAGCATAACTTTTTTCAACATGTCTTAATTGCCAGCTTTAGTTGAGCAATTTTTTAGATTGGATGCCTTCATACAATCTCCTGGGGACCTTTCCATACCCTATACTCACTGGGGTTTGCATCAGGGCTATTAGCTTGGCGGCCATCAGGCCATATCAGTTCAGAAACATTTTGCAAATTATGCTTATTTCTCATGGCACACCACATGTTTAAGTGAGACACTGGTGACATATTTTATTCAAGTAAAAGTGTACAATTCATGACCCATGGCTAGATAACAACTTCAAGTTTCATTTGGTATGCAAATTATGATTTTGTACCTAAAAAGTTATAGCATTTTGAAAAAAAGTGGCGTTTTTTTGGCCCCACCCTGTATATTCCACTTACCCTTTTATTGTTTCTCCAAATATATTCTTAGAAAATCAAATTTGAAAGGTGATAATCTGGGCAATTATGTGCCATTTCAATCAAAAGTTTTGTTGCTACCTAAAAACCAGCAATTGGGATGTCACGTCATGGACCAGTCCATACAAATGGGAGTGGTGCCAGGTTGAAATAGATGTGATTTGTGGTTGAGGAACTGTTGATTTATGGTCACAGAAAAGGATGTTGATGGAAAACTTATATTCAAACTTATATATGCAGGCAGGGACTTTTAATGGACAAGAAAGTCGAGTGATAATAGACCTGATCATATAGCTTAATCTCTTGACTACCTGAAGTGACAAGATATCTCGTCACCTCAGAAATGACCTTGAAACCCAGAGTGACGAGAAAAACCGTCACAAAATTTTTCACTAAAATTGCTCTTACTTGAACAATTTTCATCCAATTTAAATAATCTCTGCCTTCTGATTTTACTAAGTTGAGCATCAAAAGTTGTATGTAGTAAAATGCCAAAAGGTGACAAAAATGAAAAATTCTCTGGTTTCAATCGATTTTAGAGCCTGGGATTCAAGAGGTTAAATGGAACATTGGTCTCTAAGAGAGAAATATTCCTATTAAATTTTGATTGATTTGATGAATTCACAAGCGCATTTATTAATTCATGGAAGTGATACTATAACTGATACAAGTATATTTATAAAATGTTAACAATAAAAGTAATAGTTGTTCTTTGATTGAATTTTAATCATATCAAAGTACCAATGAAATTATGTATAAAATATGCATCCTCTCCCAGCTTGAGATATTGAGCCTCTAAAACAAGGGACTCAGGGGTCCGTTTTTGAAACCATTGTTACTTACAATTTGGTTCAAGTCATTGTTCAACATAAAATAGACAATGATTTTCTCGGAATCGTAAATTAAGATCATACCAAAAACGAACCCCTGTATCTTAATGCACAAATGGGAAGGTGTACTTGTTTAGTTAATAAACTTTGTAGAAAAATCAGTGCAGTATTAGACTAACAATCCTTGATTTTCAAACGTTCCATAGGTCTAAAATTCAAATTAACGGTTTTGTGGGGGAATAATGTGGTTTCGAAATGAACACAGTAGACCCTACGTAAATACAGACTCTTATTGTTCAATACAAAATCTAAACAAATATTTGTTGTGTATCCTGTCTATTCAAGTTTGAATAATTTTTTACTGGCATTAATTCGAAGAAACCCGAACATTATTAAATCTCTGTACTTTAAATCTTCCCTGAAGTCTAGAGAGGTCTTAATCAAAATGAGAATGAGATCATTACTTACTTCTTCTCAGAAGTCTGAAAGACAATGTGAGTCTGTCTACTCTTAAAGTGCAACATGGTCTTAATCAAAATAATACAAGGACACAAACGTGTACAACGTCCTTACCAATGGTTGATCCTATAGAGATTTTTCTTTCTAAATGCCCAACACTAATCAATTGAACAGACAAAATTTTAGGAGAAAAAAACTAAAATGGCAACCTAAACATTTACCAATAATGCCCAAAAGTTGATCAGTTTGAAATTTTCATACGAAGAATCAGCCTTGAAAAGGATTGGTAACGATATGGTGAACTTTTTGAACACACGTTTCTCTTAAACCAGTCATAAAAAAATTCTGAACATTTTACACATTGTCAATTTAACGGTCATCCTTTGAATGGTAACACTATAATTTAAATTTTTTCTCTACATAGTTTTAGAAAACACATCAGACACTTCTTTTGTTCTTGGTATCATATGTTCGGAATGAAATGCAACATATTTCTGAACCTAGGTCTCTCAATATTGTAATTGTACAAAGGAAATTTTGGTTGATTTAAAAAAGTATCTTGTTCATGAAACAAAATAATTATCTTAATTTTCATCTATTTTGGGGGTTTTTGTTTTAATTTTTTGAATACTTTTTTGTAAAATCAACCAAAATTTCCTTTGTATAACTTTAATATTGAGAGGGCTAAGAAAATGTTGTATATGCTATTTTGTTCCAACAAGGTTCAGAAAGATATTTTATTTCATTCTCAAGAATTGGTAGAAAGGAGCAAAAAACAATTGTACTAAAAAACAAAAAATGTTAAGAAAAACAGTTCTTTAAAAAAATATATATAAATAATTTTTGCATTAAATTGTTGTCAATCAGTCAACATTTCATAAAGGACCGTTTTTTACAGAATGTTTTCAATAATTGGTTTAAGAGAAAAACAGACTTTGTAGAAAAGATTTTAGGACAGAAAATCCAAAATGGGCACCTTAACACTTACCCTGAATGCCCAAAATCTAATCAGTTCCAGAGATTTTTATACAAAGAATTATCCCTGAAAATTTTTCGTGTGTTAGGGTGATAACTGAAATACCTGTTGATTCAAATTC